CTAGAGAGGACGTCCCGGGACGCCTCCGACACCCGAACGTGATATTCAACTTGCACACTCTAATGTACGTACCATTTTCCTGAAATCGACTGGCAAAGGCTAGCATCCATTGCGAGAATAGAAAAATTGTTTAAGCAATATACGTATACTTGGTACACTTTATATCGATTACGCGTTAATTTTCTCGTCTGATAGCGAGATACTCTAAACCGGTACATATTCCATGGAAATTTTACTATAAACATTGTATAAAGCAAAGGAATATGTACGACCGATCCACGGAACAATTACAGATGAAATGTTAATTGATAGAAATCTAAACGACGCAATTCCACTGCCTAGCCACACACACACATAACTGGAAAATACGTCGTGCACGGTAAGCTAACGCATTGCCAGTCGCAGACATGTCATTATTATATGAAATCAAGTCATCGTTCCCCGTTGCTCTCGCCCAACCAAGTAGCACCTGGGCACGTGAAAGGGTTCGAGCAACGAACACGGAATAATTATCCTGAAAATCCTAACTAAAATAATTATTACTTTTTGCTCTTCTAACGGGCTACTTCTCTTTGATTCTTTTTCATTTCATTTTGCAATAAAAATGACTCGACTTTATATTAATAAAAATTGAAAATCAAATATCGACTATTTATTAATATTGTAGAATTTAGTTATTAAGACTCTAGGCAAGACTCTGCAATTAGATAAATGACTCTACGTATTAAATAACCCTCGGGCGATCCCATCGTCAAAGGCAACGTAAGAAATCACATTAAGTGTAACAGACATGTCACTTTGACACAGAAATCTACCCGTCGCGAAATGCCTTCTTGTACATGGTCTGTAATATCATATTTATCCAGAACTTTGCGGTCAAGCTTAATCCAAATGTACCAAAATACACTATTTAATTTTTATTTCTCTTAGAGCAACATGGTAGTACGTATTTCTGATATAATTCAGTACAAACTGTTAACCTAGAATTGCATATTCTCAATGGTGCTTCATGAATATTCTTATTTCTATTAAAACTATCAATGAAGACAAAAATATTAATCTCAAAACTTCTTCACAGTAAACTGATATATTATATACTGTATTCAAATAGTAAATAAATTTAAGTTATATTCATTTATTTATTTGTCTACAAATGACGGTATAACTGTTGAAAATAATAATTAACAGACTAATAGGTGAAATAAAATTTTATTAAATACTAACTATCATAAAAATTAACTCTAATACCAAAGGTGTCCAAATGCCGCCCACGAGCTACAAGCAATTACAAGCTTCCCCTCGTAGGTTTCCCCGACTACCGACCTCTGATTGATTCGAGTGAGTCAATCCAAGTCCCATAGTCAGGGTACCTCCGGAGGGAAAGAATGCTGCTCGTAAAAGTAGATGGACACCTCTGGGCCTGCCCTTTTTTAAAGGACAGAATACAAATACTCATTCCTTCTGAGTATATACGTCTACCATACAAATATGTTTGTGGAACATTATACATGCTGGTGAAACACAGTAGTACCTTCCCTGCATTTAACGCTCACACTCCATTAAAGTGGTCGTGAGTACACGCCAGTAAGTCTCGATACTCTACCCGTGTACGTAACCGTATGCGTTCTTTGCCAGTGGCAACGAAAACACCGGCCACGATATCTGGAAATCGCAATGCACTTTTCAATGGTCATACATGCACAACGTGTTAAATTATTCCATAACACGCGGTTTTTCACTAGGGTGTGCATATCGATGCACAGGTGACGTAACTTAATACGTCTTCTTTTTATGCACCGATACTTTATTGCGATTCCCAGTACACGTGTTCCACTATTTCATGGAACTTGCGAATACGAATGATACCTTTGTGTCTCGCGACACTGGTTCCGGGATTGAAACGTGCTGTCGCGTCTCGTGGTATTGCGCTAACTGCTATAACATACCTATCCAAGAAGGCACCACCACGTTATCCCCTCTATTTTAAACCTATTGGTGTGGTTTCCGTTCTTTCTACTCTGTATTCGAATCTACCGTTGATATTTATTTCACACATTAATAAGTTGAATATTATTCTTTTAATCAGCTCACCGTTATTTATAAACCATTGTGAATATATTGTATTTTCTACGTTCTGCAATTTTCCTTATGTAGATCGTATTTCGTTCTACGTTCATAAATGATATTAAATGACTGTATTAAAATGACTACTGAAATTATTGCACATATCATCATCACATTACTACATTTTCTAGTGAACTAAATAACACTACCACGTTCTCAATGTATACTCGATTAATGGAAAAATAACAACTGTTTAAACAATAGAATGATCTCTATTGAAATATCCAAGATTAATAGCCCGTGTTAAATTGAACACTTAAAGAAAGTACATCATAACCAATATGATTTCGTCTGTATAACGTTCGCCTTTAAGCCGAACATTAAATATTCAACACATACTCTTTTAATACAAAATGGTTATGAATTATATCACTAATAATAAACGCGGCGTACAAGAAGACCATAACCTACCTAAGAAACACAACAAATGAATGTTACTACTGGCGGATATGCAATCGTACGATTGCATATCCGTGTTCACTGTACTCGCCAAAAGCACGTATACAACCAGTCGCCCGTGCCGTTTCGGACCAATCGTCCTACGACATGATTGGGGACTGGAGGAATAAAAACATTCACTCACCCGATGACTGAAGAGCTCCCTTTAATATTCTCTCTCGACGAATCTTGAAAAATGTTGTAGCTTCGCCCAAGGACATCTTCTGCAGTGTTTGTTTATGCAGCATCTGATAAATCTGAAACAAAGGAACAGAACACGTAATAACCTCTTCTCAAAACTCTAGCTGTTTCAGTTGAACAGTGTAAGTAATAAAATATGAGGATACTTACAATCTCTATTTGTAGAACTTCGCCCAAAAACATCCACTTGAGTGATGCACTGACTCTACTTTCGCGAACGAGTACTTTCAAGTAGAAAAAAAATGAAAATAAAAAACTATCGCGACCGAAAATCTCAACCGGCGAACAAATGATTCGACTTTCGCGACACACAAAGCAAAGAGTGTCCCGAAACTCTGAAAATAATTTGAGATTGTACGCAACAAACACTGACTCTAGTTCCGCGAGGACCATAACACATCTCCGGTGAGATCCTAATCGGCGCCAGTTCGCTCCGCATAAACAGAAAAAACTTCGATGTAAACAAACACTGACTCGACTCGACCGCCTTGCACGCAGCCACCAAATACTGTGGAAAAAAGGGGGGAAAAGAAATACAATACGGCGCACGTGCATCGGCTTATTCTTTTTATTTTTATATTCTACCAAGTGTTTTTATCATGAAAATACTGTCATTCAACGATAAATATTCAAATATGAATTTAACTACGCAAAGGTACCATAGTTAAAAAGTATTCCAAAATAATTCTCGAATGTTTCAATATATTATATTCATTACTGATATATATTTGTTAAAGACATTCGTTGTTAGAGTTTAAGAATGTTCGTTATTTCTGTCTACATCGCGCAACGAATTTTATAAATATTGAGAAAGTCATTGCAAGTATTAAAGCTTCGATATTTACTTGAGCTTCGATGAGCATCGTAAACTACGCTGCTTCTATATGTATAATCAAACTTACACCCGAAACCCTATATAAGTACAAATACGATGACATCGTAATGATAAACTTGAAAAATTATTAAAATTCAAACAATTCATCGACCGAGATGCAGTAAACTACGAGTATTTCGAATTGAAACTTCTGGAATATTCCCGTTTAAATTTCCTAATGGTCAAAAAAGAAGCCATATTGAATACTTTAATTGCGTGTTTGAACGCGAAATATTTCTCGAAAAAATTCTTGTTTGCTTTCAGCACAGTTAATCAGAAAATCGCGATCAAGTTTATGGTCAAAACAGTAAAAGTGTACTGTAATAAAATAAAAATATCTAGTGGAATGTAAACTATTTTGTTGTAATACATCACCAGAATTCACCAATTTCCCGCCAAATAGCGTCTAATGGGATTGGCATCGTTGGCGCGTCCTTTCTAGCCGGAATTCTGAAACAGAAAAAAAACATTAATAGCAAGTAATTTTACCAAATTAACAATGACTGAGTCACAACGAAACAATTATTGACTCGAGGAATGTCGCTAAAGATTGCAAAGTAAACGAAAACTGCGTAAATACTAATTAATACCGGGGGAGAACAGAAATCGTGAAGCCGGTTCACTTTATCCAGCAATACCGAGATAATTTATGATTATTTACATTGAATTGAGTAGATACTAAACGAAAGTAACGGTAGAGTGCTAACGAACATACTAATAGCATAAATAATTTACAGTAAAAGGTAATAATACTTACTTCTCCACGAGCGACATCACTTCACGTCTAATCACTTCACCTTCACCGAGAAGAATGACCGTTAGGCTACCCATGACTGGCTATGATTGGTGGATCGGTGTATGGAACGCGATGATTGGTCGCCTCCCTTACGCGCCACTTCCTATTACTACGAAATAGAATATTTACCACCGAATTATATTTCAAGAACGTGGAAAAAGTAACATTACTAAAATGTCCATTAACGATCAATTTAGAATAAGTTGTCTTTTAGATAAGTGAAAAAATATATACTTTCGCGCGTGATATTTCATCAGTACTACGTGACAGGGTTACGCAGCCCTGCGAACGTGGGACAGAAAAAAGCATTGGATGATAGGTCTATTCTATACCTTGTCGGTAATATGAATTGACCTGCCATCTAATGTTTTTTTCAAACGTCAGACCTCGATATTTAGTTCTCAAATTATAAATATCTTTGTGTTTAGTTCCAGATCCTTAGAAACAACTGATTACAACCTTCATTGATTTATTATGCTTGCACCATTTTTGTTTAATCATGATGCATAAAATACAAATAACTTTGATATAGAAAATACATCTACGGAAAATGAAAACTAAAAAACCCTAACAGTTATATCATTAATACCATAGAATAAGAAAAATGATCAATTAACGGACTCCAATCATCCGCGCGCTTTTCCCACCGATCGTCCGTTCACTTCTGCGACGTAACTAAATATAAGGTGAGCTTAAACATTTATTTGTTTGTACTTAGAGATATCAAAAAAGTTTATTCGCAAAAGGTATCGAGTATTGATGAAAAATATGCAAGTTAAGTGCGACACTGTATGTATTTTCCGTTCCTTCCTTGCTGGGCGACAGTGGGGGGCGCGTACGTATACGGGAGGCGTTCCTAATGATCAATTAACGGACTTTCAATTATTGGGCTTCTACTATAATTCACGAATTCACCGTTCTCAAAACGTACAGGGCAGCAGAAAGTCTCAAACTGTTTGCACGATCGTTATTTCAGAACATATGACACAAAGTACCATAAGATGATAAATCTATTCTATACCTCGTCTGTGTTCATATACAACATATGTACGTTACATCTGTACAGGACTTCGTGTACCCTACGAATCTGTAACATCGGCACCTTAAAGAGTCCGTGATTTTAGCAACCTCTACGTTCTAAGACCACCGATCTCTATATTACTAACTGTTCGTACATAGAGATCAGTATATAAGAACGGTGAATTCGGAAATTACACTCAATCCAACTCAAATTCTTCTGTTCGTCCGCTGAGAAGTAAAACATATTAGACAGTGGTCTTGTGTTCTAACCCTGTCAGACCTATTATTTTTTTTCGAGTACAAGAAAGTAATACAAAAAAAAACCTTCGGGGCTGTAGAGAGCAGATCCACGAATATGCAATAAGCGAGCCTCGATCTGTGAGAATCATCGAGGCGGGGAATCGCGCGTGGTAAAACAGGTGTGCCGTAAGAACAGTGACCGATCGCAGTTGCGATGGACAGTTGGTCGGATTGACGCACGTTGTTATCATACGTCATCGCGAGAGAGGGGAAAGGAAGGAAAATACGAAGCGGCCGAGGGCTGTCAAGACACCTCGCCCACAAAAAGCAGATGCAGATGCGACCGGGCGCGGCGGAACACGTGCGACGATTTTTTTTGTGACGGGCGCGCACGTACACGCGGATGCAATGTTCAAAAAGTTGTCGCGCAGCGACGCCCTCGAGGACATATCAAATTGGAGTACCAACGACGTATTGTGCTTGTTGCGAAAGGTGAGTAAACTCTCGACAACCGTGGCCGTCGCCGTTTGACATGACTCACGCCGGTGAACTCTGTATCGTAAAATCCTTGTTACGGACTATCGATCACCGTCTGGTCCCTCGGAATCTTATTCAATTCCTATTTAGGGTCAAACTATCAACCATAGATGTGCATTAGATGGAATCTTTCTGAAATTCAGTCTGCGATTAAATGTAGGCTGTAGGACTGAAAAAGTTGATCCTAGATGCAGGTATTCCGACAAGTCACATTTTTAATCGTAACGGTATATAAAACAATTTGTGCTGGTCCCTTTTGAGTTATTAACCTAGTTGTCGAACACTTTCAAGAGTGTCGTGCACCGTGCCACGCATGTGTACACACAACAGTGGTTCACGCGAGTATTTTTAGCGTGCAACCATGAAACGAATATCATGGGAATATGAATGTTTCCATGTGCTTTCGTTGATGTCGATCAACCGATGTCTTACTAGACGTCGACTAACTTGAAGTTTATGCAACTGGAATCTGGTGTCATCTACTACGAATACCGTCAATATTTGTCGAAGATACACCCGTGTTACGATTGTGTGGTTTGTTATCATTGCATCGTATCCTGTTTGATTAACGATTATCGTCCTTTTACAGAGCGGTTTGAAAGGATGTTGCGAAGCGATAGCCAAACGGCAAATCGGTGGCGACGAACTATTGGTGAGTGGCACAACCATAAAAATAGTTAATATTTTTCTGTTGAACAAACATGCTGGAACGTCATTTACGCGTTATATTTGTCTTCTCTTAACCGATTAAAGGTATGAGTGCTCGGGAAATACCCAAGTCACGCAGGTGACTTTCTTCTTTTCACGGTTCGCTGACTAACATTCGCGATTTACATGAATCTGTTAACATCGTGTGTGTCAGCTGGTACACACGTTGCTTCCTATTCCCAACTACTTCATGCTATGTGGGAAATGTAGAAAATATTGTCATTCCAGCAGAAACCAACGTGAAAATTATCTATTCGATTCTATCGATCGATTACGCGATTCGAAAAGGGTTCGAATAATTTCAAGTGATTCCTGGGCACACGCGAGAGGCCAGACAATGCACCGAGTTTCATTCACGAACGGTCAGGCTCATATTTCGGAGCCGGCTGGCGCGTGCTCTCTATGTTCACACTTAATTAATCGTAATTATTCCAGCACTTGACGGAAGGGAAGCTGGCACTGTGGAAGAGTGACCTCACGCGTCCATTGATATGGTAAGAGCAACGATACAATAAAACCGGAGCTCATTTTCCAACCGGGACGAATAGTGCAGGCCTGTTCCCGTCAAATGGGATTACGAAGTCCGTGTCACGGTCTAACGGTTCTTCTTCGCGCTCGCGAAGAATCTCCTCGAGACACGCCTTTGGATTCCACCTCGATTCCAGTAATTATATCTACACGTACGCGTCGAAATGTATACTCGGTGTCTGAAATCGGCTCGAACCGATCATTGACACTTTTCTGGCAGGAATTTTTTTGCATTTGCAAATATACAACTTCAGGTGATCTAGAAATATTTAAAAACTGCCATTTAACTTTTATTTGTCGAACTTTACATATAGAAAAAGCGGTTTTTCCCTATTTTTTACTATTCTAGTTCTTATTTCAGAAAGAGCTTTCTATAATCTCTGAGTCACTTTCTGTCATCGTAGTTTTAAAGAAATCGTATCCAGGATGTTATAATGAAAATATTCAAAGACATTATTAGAAGACTTAACTGTTCTATTTTCGTTCAATTGCACATTAGACTGCAAAACAACAATATACCAAGCGTCGTCTGGAGCAATATGTCGATGAAAAATTTTTAGCAAGCCGCCGATGCCCATAGAAAGCGCCGTAAGACGCGGTATGCATACCGAAAGTGTACGCTTCACAAGGTTCAATGGCTCGTGTAAAATCAAAATATGCCGTACGCCAGCAATTTCGCGCTACGGAATACGCGTAATTCAATTGCGCGGAAACGCGCTCGATCGTTCCGATGTCACGCGCAGACGCCACGAAATTTATCATCGTCTTGGTTTAATCGAGGAAATTCCACTTGACAATAACGCGCACTCTCGACGACATCTGCATGTATATGTGTATGTAGCTTAAAACGATCGCGAGACGACTCGCGTCGAGGAACGATTTGGGTCAACGAACCACGGCACAGAAACGAGAGAAACATTTTCACTGAATGCGCAAGTTTACGTTTCATTCACGTCTGCGCGAACCGGCCCCCTCTCCGTTTCCACGCTGGACACTTTGTGAAAAGATGATCTAATAGGACAGCCTACACTGTGCGTCCCACTTCCTTGAACTTGATTCGTCCGATAAAACTTTCGTTTTCGATCGATCACTCACAATTTTTATAAAACATTTCATGGAAGTCGCAAAGAATCTGTAAAAGTCCAATTTACTTAAAAGATCTCATTAGGTGAAATAACGGGAAAACCTGCAACCCAATTATCTTTCTCTTTTAGGAGCCTCTGGGCGTTAATCGAAGAAGTGAGAAGATCGCCAGAGAAGTTCGTCGAAGAGAAGATCCTCGAGACGCAGGTGGACGATCATCTGAGCGACACTGAATCCTGGGACACGGACTTCGACGATGAAGTTGGCGAGGACAGTACCTTACCCGATATCCAAACAGGAGAATCGATTCACGGTTTTAGAAACAAGCAAAAGAGTTCACATAGCAATACGGAGAAGAGAATAGATGGAAGAACAGATGGGGCCTCTGGACAAGAGGATGAAGGGACTTACGCCAACTGTGGTTCTCTTCAAGAGGAGGTGAATACCTATGCGAATTGCCAAGAACCGAAGATTCTGCCGCCGAAAAATACGTCGAAGCTGCATGGTCAGGCCGAAAAGTCGTTGGCCGAACAGCTCAAGGAACAGTTGAAGTTGATGAACACGCAGAAACCAGCTACGGGACCGAAACCTGAATCGTTGAAAGCGAAGAAGATCGAGGTCACCCCATTGGGCCGTAACCAGTCGCAGAAATCGTTTTTACATAATGCTTCGAAAGCGAAACCGAACGTTCCTAATCAGATGCAAAGTTAGTAAACGATGTAGAAGAGTTACATAAGCTTGTCGATTCTTTAAATATAGGTGTGGAGGAGATAGTCAAATGAATTTCTAATTTTCAGAAAGGATGGCGGTGCCTCCGCCTCCAGAACCCAGGAAGACCAAGGATCAGGCTGTGATCATAGAGAAGCCTTTAACGACCTTGAAGAATCTTGATCTTGTAGCAAATTTACCGGCGCAGACCGAGGGGAGCGACGACGAATACGAATCGTTCGACGAACAGATTATCGAGCAAAATCAAAAGAAAAATATACCGAGGGTGGACAGTAAACAGTCGTTGACCAGTGGCCATCAGAGCTCCGTGGAGAGCGTGTATCAAGCGCCTAGTGTTACCAGTTTCGAGGAGGAAGAGTATTTACCGGATGAGATTTATCAGACAATCGCGGAAACAGTAAATTCATAACTGTTATTCACCATTTACCATAGTAGTCACTTCGGTGTAAAAATTGACAGGTTGTTGTAATTTTCTCAGCCCGACGATAATGAATACTACTTGAGGCCCATTCAAAGGACACCGCCCGCGAGACCGCCACCGCCACTGCCAGCAAAGCCTCCCCAGTCTTCGGCTAGTCCGTCTCCGACATCAAGCCAGTCGAGCCTAGAAAAGTCGAAAGGTTAGTCGGTTAATGTACAATAGAAAACTATTTGAGATTAATCATTTTTTTGCATCTTGCTGCTTAAAATGCATGAAACCTCCAGTGTAATAAGTGTTTGTCCCGTTAACGTTCCTGTCAAATTCGATCAATATGTATGAAATTTTACAACGCCACTTTCGAATTGTCCTGTACATTAAATGAAACTAAATTACGAAGCAAGTGGTTCCCATGATATAATAAGAGCAACACGAAAAACGGAAATGTAGTCGGTGGTCGTTGGATAGGAGTTGCGGCGTGTTATACGACTGGCAAAAAACCACGGCCAGGGGCGGCAATTGAATGAATAAAAAGCACGGTAGGCGTAACTCCCGTAAACATCTGTGTGGCAAATGGTGGTCGTGCAACCTGACGCTCGATGCAATTGCAGCCAGTCATGAACGAACTATCGCGGCCCTTGTTTCGAGCTATCGTGAATGAAACTGTTCACGATTGTTTCGTATAAAATTTTTCATTCGTCAGTGTAATTAATTAATCCATTTGCTTCTCAATGTAATCAAAACAAACAAAAATTTTCGATGGTGGCAATGTGGTATTGAACTATAGTTAATTAATACCTGAAGAAGAAATGATACCGGTTGAACTACAAGTTTCGTTCTATTTCTGTATTCATTTTAGTAAAATTTCGTGTATCAAAAGTTCTTTAACATGATCAACGATACGGACAGATGGAGTGTTCTAAAGTCGTCGATTAAGCTCGAAGATGGGACCATTAATAGAATGATAAACGAACAGACGGATGTAGTGCTTTAACTTATCGTTAGAAAACTGAAGAGAGAACAGTGTAATGGAATGTGTTCCTGTTTCTATCTGAGACTGAGCAAACAGCTCTTAGGAGGTCTGGGCGCCCGTTTGGCCGACGAGGTGTACGATATGATAGTGAGGATCAAAAGGGGCCTCTCCAGGTGCTGTTACACCCATCCGCCCGAGCCACCAGGTACAAGAACCTCGTACGAAGTCCTGTGAGCAAACAAAAAATTCCCTCCACGTTTACCTCGGTGATTATACACTTAGCCCATATATTTTTCGTTTCGTCCATTCTTCTACTTTTTCATTCAAAATACAAATGACTCGATCCGTTCTGTGAGTTCTGAAAAAAATTCTTCTAAATGATATCTCATGATGAAACTTTGCTATACAAAAATTCGAAATTATATCTCAAACGAAATATTACATGCTGCGTTTGGTCTCCCGTCTACACAGAATTACCGTATTTAAAATCGTATACGTGTCGCGACACATCTGTCGCTTAAACATCACCGCAAGGGGTCAAGTGCAGTGGGGCACCGTCTTCGAAAATTCTCATAAACGTTCTCCGTGTATTTCTTCCAAAATCGGATACATTTCGAGACGAAATCCTGAACAAATCCAAAAATATGTACACACGATTCACGAGGGTTACGATTTTAACTTTCGACTCTACCCCATGCCGAGGGACCAACGGACGGGGCCGTTCTTCGATGTTCATCCGGTTCCTCGAGTTAAATGCCAGTCGGTGCAGTGATTTCGCCGCGGTCGGATCGTTTCCACGAGAGGCTCCCGATCCCTCAAGTGGACTCGAATACCTCCTCGTGAAACCTTGCAACTGACAGTCAGGGGATTCGCTGATAGACTGCAGTCGTGCGTGGACAGCCTCAGACCTCGCGTCCGCGCTATTTCTTCTCCATTTTATCCGAATTTAACAATAATTAAATATTACCCAGAACACAACGACAAAGTGAATATTTCAGTTCCATTGTGTTGTTTCGTTTTGCGCCGCGGAGTGTCGGCGGAACCGGTAATTAACCTTGAAGACACCTACGGGGACGTTATTCTGTTTTGCGACAAGGGGGAAAAAACAGATCCAAACCGTATTGTTCCATTTCGATTCTATTTTCGCGCGTTTCTTCGGCCTCTAGATTTAGGCTGACCGTCTGAGTCACACGGGCTCGCGAACGTCGCAGTTCGAGAATTTTGTTCAATCCACGAGCTACGATTTCCGTTTATTGAGAACATCCCGAGCATGGATGGAGACCGATTAGACGACGATATCCTGGTGCACGTGCTTCTGTTGGCCGCGTAAACGATTAAGGGTGATCGAGCGTAATTAACGGGTGAAGGATCCATGAGAAAATAACGAAAATGGCAGCTATAATTGGCGATCCGAAGCGAAACGTCTCTTTGAACACCGCGATACGCCGACAGGCTAGCCTCTCGGAGTGTCTCACCCAGGCAACCCTCACTCAAGCTCGTTTGAACTTAGCAAGTTAGTCCATTCGTTTCTCAATTCAACCTGGAAATCATAGAACTTCCATGGTTTTTCTTTGTTTTTTCTTTTGGCAGAATTTATGGTATTGAAATCGTATTTATCGAACAGTCGATACGAGGGGGTGAAGTCAGCTCGAACGAAACGAATATTGCTTCTTGTCTTTCATCCTCCTGCAATTACAATTTTTTAAATTTTTAAAAAATTTTAATAACGATGCCAAGTTCCCTTTTTTCTCTCTATCTGTAAACATTTCCAAGTTTAAAACAAGTTTTTAATGTGTGCCGTATTGATTCCAGAACGATCCCCCGATAAGAAATCAGCAACGCTGCCTCACTCGAATAGCAATACCTCGTTGTCTTCGGAAAGAGCCGTCAGATCATTGCCACGACCCCCTGAGAAGCATTCGTACGTCGACAAGCCTTGGTACCACAATGTTTCTAGAGATCAGGCAACGGCTCTCATCAAAGAACGTACGTAATCGATAATTTCGATCTTTTTAGAAATCTACGAAATAGCCAATTTCAGCGACTGAGGAATATTTATCCTGCGTCAAAGTAATTTACCATTGGATCCCAAAACGCTGTAATACGCTGCCAAAAATAGTCTATTAAAAATTGTTATTTATTGTACTCCTTGCATTTAATAGAAAGTACTTATGGTAACCCACAAGACGGCTACTTCCTCCTGAGACCGTCAGCCTCGGTCGTGAACAACCCCCTGACTCTGGTCCTTTGGTACAAAGATAGGGTCTACAATGTACCAGTCAGGAGGAGACCAGACAACAGGTACAAATATCCTTCGTAAATATGCTAATTCGGTGCCTGTATACATATATCATTGATAAGCACAGGCTTTTTGCGGGAAAGAAATCATTAGAACGTTGCCCTTGAATCGTGTGACGTAAATGTGACTACCAAAGAAATAGAAATCTACTATTTTCTCGAAATAGGCAAACCACTGGATTTTGCATGAATATTTTATAAAAGGAGCGTGACGATTACTGAAGACGAAAGGTGTAAAATTCTAATCAGAAATTCGGGCCAGTTTTCGCGTGCCATACTATAGGATTCATAAAATAAGTGGTATATGGGAGTCGTAGGTTTAAAGATGAACGATCTTGTCGATAGGTACGCTTTGGGTTTCGCGAAAGTGAACGAACAGTCGTTCTCCAGCGTGGAGGATATCGTGATGTTTTACACGAGGGAGGAACTGGTCCTCCACAGCGGCGGAGTCAACATGGGGAGCACGAAGTTGACCGATACACCCCCAAAATAAATTTCGCTCGAGGCCCTTCACCGTGTGAATACTTAAGGCTGGGCCTTGTGCAACGAAAACACTGCCTGAGAATTCTATAAAACAGAATTTTGTACGTCTTTATCGACGATAGAAGTGCCTTTGTACCTGCGAGAGTTTCACGCGGCTGCGGAAGAAAACTTAATTTTTTGTATAGTTCTACAATGTTCGAATGCATTTATTAGATATACATTACAACTTGACTGGAGATTTTTTCAATGTAAACGGATCTCTTTGAAAATGATCTTGTATATTTTCAATAAAATACTATATGATTTTTGTATTTTCGCTAAAGTTTAGGTTTTACAGATGGGAATCCTAGAAATATAGGGTAGTCGACGTTCTGTTAATTATTAGTACTATTATACGCGTATATCAGTGTATGATTTCTCGTCTTGTATATTCGTTTTTGTTCGCAGGGTCACTTCAAGAAATTAAGTGCACGTGTAAATAAAAAATTTATGTTTAACATCCGTGAATTAAGAAAGGTCGGTAGTATTATCGGGAGCAAATTTCTTTTTATATCGGCGTTTAATCTGATTTATTATGTTATTGATTTTGAATAAATAAACTGTGCAGAAAGGATGTTTGTTCTTTTGCACTGGGTAATACCCAAGGTTTACAATAAAGATGGTGAATTGTCTTGAATAGGCAACGGATCTCAAGGTCATCCGAAGGTGACAAATTTTTTTGAATAAGCTCGTACGAATATGGAAAAAGCTCAAGGATGATGTTGCATTGCCAGGGATCGACTATTATTATCAATTAAATTGTGTATGGGCCTCTATTTTATTTATCGAGTGTACCGAGTGGTGATCGAAACACGTAAATATGAATTAGAGGACCCTTGAGTCGTCGAACTGTATTTATCGGCTCGTTCGACGATTGATAACGATAACATCGACTAAGTAAACATTTCACGATCGAAGGTTTGAATCCTCTGGATCTAGCGGTAGATGCGTGTTAGATCTACACACGAGATGGTGAAGAATCAAGAGTGGCAAGAAATATATACGATGATGTCGACGATACGGTTCGCAAAGTTTACATACGTACGTGTTTAATCTGCAACCGTTACAGGGTGAACCTGTGTGCGCGTGAACTTTGAACTTGGTTACTCAACAATTGCAAGACAATTACAATGATCTTGATGCACGACGTATCGTGCATCTGATATTTCTTGATAAGATGACTCGATATTGAATCTCCGTTTAACACGAAATGTTGTTCGACCGTCGAGAAGAGCACATTGGTGAAATAATATATTTTCGAAGAAAGAAAAACGAATCCTTACGACATAAAGTATATGCCGCACCACCCTGACCCTCTAATTGAATAAGTGGAAAAGAGCTAGTTTTTCTTCAGCATTATCTACGACAAATGATCGATTCTATCGATAACATTGAATAACGGAATTCGAAGAGACATCGAAACCATCAGGTTGGTTGCAAGTTACAAGTGTAATACATCAATAATCGCCTTCTAAAAAAAGGAATAAACATCAATTTAAATGAAGTCTGAATAGGTAATCGCAGTTCCGTTTCAAACGAATGTTCTACCATGTATAAATTCCCTAGATTGTTAGTTCTTTTAGCTGAGTTGCGTTGTTGACGCGTTGCGTGTGGTGGGGGAGTAGCAGCAGTAAAACACGCACGACAGGTTTATGCGCATCGTTCTGTTAACTGTTTGTGACTGAATGTCAATTGAGCGGCTCGTTTAGCCTGTCATTTAAAGCTTTCGAGGCAGCATCTCCTGGATCCGGGGCGTTGTACCGAAAATGATACTGAAATCGTGAACGGTGATCACGGTAAATTCGTTTCCCTCCATCCCCGAGTTCCGTACAGCGGCATGTGATTGTGATAAACAAAACGCGTTGACATGAGTCAATTTAAACGGCGTAGCGTGACTCGAAGCCGTAATAATGGTGTGTTAAGATAAAGAAGTGTGTTGACCGTTCGTGAAATTGCCCAAGAGCAATGGAAGATGAACAGCCGGCGAGGGAAGCGAACAAGATCTGTGGTGTGTGTGGTGACCGCGCGCTCGGCTACAACTTCAATGCCGTGTCGTGTGAGAGCTGTAAAGCTTTCTTCCGCAGGAACGCTCTGAAAAATAAGGTGACCAGATTTTTCTACCACTCCCTGTACACCACAGGTGTTTTCAGTTTCACGCGATTGTTGACACGGATCCACCTGTCTGATCTGTCATGATTCAGGATAGTATCGTGTATTTGAGCCTTCTGAAACTGAATTATAATCAGTTTCATAGTTTTGACATGTTTGCTTTCAATCGTTATTATCATGTCTTATTTCTTTACTTTTCTACCGCGTGATTTGGGTTTGAGTCCACCTTAATAATGTTTAGTTTTAGTGAAAGAAAGGCACAGAATATAAATACAAATGTCAGGTCAATTTTTGCGATATCCCCAATTTCAGTCGTACTTCTTTCTTTACATTAATGTTCTTTTTTAGGATTTCCGGTGTCCTTTTACAGAGAATTGTAATATCACACCAGTTACTAGACGCTTTTGTCAGAAATGTCGCCTAGATAAATGCTTCGGTATTGGTATGAGGAAGGAATATATAATGTCAGAGGAGGACAAAGTACGAAAAAGGCAAAAGATAGAACAAAATCGTGCAAAAAAAAGGCCACACACGGAAAATACAAAAACATCCAAAAGTAAGAAGAATTGCATAGAAGATTCTACCTTTGATGACACTTCTATGTCTGTTAATTCGGTTGCATCAACTGTATCTGATACATACTTCTGGGAGTCTGACAAAAAATATACTGATTTAGACTCGAATAGGCAGAATGTAACAGAAGGAATGAGTCCTGTAACAGCTGCCAGTGTTCCCAGCCCTTCTAGTCCACCAGAGAATGGAACTATAACTGGGTCAAAGACTCTTGATATGATGAAAGATACTTCTCACAGTTCTAGTTCCAATTATGATAGCTTTGACCAATCCCCTCATCGAAATGAAACCGAGGTTGATGTGGAAAAATTTAAGATAGATACAAGTTCTCTCATAGAAGATCAAGAAAAGTTTGATACTGCGAACTCTGTATCTCCTAACACGGGAAAAGATAAGAAACCTATAATAAGTTCAAAAAGGTTTGAGCAGCATGTAATCGATTTGAATTCCGAATTTGGTTCAAATAACAACGAATCCTTAAGATATTCGCCCGCATTTGTCAGTGCATCTAATTATAATAAGTATGAACATAATCCTGTACAGAACTCTACCTGTATAGATCATACATCACATCCTAGAAAATCTAATTTCGATGTAAGTCCAAGCACACCTGCAAGCTTGCAGACTTGTTTAGAAGAACTAACAGCCTGTCAGAAGCCAAACAAAGAAGTATGTTCAAAAGAAGATAATGCAGCTACAAAGTTCTCGGATGGACCAGTCCCAATCTCAATACTTGTTAATAATTCTAATTTCATTGCCAAACTGTTTCAAAACCAAGAGATACTTTTGAAGATCATGTCAGATTCTACAGTTATTAACAAGTTAAAAGAAGATCCACAGATTTCTGAATTTTTCAAAGAAAACGGTGCCATAACTGAAAAAGAAACAAGCTCTGAAGATAATGGAAACATTCAGTTTAAAGAAGACACTAGGCTTACCAATATTTCTGGTCACACATTCAAGCAAACATTGAAAATGAAACAAAGACAAATTGAGAATCCAATCTTAACAGATCTTATTACAAATCCTAATCAAGAAGAATGCATGAAGCAACGTATGGAATCAAGCGAGAATGATTGGAATAAAAATGTAACAGACGTTACGAGAGATGTGCTTCAAGATGTACAAAGGTATAAATATGGTACAAAATCAATATTGGAAAACATATCAACTACTTATTCCTTTTCAGAGTGCCAATTGTTGCAAATTCCATCGAGTCTATTCTGTGTGAAGCAATTAAGTTAGAGTTCTCAGCATATTCTGCTATCGGTGGTATGGAGTCCCGGAGGGAACTAAATGATGCTGAAAGAGCAAAGTTAAATGAATTAATAGTAGCCAACAAAGCATTATTAGCTCCCTTGGACGAAGATATAACAAATTTAATTGGAGAAGATTGTAAATTTAAGGTAACATTTAAGACGACACGGATTCGACGGGGTTCACATTTATTAACAGTGAATCTTCTTTTAGAATAATTTCGGTCAATCCGATCCAGCGTTGTTGGATGTTATCAATTTAACTGCTATTGCCATTAGACGCTTAATAAAAATGGCCAAGAAAATAAATGCCTTTAAAAACATGTGTCAAGAAGATCAGATTGCTCTTTTGAAAGGGGGTTGTACAGAAATGATGATTTTAAGGTCAGCTATTAATTATGATGCAGAGAAAAATATGTGGTGGATACCGCATAGCCAAGAAAGTATGTCGAATATAAAAGTCGATGTATTAAAGGAAGTGAAGGGAAATCTCTATGCTGAGCATGCACGCTTCATTCGGAGTTTCGATCCGAAATGGCGGGATGAGAATATTATTTTGATTTTAAGTGCAATCGCTTTGTTCACACCTGACAGACTGAAAGTGGTACACAGTGACGTCATTAAATTAGAACAAGTAAGTGAAATATATTTTTTCCAGTTTGTCAAATGTATTAACTGATTTTAATAATGTATTTTTTTATAGAATTCGTATTATTATTTACTTAGACGTTATCTGGAAAGTGTATATCCAGGCTGCGAGGCCAAGTCCATGTTTCTGAAATTAATTCAAAAAATTTCGGATCTTCATAGACTAAACAACGAAGTTGTTGGGGTTTATCTTAATCTAAATCCGTCGAGAGTGGAACCGCTTCTCATAGAGATATTTGACTTGAAACACTGACTAGCTTATTCTTTCGGCTAGAAAACAAATGAACATAATTTTGTCAACTGATTTTTTGTATAGCATTAGTTCTATCTACGGAACTAAAGAATCTTGACTACGGGGTTGTTTTAGAAACGCTACATTTATAGGGATAAAGTACAGCAATAATAACGTGGAAAACTTTCTAAATGTTTGGAAACTAAAATATGTAATTGTTTATCTATGTATATACATATAAATATGTTTGTGAAATGTATTATTGTATGACATTAATGTTGGTGCATAATATGTATTAGAAATGAAACCACTCTTATCAAAGTTCACGTGTATATGCACGTACGTTAAGGTAATATTCCGTACACACTGATATAATTAATTCAGTCCAGTCAGGAATATAGAAAATTGATCGTAATTCAAGAAACCAGTGCTTGGAAATATTGGAAGTATCAATTGTATCGTTAATCCAATATTATAGATTTTATATAAGCAGAGATTATTAATCGAGCATATAAAGGTATTGCATCACTTCGCATAATTTTTCGTGTAATAAAAACTAAATGCGTAACGTACATATAGCGTTAGTCGAATATTTCTTGTTGAAAGGATTATGCATACTTCGTCAAGAGTACCTTAAATTGTTACGTCTAGAGAAAATATTTGTTATACTTATACCAAGTTCTACGTTCATGTTTTACATCTTCGTGTACCTTAAAGGAAAATATTTGTTTGTTTTAAAACAAATTACAATTTCGAGTAGAGTTAGAAGCTGAACATGAATTCAGTTCTTGGTATAAAATAAAATATATAAGATAGTTTTGCTCCAAGCAGGACCTGAGTGACATACGTTCACGTTACAAAGATTCAAATGTATACAATTGTGATATATCGTGTCGAAATATATTTTTCAAAGAATTGTTATATCTGACCTTGAATAAATTATTTCGATTCTCTGTTATTGTCAAATAACAGACCTGGACACTTCTGAAATGACAATATTTGAAATATTATTTTCAATAACGAATACTCAGTTTTCTAATTATTTTGTTCTATAACTGTTACTTCTTTCGTGTCATTCATGTTCAGTGGTTGGAAATTCGTAGCCAAGCAAACGGAGGATTATGATCAGCATAAGGCATGAAAATGAGACAAAAAATGCCAAGCTGACAAGAACAATAAAAATATATCCCAACGTTCTTAAAGTGAATGAAAAAAGACCGATAATCCAGTCCCAAATTGTTTTCAGTATCATATTTTCTACAGTTCAATTTAATTTATCCAAAGGGATCTTTGGATTAACGACAGCTATTCGATGTATCGTATTATCAACATCAACCACGTATTTATTAACACAAAAAATCGCAAATATCGAATAAGAATTTCAATTGTTATACCAAACTACAAGCCCACTGCTTCAAGTTACTGCGCATTTATTCACAAGTAAATGTCTCGCATTTCCTTTCATGCTCATATAAAAAATAGGTACAAAATATATTATTTTCATGTTTTCAGGATAACAGCGTGTATTATAATATAGAGTCGTTTTCTTGGTATTAATTCTGCAACTTCCATTTTGTACGCTGTACACTAGAACTTCCTCGAAAATTTTGGTTTCCGGTATTTCAACTCTCTTTGGCGGTATTACAAAGTACTAATATCGGCTTCGATTCAATCTTCACCACTGGCTTTACATAATTTTTTCGATTATAATGGTAAAATGTTTCAACGTTATCCTTGTACGGTTTTGTGAATGCCCAGTCGATTTTTTCAGCGGCGACGTAACAGGCGCCTACAGCCGCCGAGGTTGTTAAACGAAGTAACGTTAGCTCGTCTATAACGTTCGAATCGTGAATTTCATTGAGGAAAGCATCCTTCATATGTTCCCATGATTTCCAAACTGATCCAACGCAGATAATTTGCAGACCACCATGGCCTAATTTCAGTGTCTACAAAAGATATTTTTTAATTATAATTTTTTTTTACAGGAAACTGAACATAGAGCTGGGTTGGTAAGAAGTGAATGGCCGGTTGAAATACGTGCAAATTACTATTATCCGCGGTACTATTGTAAAACTGTACAGTTAGAGTGAACTATAATTACAGAGGAATTAATGTTGATCGGTCATTTATCTACCACCAACATACTTTAAGTAGAATGTGATATAATTACACTATGGGCTTTCCTCGCTAGAGCCACGACATGCTTAGCAAGTAACACCCCATTTTCCTTCATCAGATGTATACAAAGCGGATCTTTTTCCTCGCAACCGATCGCGATCTGCTTGGCGAAGCCTGCGAATTTGCTTTTCTCGAAATTCACATAGAGATGTTGCAACATGTCTTTCCTATCCGATGCATTGAAAAATACCCTAAGAGCCGGCCACACGTAGCTGATCGGTTCAGGAGCGGGAATAAGGCCATCGATGTCGTTGAATACGTATTTACAGGCTCGATATGTCAACCAGTAAGCTAAAAGTACAATTTTACTAGTTATATTGTTGAAGCTTCAAAGAATGGTGTAACAAATTTTACAAGGAATAGAACCCCATGGGTAGTAGATATGAGATACAGTTGGCGAAGTTAATGTAAAATGGCTCTTAATAAATTATACTGTTCTGGAATACTGGATTGATTAAGCATGAATTTAAACAAAAAAATAGTGATCATACACTTCCCGCTTAGAAACTACTATTGCATTTATACATCCCAATCACAGTACATTGGCTATCGCCTGACTACTCCGTTAACTCCGTTGCTCTATTCCTGTATCCCTTCCGTCCACTATATCTGTAAATTCTGTAACACCATTTTCTAATGACTCTTGTAAATTCAATTATGATTATCATCTCTTTATTGTTCTAGTACCAACCACTGCCTTCGTCTCCCATCATGTGACCCCAACCTCCGCATCCGACAACTTTTCCGTCGGTATTAATCATCAGCGCGTTACTACCAGTGCCAGCGATCAAAACAATACCGCTTGTGTCCAAGGCGGTTCTCAGGCTACCCAATGTATCTGAACTGATAAAATAGTTCTTTGCTACATTCGGATACTTCGTTCGTATCGTTTCTTCGAGAAGACGATTCGTATCCTCCTCCTCGCATCCACTTAAACAAAGACCCTGATAATTTATGGAAGGGCACGGATTACGGTTTGCAGGAAATATAGATAGATGTTAGGATATAGTGAGCCCGAACACTCTTAACATTTGTGTCAATTCTTCTGGCCCAATACTAGATACCCACAATGCATCACTTCTATAAAGTACAGTGAACCCAACAAGGTCAAAGCATCTTTCTTTTTAATTACTTTCAGATTAATTCTGAAAATTTGTTAAAGTTCTGTTCATGGCCCCAGGCTAGCACCTCACGATATCGTTACTTCCATGTGTTAGTGGAATGGAGTGTCCTTGTAGCGATAACGACAATCGGTTATCGTACAATTCCAGCGACTTATTTATACACCTATTCGCTGGTTCGGTTCAATGAAAATTTTAAGAACTTACTAAGCTATCTAAAGGAACCGATTCCGGGATTCCCAACTGCTCCTTTCCTCTTTCGACCATCGCGTTGATCCTAGCGGCGGTTTCATCCATACCTAGAGCCTAGGAGGAAAATTCAAAAGAGATTTTATAGGTATAGTTAAATATAATATATGCAATGGTAAAAGACACATTTATTTCGGTTAGTGACAATGAATTTACGTAATTACCCAGTGGTTAGTTTCCGGCCCCTTGATTTCCGTCAGCGGTGTCCCTTTCCCATCCATAATGACCAGGGTGGACTGAGTACCGCCACTAGAAATGGTTAAAGTTATTATTGTGTATGAAAGTTAAAAGCAGAAAAAATGAATTTTAATTTGGGCGTGTTACGGTTGCATCATAATTATCGAGGAAGAAACAATATTTTCTAGAGTAATCAGAGGATCAATACTAATTCTGACGTTACACCACTATATTGATTCGCAAATAATTACAATCTGATGTTTCAAGTGGTCTGTAAATGTACATTGAATAATTGTACATTGCGAGAGAGGCGCTGTGTTTGTATAACGGTGCACTTTTCGCGGAAGTCCAGTCATGAAAATCAAGAAAGAAATTATTCTAAAAATACGTTGCAATCACCTGCGTTGATAAACATTGATAAACGTATGCTTTTTATCGTTATTCTGAAAAACGACATTCGATGATGTTATTTCAATTAGATCGATCGTCGACTTTCGACCGTGTTAAGCTCCAAAAGAAACCGCTAAGAAATTCTTTAATTACTAATAAACAATTTATTAATTGAATTTATCAATCAGAAAAATAAATTAAAAATACGTCAAAATTGGAGGGGGACAAGTTGCCCGTCTTACTTGTAAGGAAACGATCATGTTGTTCGACCAAATGTTCTAGATTAACGCTATCGGTTCCCATTAATCAGAAATTATTATTCACAACTGCATTGAATGATAATTAGATAGACCATCATTATTGTATTGCTTAATCTTCCTACTCACCCCTCGATGCCGCCAAGTCTGATTTCTTCGGGATATTGCGTTACCTCCTGTTTAGATTTTTCCATCTTTTCATCCAATTCGGTATCTCTTCTGTGTGCTTGTTTCCTTAAATCCCTACGAAGCTGGTACTCATTGACCTTCTTTTTCCCTTTCTTTCCTTTCTTCTTTCCTGCCATTTTTTCAACGGAGTGATATCAAATTCGTTTTCCGTTCTTGAAGATTCTTTCGGGTTTCTGAAGGACGCAGGGATTCAGGCACGGGATTCGGATAAACAAGGATTATCTAATAATGTACGACACTCGATTCACATCGTGCAAACATTTCGTGTTACGTATTCAAAGTTCACGTATTTCAAAGCAGAGGCGGAAGAGATACACACATGTATATAATGATTCATTTTTTGTGAGGAAACGACATACATACATTAACTTACTATAAAAATTCAATGATTCCTTGATGTCGATTTAACGGACATATGCTGTGCAATTAATAATTAATTATTGCGTCGCTGTGCTATTCGTGGAGCGAAACTTCACGTGGTTGGGTGCAAAAATTCCGGGTAAGTCTCGGAATGACAGATGTGGTAGCTGGAACCAGCTGGAACTGTCGCGACTGCCACAGTTCCCTGTAAATGTTTACAGGTGACAAAACGGGACCTACCTCTACTGGACGAAGTTGCCTTTGTTACTGTCGCTACTCAGTTCATGTTGCATGTTTCATGCAGCCAATTATTCTATCTATACGATTTATACCGACAATCAAAATAATCGTTCGCCCCACTTCGACAACCTGCCCTTCACCAGCCGAAATGATAGCTCTCAATTACGCCATAATATTTAATGGTACATAAAGAAAAGTATGGAAACAATTATAATTGTCTCTTTTTTTCAGTGACGTCAAATTGTTTATTGAATAAAATAGTTTAATATTTAATTCTACCACATTCTACATATAAAATGAAAAATGCGATCAACTTGAAAGAGATCTGTGGCACCATCTACGTAAAAACATTGAATCTATTAGCCAATTAGTACCGCGTTGTTGTCAGAAGATGGTACCATCGTCTCCTTCGATTATACGTAACTTCAATCGACTTTAATGTTTATTAATAGCTTTCAGAAAAGATAATTTGTATTAGGAGGAGGATTTAACAAACACTCTGACATTATTAGAAAAATATGTAATTGTAATTAACACTGTTTTTCTGTACATTTTAATATACATTATTGAATCTCATGGCGTAAAACAGAGCTCCGATTTCAGATGGTGACTCTGAGGTTGCGGAGTGAGGTGGACAACAGTTTTGAACACCAATGCACGCTATATAAATATTAATTACACCTACCTACCAAACTGTGTATGTTTTCGTTACTTTTATTATTTCTCGTTTTATGCATTGCGTCGAGTTGCACGTAACAAAAATCGCCTTTTAGTGCCTATCTTGCATAAAAATGAAATACTCATTTTGGAGTCAATATATTGAGTCGTAGTGAGTCCGTGGATACTCACACAGTCTCACATTATCGTTACCTTCTACGAGTTTTGTTGCATTTTCTTTTCCAACAGATTCCATTGAAACGTTTTCTGTTGTTTGATGCAGGACTGTTTATTGTTGTAAAAATAATTAATATTGTAATACTAAAGCAAAATATCCTTAAGCTAGCGTACGTTAAAGGTTAGTTTCATAACAGCCATTTACGTTTAGGGTGATTCATGTAACGTAAAACATTTATGTATGCATGTATAAATTTGATATCAAATGAATTTATTATATAATAGGTACAATTTGTAGAGTTTCTCTTAATCGTAAAATCTATTATTGAGATAACCAAGGAAGTACTGTTGTAAGAAATATTAATTATATAATATTTCTATTATTTTTAGTGACACGCATTCAAAAAGTGAAATAAAGTTTATAAAATAGAGGTTTTAAACAATATTATTCAGTGAAAGAATTAATTCCACTTATGGATATATTTTGTAATAAAAATTTATAATAACAATGTTGACACCAACATCAGCAATACCTTCCACATCAATAGGGGGCTCAAGAATACCAAGTCCTATTAGCGATACATTTGATGATAATCCGAACAAATTAACAACATATTTACAGCAGCTTGCTGGTTGCTATGAAATGGAAGTTGATGTGATTAGTAAAGATCATTGTTATACCCGGCCATGGAACTGGAAGCCAGAAAACATATATGTGAAACCGATAAAAAAGTTATTCTTTCCCAAGAAAAATCTAACAATGTAAGAAACGAAAGACAAATAGCATTAAATAGAATTGTTAAGTATAAGACCTCATTATAACATTTAATTCATCAGAGAGAAACCTGCCCAGGATGAAGAAATCAATGTAGAAGAAGACTGTGATGAGCCACTGGCACCACCAGTAGATTTAACAAGAGCTAAGCATCAAATGGATGAACTTCAACGTTTAGCTAACTTTGCTCGGCCAGATGAGAGCGAAGATTGGGAAGAACGACTGGATAAAATTCTATGGACACCTGTTCAGAATAGAATATTTACCAAAGTCCTGAAAATTCTAAATTCGGAGAGACTCGCGAGATTAGCCAAATCGAATAACGGTATAGAGCCAGTTTTTCGGCGAACGTCGATTGATACGGCTGCGAGGAGATTTCGAGAGACATTGGCATCTGCCGGTTGGGACTGGAGACTCGCGCAATGGTTACATAGTTTATTGTTCGATCATCTTCCTCAGGAGTATCTTGGGATTTATCTTGATATATTGCAAACTCTAAGACTGAAAATTCCTCAACTTATCGATAAGATGATTGCTGTACAGCCGAATATTAATGCAAAAGCTGGTACTATAACATGGGAAACACTTGGATCACTTTTGAAACGATCGTGGGATCCAATTACTCCAAGCCTAAACGGCAACAGACTTGTAATTAAATTTTATTATGCAGATTACTACAGCGAACCATGCATACATTAGTAAATATAATTCTTATTATTATCGTAGAAAAAATTACCAGGAAATCCGATTTTAATAATTGCACCATCCGGAGTTGGATCTTCCATGTCTCAGAGACAACACAAATGGATTTCACAGTTAGGAGCTCTAGGAATGGTTGTTACTGTTCATACACACTTAGGTTTAGCAGCAAATAGAATGACCATGATGGTGTGCATTGATCAACTAGTCCAAGCTACAAGAACAAAAATACAAGATATCAGAAGCGATTGTCCTGGCCGACCAATAATATTAGTCGGCTTTAATACGGGCGCTGCCATTTCGTGTCAAGTATTTATATTTTACCTTAACATATTTCTGGTAGATAGGGTTTTAATATAATATAGAATTTTTCATATTATATTTGAATATTCATAGGTGGCCCAAATGGAACATATCACTGCAGTTATTTGCCTTGGATTTCCTTTTTGCACGGTCGAGGGAAAAAGGGGTACACCTGATGATACGTTAATGGATGTTCGTTGTCCAGTTATGTTCGTCATTGGGCAAAATGCTACGCTCGTAAGGATCGATGATTTAGAAGATCTTCGTGAAAAGATGTTAGTAGAGACAAGTGTGGTGGTAGTTGGAACTGCAGACGATCATTTAAGGATATCCACCGCGAAGAAGATATCAGAAGGTATTACACAGAGCATGGTGGATAGGTGTATCCTAGATGAAATCGGGGACTTCGTAGGCAGTATTCTTATGCAACCACACCCATTGCCGTTAAGATCAACGTTACTGTCGAACTTTGAGAGTAAAAATAACCGAAAAGATTCTCGAAAACGACGGAATTCGACGAGCAGTTCTGTCGAGAGCGAACCGAATTCTCCAACTGTAAAAAAATCTCGGCCGAACACACCTATTTCTTCAGCAGTACCTATTGGACAGATTATACCATCAGCTACAGTTTCGAAAGTAGGAACGTTTAACGCGCAATCGAATTTAGTTACACCGAATGTTGCACACACGAGTCATACGCAAACTGTAAAACGCAAACCCCGTATGGTTAGTAATCAGAAAGCGCACTTCGTAGAGCATTTAATAACATCCAGAATGTCCGGGCAGGTAAACATTTAATACAATAATATCCGTATAAATGTGCAGGCACCTTCAAAAGAAGCAGGTGTAATAATAAATATATTTATTTCAGCAAAATTCAAACTCAGACAACGGTGGTATAACGTTAAATATTGGTTCTTTAGCAAGTTTAGCTCCTATCGGTCCAATACGTTTAGCGCCAGCGTCGACGGGTCAAACCACCTCTTCTGCGGTCAAAAGCACCCCTAAATCTTCAGTCTCCTCCGCTAAAGTACCTAAAATTATTCCCACAAATGTACAGCTGCAGAATGTTTCAAAGATGAAGGCAATTGTATCATCGAATAAAAGTTTTTCTAAAGTAATATCAAGTAACTATAGGCACCTCGGTATACCTGACAAAAACGGAGATGCAAAGTTGTTGAATGTGTTATCGACTTCAGGCAACCAAATTAGAGTCAGTACACCAACCAGTGCAGGTAAACTCCTTAGAAAAATTGCGTTTTACTTTTACTCCATTGACCTATATCTTATTACATAAGTATTCGATGTTTTCTCATAGCAATACATAGTAAACCTGGAGTTGGTACATCAAACGGAAGTTTATCGAATATTTTACAAAATGGCAAGGGTTCTCTCACGCTAGCCACTGGTTCATCGTCAGCCCGTGTATCAGCAGCTTCTAGTATTTTACTGACACCAAATAATTCTGCAACAACTACCGTAGCACCAACCTTGTCCACAATATCAAAAGGTAGAATCTTATTATCTACTCAAATACTAAATAATTTACCCTCATCGTAATATTTCTTGTCTCTACGAACATATATTAATTTAAGAATTTACTTCGGCCAGCGAAGTTCTTGTAAAAAGTTGATGTGTTTAAACGGAACATTATTCTTTTCTAAATTTGATACATTTTGTACATATGTATATAAAAGTTATACAATTGTAGTACGTATATTTGATGAAATATACTTTATGTGCCTGTATGGAATACGCATAAAAAACGACAGACATTACTTCACGACCTGAAAATAGAATGAGGGAGAAATATACAAACACGATAAGGGAACAAATATGAGTAGAAAAACATACTTACCATAGTAGAATTTATTGAAAGTTACGATTGAGATATGTACTGACCGCATTCAGTATTTAACGCGTTATGTTTTAAAACAAAAAAAGTATTGGAAAAGAGGTTTCATGTCATCTATCCGACATATTTAAACTTTATATCATACATTTGTTTTTATAGAACCTACATTGTACATGCAACATTAGTGCTTCACTTACTGACTAGAGTTTTTCTTAATATATTTTTGTCAGATGTATTTGTCTTTTTACAATTTTTTACTGTATGAAAGATTCCTAGATTTCTGTTTTCTTATCATTAAATCCACTAGCTTAAAAGACTACGAACTTATAAAAAAAAGCTAAGTAGAGTATGCATGAACATCATTGATATAGGAGTTTGAGAACAATTATTTCAATCCTTTTTTTTTTACTATTATCTTCATAGATTTTGGTTTTAAACTTTTTCCTCTTTATAGTAGTTTACAATCCTTTATACAAAATGTGTCTTTGTAGAATGACTGAAACAGTTTAAATAACTTACTAGATCTTATTTATTTCTAGTCTTATTGTATTTCTTCTTATTATTAGTGCATTTATAATATTCTTTTGGTTTTGTACATATAGAATCAAATATTCCTCATAATATTATTCTTGCCCAGGAAAAAAATAATAGGGGGATTATGTATACACATATGTGTTGTAAAACATAGCATGTATTTATATTATTTTACAATTAATATAAGTTTATATATTCAAAAATATTTAAAGTAACCTGTTGTAAATATACTAGTACTGTCTTTCGTTTTGTATCAAATAAATATTTTTTCATGTAATTCGAATTTATTTGTTTCCTGACCCCAATCCTATTTGTATTAACAATGTGTATAAATTTTCACTTAGTTCATATTGCATCATTAGTTGTGAATGTAGAGTTTTTGATACTACCAAAACATTTAATTTAAAAATTGTCACACGTGTATAATACTTAACAGGAACATTAATCAAATAGTTATCAACTTTCTTTATTATTATTCTCCTAGGTTTTCGCATGATTTACAATTACAATAATAGTGATATTTTCCATAATTTTTGAACATATATTTAGATCTTTGAATGGGGTTCATATTAAGTCAGTGAAATATTTGTTGGCTTATACTGTAATAACTTGTTGAAACATACCTATGTATTTTGTAGTGATGGACGGCATGGCAACAACCAGTATCTCTTCACATGTGATGCTCAGTTCTACTCATTCATTGGATACATTCAAGATGTCACAATTACCTCGACAAGTAACAACCTGTAACAACAATGATAACTCTCATAATACATCATGTGGGAATATAATTATGGTTGAAAGTTCCCTTAATGCTAAACCCACCTGTTCGTCGGTGATAGTACCACTAAATAGTCACAATTCGGGGACTATTTTTCCACTGTCCAGCAAATTAAAAGCTAGCCAACGATCTACGAAACCAATGCCAAAAATTACGGTCAACGCATCCAATTTACAAAGAATTCAGAAAGCAAAGCCTCAGACAATACAGAAGAAATGTCTTGCGAATGATATTGACGATGATTTAGGAAATATATTGGATATACCAATAATATTCGCAAAAGATGATGACAATTTGAATTCTATTGAAAGGAATCCATGTTTGTCGCAAGTAGCTGCACCTATAGATGTTCATGATAAAGGTACACCTAAATTGAACAGTAGTACCAAAGTTGTTCTCATAAGTAATAAACAAGATAAGCTACAACAGACGGCTAACAAATTTGTTACACCGTCTACTCAGACTATTATATGCCCTAACGTAGCTGTACAAAATCTGAATCATGTAATATTACAAACCAGACCTCAGAATCCAACGATATCCAAAATTAAAACTACAATACCAATACAAAACCGTACGAATCAACCGACTATCAAGTACACTAAAATAATACTTGCTAAAAGAAATTCACAGCCGCTTCATCAGAATGATAAAAGTGAACAAGTTATTGTGACAAAGACGATCGACAAGATTAATACACCTAAGGTTTTGAGCATCGATAAAACTGCGCAAATAACGTCGAAGCAGTTAGCAAGGAACGACGAGAAGTTTATAGATGATACATTAGAGATAGAAGATGCAATAAAAATGAATATTATAGAACGAAAGTATATTCCTGTGCAGAGGATCGATCTAACGTCACCAACAAAACAGGACAATGTAAAACAAATTTCATGCGAAACAAAGGCGGACGATGAGAATAATTATTCACAGAATACGAAAATTGATGATCGAATGAACTTGCATATGTAGAATTTTAAAGTGTGTATATCTGTATGAATGATATAATCATGTAAATGTCACTGGTTAAATAGCTTTAATAGTTACTAATTATATATTGTTCCTCATTATAGTATAAGTATGATAAAAATACAATTAATGCTATTTTACTTTGTATAAAAAGAGTGACATATATGAGAATATAGAGCAGCTAAATGAATTTTAAACGATGTTGCATGAAATTGTATTTTACAGAAGCAAAATTTTTAGTCAATAATGTTTGAAACAATTTCAGATTTGTCTCATTGAAAGAATGTCATGAAAAATATTTTGTTCTGTCAGTATTGAAATATTCCATTTTTTTTTATTATACACAGTTTTATATTCTTTAGAAACAAGGGTTCACAACGAATATATGTAGACTGATATCTTCGAGCAAGCATTAATACTTTGTTAAGTATTAGTTATGTAATGTACACTTATCTCAATATGTTACCAAAGTTGCAAGACTCAAGTAAGAGAATACCTTTCAATATATGTGTTCAAATATCTTAATTCAATCACGAATTCTATTAATTGTGATAATAAACATATACGGATTGTAAATAGATAATGATCGTTTAAAAACATGTGCATCGCGATTATTGTTGCACATCTGTTTCATTGTCAAATCTACTAATTACAATAAAACTTCGCTTTTTAATTTATTTACTTGAAAATAGTACTTATTTCGTAGTTACGTACAAGACATTGAGGACTGTAAATAATTATTTACAAAATACGTACAGTTGCAAATAATACATTGCTCACTTCATTCGTGTAATTTCTGTTACAGGTATGTTAACTGGTATATGCTTTATAAAAATCTATGTATCCGTCTGCGAATAATTCAGTGTTGTTTATAGTGTTAACATAATCCTTGAATTTGCTGTTAACAAAGTGATGAGTTGTTATTGTCTTCTTAACAGTTTTCTTTTTCGGAACTGGTACCGCTGGATTGAACACAACACCGGTAGGATCGTATTCGCTGTACAGTTCCTCTGGGGTTCTATAATAAATTATTCCCATTGTATATCACAAAATACCACTTAGTACAAGGAAAAAAAGAAGTTCCACTTACAATTTTGCAACATCTGAAGTTAAACTGCCTTCTCCAGACGATGGCACGCCCCAAGCTATATTTTTCGCTATTTTTTGCACAGTACCGTGATAATGTCGCTGTATAAATGTATAAGCAATTAGTAAAAGTTATGATTTGATTTATGCGTATTTTTAGATTATACGAACACATACTTGCAAAGCTGCAAGCTCCCATAATGCGGTGCAATGCGCGTTGCAATATTCAGGTTCTTCTAGTTCTGGCTGATAAAAGCCGCCTCCGGTATTGCAGTCTGTATCAAGCAGAACATTCGCTGCTTTTCCAAGCTGCATGCTTTGTTTTACTATACCAAGAATGCTGAGAGCTGTATTGTGTTGCGATTGTAAAGATATAATAGCCATTCGTTTGATAAACGCTATTAAGCGATTTTGTGTGATTCTCTTTCTCTTTTGAACTAACACTTGTACTAGAATCTTTATAAGGGTGTCCGACTCTGGGTGAGTCTTACCACAGTGGATGTTTATCAAATTTTTATACAAATGTACATAAAACCTGCAAAATACAATAGTACATTTAATTTCTTTCCTTGAAACATTGTTTGTCTCGACACACACACCTGTAAGGATCAAGATTTAATGCCGAGCCTGGACCTGATAATATCGTAAATACACAGTGAATACAATGTAACTGATCTCGTATACTTAAATTTTCTTCTTCCATCAATTTATTTATGACAGTCACTAGATCTTGATAAAAGTCCAAATTTATACAATGTGCAAACCTATAATTGTCGCGCAAAATTAGATATCATGTAATATTATAAGGGTACAATATTATATAGGTAAAAGTTATACTTTGCCAGGCCTTCCAAGCAGATAGATAGAATTTTACTATTTGGAGCTTGCTTCAAAATTCTGAAATAAATTGTAAACACTATGCCAGTAATTTCAGTAAGCAACTTTTGCTTGGATTGTTTATTCTCTTCTGCTTTGGTTTCAAGTAATTCTTTTTCCACTTCTTCAAGCTTCTTACTTTTCTTTCTTTCTCGTTTACTTAAAGCGAGAATTCTTTGTTTGTGAGACATAAGTTTCTTCTGTTTAGTCTCCTCTTCTTTTTCTTTATCCAAGTTCACATCCTTTATACGAAGGGATAAAAGTACAGACAACACTTCTGAATGAACAGAATGAGCCTTAAGTTTTATGTATTGATTTAATCTACGTACTATCTGAAAGTTGAAACGGTATAAGCAATATTCTTAAACTACAACTGTAGTAGCATATTGTAACTGCTGAAATTTCTTACTGTAAGAGACAATTCAGCACGTTTGTCCTCTTTAAATATTTGGGAGATACATTTAGCCACTTGTTCTCTTACAAATGCATGTTTATTATCGAGCAGTGGTAACAGAAAATTTGCTATGTTAACAGAATAGTTGAAATAAGGATGAGTGGTTAAGAGATCACACATGCATGTTACTCCAATTTTTCCTAATTCAATTTCCTGTCCTTTCAATTGTCGTGTGTCTCCTTTTTTTTTTCTTAGAATACCAGACATCCTTTCTAATTTTTGTAAATAGCGTTTATAATTCCTTAATAAAGTAGCTTCATAATTTTGCAGTGCTAATGTATCCTTTTTCACTAAAGAAAAGAAAGAATGTCTAATTTATAAATAATAAAATATGATACAAATAATAACTATCCATCATAGTTACATACATTTTACACCTTCTTGTTGAATTTGCAAAATATGATAAGATGGCAACAGGTCTTTAAAGACCTCTAGCAAAGACACTGTTGCTAATTTTCTAACAGTAATGCATACTTCTGGATTAGTTTCTTCCATGAAGTCTAATAATATTTTAAAGTTTTCAGACTTGTTTTCTGGTGCTTCTAAAAGACTACTAGCAAGTAAACCAATCTTCAAACGTTTTGATGTTAATGCTTCTTTTCGACATGCCAAGAGTTCTATCATAGAGATGGGTTTCTTATTGTCATCTTTGTCTTCATCCTAAAATATTGGATAGTACATGAAACTATTACCTACACATGAAACAATTAACTAATATAAGCATTATTACACATACATTTTTTTCCACCTCCATATTGTTATCTTGTATGTCCTGTTCTTCATCAAACTTAGTTTCATTCTCTTCATCACTAACTTCTTCGATTACCCTCTTCTCTATAATCCCATTTTGAGTCTTTGTAGGAAGTAACATTCGAACTTTCTTTTTGCCCTCCTCCTCCATTATTTTTGAAACATTAGTTTCATACAACTCTTCTAATCTTTCTTCATTTTTTCTATTCTTATCCTTATCCCTTCTATTATTACCATCTATTCTAAGTGACACACAATTAAAAATATTAATACATCAATGTATCAATCATAGCATTCAAGTTAAATAAATATAACTGAACATACTCATTTAGATGTATATGCTTCAATAAATTGTAGGACTTATTAGAAATAGCTTTTTCTAAGAAATCTAAGTCATCTTCTTCAACCATGGTCAAAAGATCTTCGCCATGGTCACTTTCTTCTTCCTCTACTGATTCATGGTGTGAGGATACTACTTTCTGAATTTGTTTCTTTGCTGGCTTATGTCTTCTTGTTTTAAGTTTTCCTTGCTTCATAAGTTTAGTTTTTCTCTGATTATTTCTTTTAATTGTACTAATTTTGAGCTTCTTCTGTTTTCACAAAGGAATGATTACAATGGACATATTCTCTTAATAATTTAAGGTAACATAAACTAAGAAATATGTTATATTAACGATAAAAAATAACAAATTTCAATGTTATAAATGTATATATACTGGACGAAAATAATTAGGTTAAATTTATTATACGTAATTAATTAAACTATTATGACTTACCGCCATTTTTAGTAGTTTTAAATAACTTCAAATCAAGTGATTTATTTTCCACAATAGTTAGGTTGCTGTTGCTTCTGAACTTAATTAATATTATTTATCTGCGTATCGCAGGGAAGTGTTCCTTGGGTTCTTTCAGGTTTTTTGTGTCAGCACGTGTTTTATGTACAAGCGCCGCGCCACGTTATACGCTGTTATACGCAGTTATACGGTAGCATACATGTAAATATCGCTTGTTGAACCTTCGTTTTTATTAAACATTAAAAATAATTTATACGAAAAAACTGTTTTTATTAACCAGTTTATTATACTTATTTCATTAACAATTAAACGTTAATGCTAAATTACAGAATGTTGACTTTCTTAATATGTATTATATGTAAGAACATGAGTGTATTTTGAAGTGTTTATGCAATTACACATATCGCGAGTGGTCAATAATCTATAATCTATGTTAAAACAAACATCGTCTTGAAATATCATCAAGGGGTAAGTTATTATTTACACGTAAATCTAAAATGTATATGTATTGCGAAGGAAGGTTATGTTTTTGTACACTTATCATTCTGATAGCGAAGATAAGCTGAATCAGATTACCTGATTGCAATCAAATATCTTATTAATAAAATTATTCATGGTACAAAGTGTCAGCATTGTCATAATTACTTTATAACTTTATCATTGTACACGCCTGATTTTATCGAACAATACATTTCTTTTGCATTTTTTTGTACACACAGCCTCTATCACATAAGAATGGTTCATCAAATAACAACTATAAATAGAATATGAATGTTATCCGTTTATTAAAGTAGAATAAATCAAATACATTAGCGAAGGTTTAATCAAAATTCTCTTGTACTTTGCATGTCACAAAGTCTTACAGTTTCGCTGTTACGCTATTTTACTGAAGTATTCTAACATCTTCGACATAGATGTATTATTACAGAATTTTTTCTGTTAAGAAAGTGTATTTGACTATTTATGAATGCATATGATAATTCGTGTTTTTTTGTCTAACCAGTGTTACTGACAATTACAGATATACATATTGTTTCGCAGTATAAACAATTTATTTACAATGCTGCACTGAAATTTGGGTAACCGTATCAGTGGACGAAAATTTATATCATGTTAATTCCTGCTTCTTAAAAAGAAACAGCCGCAAGGATCAAAATTTACATAAACGTCCACAATACGATTACAAATCATAATCTACCGATTTACGGGAAAATGTCGATAATAGTAACGTAACAAACGGTATTACTCATTACATCCACCGGTTTCGATTTGTGAAAGTAGCGCGTAAAGAAGAAAGCGTACTTAGTCTCACACGAAATCGTTCTTTCGTCAGTTCTCGGACTACCAATGAATCTTTCCTAGTGCACAGCCTTAGAATCTTAATGCGGTCTTACAAATTGACGCACAATAAAGACCGGCATGAAACGTTAATGGCTTTCAATAGGATTAATTTACGAGTCGCATGGAACCCATGGAACCAACCGGACAACAGGTCATAACCGATTCTGCTGCTCGAGAATGCGGGTCGTGTAGAGTGCATCGTCACGTAAATATACAACGAAGTCGAAAAGGGAATAGTCGGTTTCACGCGCGTTAAAAATTTCCATTTAAAAAGTTCTTTTTCCAGTGTCATCATACACGTAAACATCGAGCCCTTTGTGCAGACGGAATATACAATGTATGTGTAAATAGAGTGAAACTGGCCCGAGACGTTGTAATCGATTATCGGTAGTGCGCGTAAAGGCGTGCAGAAACGTTCAGTTTTTAAAGTACATTGGTATGTGTGTGTAGTAATCAAAGCGTGTTTCTTGATTATGGCGTAACATCGCGAGCAGTGGAAGTATACTTAAGTGGAATTGAAATAATTTTTTTCTTCTTATTTCGTCTTAATAAACAGTACCGTGGAATCTTATTGGTGGATCGAGAGTAACGCCACCACCAGCAGTTATCCCGAGTGCGTTTACCATTGACCCTGTTCTACGCTTTCGCGAGCGGCGAGCATGGCGTGCATCTCAATGCTATTTCCAAACCGTAATCTTATCATCCGTAACCGACACTGATGGACGGCTGCAGTTTTCCATAGAAGAAAAAAAGAGACAAATTTTCATGCTGATTATTCAACGTGCGCCGGTTTGTGAAGGTTGTGTGTTCCGACAGCGTGTACCACGTGCTCCTCGCTGCCTCGGATGCAGTTGTGACTCGACGCTTGTGGTGATCGCATCGGTGCTGAATAAGACCGAAACTGTCCATTTATTCTCGTTAACTCTCATTCCAGTCGTAGACTTCGTTCAAGGTGTTCTGTGAGAAGTCGAATCAACTTTCGTCGGTTTGTTTTTGCTTCGAGAAGAGTGTAATCCTCCCCTATCCTATGGTGCAATTTCAAATTTCGCGGCTGAAATCGACGGAACTGAAACGTCATCGAATATAAGGTATCAATCCTCCTACGTCGAGTCTACTTATAAAGCTGCGTATATTGTTTTTGGATTTTTAATAATCGTTACATTTCAGAAGTGATTATAAACCCTGCTGGTAACAATATTCGACCGGAAAGTTCGGAGACAGTTCACTCCATCGAAAATTAATGGACGGATGAGGACACTGATGATTATAATATATTTTTTTTATTACATCAGTGTCAACGTTTGTTTGATAATAACAAGTTGGATCACATGAATTTCTTATTCTATTTTACGCGTGTGCATTCCATATGGTTTATTCGTTTCGATTCGTTTTAGAACGTTGCGGTCACACGAAAGAAATAAGAAGCTGCGGATGATAGAGAAATGGAGGAGGAAAAAATAACAGAAACATTCGTATGATAAGTCGGCGTATTTTCACTGGTTGTGTCCTTGATGCCAAAGGCTTCGCTTTATCGTGCGACAAGGTCGAGGTGCACGTATTTAAAAATAATACGTTCTTTAGCAAGAAACGCTGTGACGACTCCGTGACCGGAAGTTGATGACGAAAGCCATCATTTGGACCACTGCACAAATTCGCCGATTTCTTGAAACTTTGAAATTCCTGAGGCTGACGAAACTTTACGTGTTCTGAACTTTTCCAAGAAATTTCACGAAATATTAGTTATTGGCTTCTGGATCCGAACGGTGCAACTGATCCAGACACGTTATGTACGTACGGTCGACGGTAGATTATATACTTCCTACCAGGAAGCCTATCGATAGGGTATTTTATCGATGTTTATCAAAGGTAGCTCATTAAGTTTCTATTATAAAATCATAAACATACAGTAGGCAGACTGCGTTGTTTGAATTTGCTAATGAACAAAAAACAGAGACACATCTGCTTTCTTGTAAATACGTCACTGTTCTTGTTTGCTCGTCTGAGCAGGGTAGAAAAACAAATACACCGTGTATACATACAATTCGAGTCTCTTTTCTTCGTATTTGTCATTGGAACGAAACGATTAGAACGCAATTACACGTCCACGATAGGCTTAATTTACGACCCATTTACCGTCGACCGTATACCTACTTACACGAGTGTTCCCTCGGTTGCACCCCCCGGGGGGTTGGGTTAGGTTAGGTCTTCCAATAGCGTTCGATGACCACGAGGCATCCCTGAGTTCCGTGTGGTGTCATAAGCTCCGGTAGTGTCAGTGAACTGTCTCCCTCCGCGGACGAATATTGTTGCCGGTTACTTAACGCGCGTGTTGCCAGTAGAAAGTCGGCGATATTGCCCCGACAGGCCTTTCAATTACACCGTGTGTTATATTTCCAAAGGTTCGACGAAAGTCGACGGTGTGCCCCAAGCGTGCGCGCGCGCGCGCGTGCGTGTGCTCTCGGTGCGCCGGTGACGATAACGTGTGCGGGTCTCTCCACGGCCCCCGAGCTCATCGGATCTATGGATCGCCGTCGGATCGAGGTGGTTTCTCTCACGGCGTGCGAGGCGCGGATCAAAGTTTACGCGATTGTCAACGTCCCCGATCAAACGGAGTCGAGATAAACGGCGATCGAAATCATGGAAACGAGCAATTCCCGTGTTTTTCTTGTCTTTTTCTCCCCTGGTTCGAGCGGTGCCGTCGCGAGAGCCACGAAAAACGCGGAAATATGGACGGTCTCGTTGAGATATTCCTGTTCCTCGGGGTCCTCTTCTACTTCTTCAACTTCAGGTAACGTATAACAGACCATTCTTGGCATGCGTTGCCCGTACACAGTGTACTCGCTGGGGTCCTTACCCCCTCTTTGAATTCGTCAGGTTCTCTTGACTCCGATGGACTTTCTCTGGCAAAAGAGTATAGGTAGTAGTAGGGTTCGTTAACTTTACGACGCGTGTCGTGACGGTGATCGAGCGATCGTTACGAGTCGTTTGTACACACACGCACGTAGTTCATTGCACGCGTAAGGAAGGTTCGGAATGCTTTCGTTGCTTAACCCTTTTGGTACCTTAATTTCTACACGTGTAATGGCACTTTAGTTTTATGAAATAAGTTTATATGGTGGAACATACGTGTACGTTTACTGGATAGGAATGAGAAAATAAAAAGAAACGCGAAAATATCTTCATTTTTAAGCAAAATATGTTGATTTTAACAGATACCTCAAAAATCACATATTTTGCAAGGTACTTTTTGGACGTTATCTGGTAAAATTGTATAAGGTACTATAAGGGTTAACCCCCACGATCCTACGGTGGATCGAGGCACGGTGAAATTATGTTGTAAAGCGAAGCAATTTTATCGGGTTACTGGATCTTAACTATACGGGTAATGCCACAACAATAATACTGATTTGTTCGACCCAAAAACATGGTTTCAAGTACGTCCGTGATTTTCGCGTGCACGATAACCGATCTTTTGGCCTAATTACAGTCGACCGTTTAATATTACTATTACGCAACTACTATCTGTGGTAACGAAAAAGATAACTATGAATCATGTGTTATTCAGGTTGTCTTGTTGATCGTTGGTTTACCATAGGAATACGAAAATTTGCTAATAGGCGAGGGTTGCCGAATTTGGACCATCCCCTAGGTTGGACCACTACTGTGACTTGTTATGTATAAGCAATTAAGTTAGTTAATGCAATCACCAAATATCATACACATACTGTGATGAAAATTGCTTACACATAAAAAGTTACACATAAAAGTGGTCCAAATTCGACGACTTCCTTTAGTTCGATTTCGTTTGGTGATATTCATCGCATCACAGCAGTACCTACTCAGATTTCTTTTTAATAATGAAATATTCACTCGATACACAAGAGTGTATGTTCAATGATCCGTAAAATTTTCGAGTAGTGAATATTTCTAAAACGTAAATATTACGTTATAGTTTAATGTTACGTGAACGACGGAAATGTACCGTGTCGCCACTGATCAATCTAACAATTGTCTCTTTCGCAGAAAAATAATTAAAACGTTCGTTTTCTGGACGATAGAGATCGAGGGTACACTTGGAGAACGCGTTCGTGGTCACGATTAGGCGAGAACAATGGACGGGCATAAAGTTGAGGCCGTGCAAGGCCGCCTTCGCTAATTAATACAGCACTTAAACTTGATACTCGCGGGAACCCGTTTAAAATGTGGAACATCCTCCGATTAAGAGTTACACTCAGAACTCATAAATGAATTAAATTAATTTACTAAACTGAATTTAGTAAACTACTCGTTAAAAATATCGATTCGGGTGGTTAATCCTTTACCAATTGTATTATGCACCGTGTGTCACGTGTTATTCACGTGGAGCTTTTCAACGATAGAGAATATCTGGTCGCCAGTTCGAGATCGTGGAAATGTTCGTTCTGGGGCGGAGAATATCGACAGTTTCAGATAGCCCCTCGAACAAAATACATACATTTCCCCAATAGACCGTGTATAATGATGCAAATGGAAACGAAAAAAGTTGAACTCTTGATATATCTTAGCCTTTTCGATTTCGATTTATTTTTACACGAGGAATCAACCGTTACGGCCCAACCCTGTGTCCAACAGACCGATGAAACGATCCGCACGACCCATTCGAAAGTTACCATTGCAACTTTTTCGATCGGTATTGGTACCGGAAGTCCGAGGTTCTAGGATGGCGCGTTAAACGCGGAAGTGCTCGATTCGAACCGCATGGAATCATCCGAGAATGGAAAGATAAACGGTTCAATGCTTTGTCGCGGCAATTTATTGTACATCAGTTTTGACCTCGATAACCCGACTGCGATGACGATATCGGTAGCACAAGCGTGCGAAACTAAGGAAAAGATAAGAACGTGGATAGAAAAAGGAGAACGAAACTATACGGATATAATTGTGCGATCTTCAGCGAAAGTCTAGATCTGCGCGTGTACACGGAGAATGGCTTTAACCTCTGTCAACTCGACGACTGTCATCTTCTAGTTCCAATAATCTGCGCGTTTCGGAAAACAAACTTGCGACACCCGAAAGAACCGATCGTCGATGCTCGTCGCTCGTTGGTGAACGATTAACCTTTAAAGTGCCAGAATTTTTTTAATAAAAAAAAAAAAAGAGTAGTCTTTTTTGGCCAAAAATTTATGTATATGGTGTAAGAAGTACCAATATCAGTTTTTTTTATAAAATTAAGATATTATCACTTAAAGATATGTTTAAATTTCTGACACCGAATTTTCTGTTGTTTCAAATTTCTTTTCTAGGTAGATTTTGAAATTGTCATTGTTTGCAATGTCGCAAAAGGGATATTCTCGACAGCCTAAAGCTTAAAGGTTAATCCAGCAATTCCTCTCCCTCCTTTGTTCTGATATCATCCCAGCAAGAAACACCAAAACAGATCGACGATTCAACCCATGCAGGTGGTTATTGTCGATTAATCGTCATTATCGTGCCTCCTACTCGAGGCACAAAGGCAATAGCCGTCTCGAATCGGGCCGGTTGTAATCGTTTGACGGTCTGCTCGCCGGAGGAACCGTTCCACACGAGATACTTCTTATCTGGCTGGACTTTGACGATCGTTCTTTGGCTGCCTCTAAAGCCTCTTTCTGCCAAACAGAAAGTACTAAACCCCATCCTGATAATATTGCTGTCGATCCATTTCCCGACCGGTACAACGTCCGTAGTACGAGAAATCGTGATATTGCACGCCAGAAACACATTGTTTTCCTCATTTTTGCGTTTTGCTCTCCTTTGTTCTTATGTGTGTGCGTGTATGTGACCAATGTCACGATTAATTTGTCGATTTCTTCGGGACTCTCTGCACATACTTCTGTCTTCCCAGAGATCAGGCGCAATATTTAATACTCATTTATGTAACCGATACTCGATACGTTCGCGCGCACTTAGACTCCACAGATCGTATGGCCGAGTATCCATTTTCGTGGGAGGTATCGGCTGGATCGCTTCGGTAACTTATTCCTGGCGTTCGATGTTATCCATTCTATGAACAAAAGTGGACTTTGCAGGTTCGCTCTTTTCAAATATCTCAATGTCCTTCGAGTATTCTAAATTGATCCCTATACCCTAAGCACAGAGAGACTCAATTGCATTTTTCCGAATTTTTCAAAATAAAAGAAGGTATAGAGATCAGTTCGTGTCGTTATCCCTTAGATCGAACAAAGGTCCATTTTCCTTGCCATTGCAAACTTACATCATTCGAGTCGCTGTTATCGAAGCGATGTTTAGAAGAAGCGTAGCATACAGGCAATAAGAGTCGGCATAATCTTCGCTGTTTTTTTCTTCACCTGTACGTATCGACTCTGCATTTTACCGCATAATCGTGATATGATTGATCCGGTGGTCGAATCACGATGACAGGATCGATCACGCAATCGGGCATTCTATTCATATTTTGTGTTTCAGTTCCATCGAGGCCTTTTCATGACCTACAGAAACAAATGCGTTCAAGGACCTTGAATGTAGAAGTTGCATTGGCAAACAGTCGGTTGAAAGGTGTCGAAAATTTATACGGTATATATTATAAGGATAAAAATTTATAGGGTATATATTATAAGGGTCAAAGTTTACAACCACTCCCGATACACGAGGACGCCATTATTACGCTGCGTTCCTTTTCCAAGAGGGGGCCGCCTGCGTATTATACGAAACAATGCGAGTTATGTACTACGTCCCCGTAAGCATCAAGGCGAGCCTAACAAAGGGTAACTCCTTGTAATTTCGTGTCCCCTGTCGTATGTACAGTCCGCCTGGCAATCCCACACTGTGTCGCCGACTTTTCCCCGAGAATCAGAAGGAAAGCATCGATGTCACTGAAGCCATCGTTTAACCTTCGAGTATTTTTGTTTATTTATATAATGAAGTATAATATTTGCGTTATATACCATATAATAAAACGAGAATAATAAAAAAAGCAATAGGGACAACACAAGAGGTACTATAGTTTTGATCGGATACGACTCGAACCTTATCGTCAAAGGGTTAATAAATCCAACGATCGAACTCGTCTCTTCGTTCACCAGTTACCGATTAGTTCCTTTTTTTTTTGCTTTATCGGTGGAACGACGTGTTCGCCGCGGAGTGCATCCAACTGAAAGGGGGCGTGGGGGTACAGGTACGAAAAAAGGAAACCGCATCCGCTCCGTCTCGGAATCAGCGCTCGACTGTGTCGCGTACCCCGTTTAAAAGCGTCGGAGATCGAGCGTGAACGAGGCGCACACGATTATCCGCCGCGTGTGTGTACGACGGGTGCATCGCCCGTGAAATTCTCCTCGAATTATACGCCCGTCACTGCCGGTTTGACGATCATAATGGGGAATATCGTTAATGAACGAACGGAAGTCCACGTGTGTGTCCGTTTGGTTTCAATGGACGATCTTTCGGCACGATCCATCGATTACACCCTGGGGAATGGAAAATAATTGAATGATCACACATCTTTGCTTCGAGTATAGAATTAATTTCTAAACAAATACTTAATATTCTTGGATCACAGGACGAACAACATGGTGGACATACTTTCGACCCGTCTCCAAGAGGTCTACGCGAAATGGGAGTCCCGAACGGAAGTGAAGAGAAACTCGGAACCGACCACCACTCGATATTCATTCGGGGGTGAGCTTATACTTCTTTTAAAGTCTGCAACAGAAATTATAATTAATAAATATAATATAATAATATTTATTTATAAATGCGTTATGAACCACTTGGTACAAACGAGCGTAGAGGACAAACGACTTTAGATATATAATAATACGTAAAGATATACCAGAGTTTACAGAAATTTATAGTAACTATACGGAAAGTTTAACGAAATTTACCAAAGGTTCTACAGGACTATATAGAGAATTACAAAAATAAACAGCAAGAAAAAGAAGAAATAAATACAGAAAAAAGAAATAAAGAAATAACTATATTAAATTATTAGAAATTAGATTTGTTAGGAATAATTCCAGCTACATAATTCGACTTACAGAGACGATTGTCTTTCAGAATTACGACGTACCGGGCAACAGCTGCACAGGAAGAAGATACAGGACCGGGAACTGGCGAGAAAGATACGGGACAGCTCTCTGTTCAAGATCAAGGAGTCCGAACCGTTGGCCCCTTTGATCAAGGAGAAACCCTCGTTCTTGCATCCGTGCTGTAACACTTGTACCCCGTGTTCTAGAGTGAGTTTCATGTTATAGTAAGATAGTAATTATTTGAACTTCTTGGAAGATAAATGGTATTGCATGTGTTACTTTTCAATCACGTATTATATCTAGTATTATTTAATGGTAGTAAAAAATAGGAACTCCTAAACTATCGAATGTTAGCGCTGAAAAAAAGGATAATTGAATATATTCTTACGTTTATCTTTGTGTTTTGTTTAACTGTGGTCGATAAAGATTTATAAAAATATTCTCGCAAAATCAACGCTGCAATTTTCGAGAGTTTCGAAGTTTTACAAAGTTTCAGATTCGTGTTTCGAGAACTTGAGTCCAACCCACCCCTGAAACAAATACCATAGCGCCTGGTCGTTTCTATCAAAACCTACTGTAAGAAATGGACTTGGAGAAATCTGTTAATTTCGATCAGATCATAGTGAAAGTATCCACATCGTCACATACTTGATTATCAATTGCATTGCTCCGTTTGCGTTTGTACGCTTTCTGTAAAAGTGTATTTTCACACGTAGTGTGTAAATGGTCGTACGCAGACAGTTTCGAACGCGTCGACATCGCGTGTTCACATTCCTGTAACACTAAAAATATATTTAGCCGAGGTACTTAGTGACCAGTGCGCGCTGAAAATTGTGGATATTGCCACTGGTAAGACGCGGCGCGTGTCTTCGGATGATTCGTACGTATTCGACGTACGTTTTTGCATTCATTCTGAACAGTTACTTGTATATCTTTAATTAACTGACTTTTTCGTGTTGCTAATTGTTACTGTCAACATTTACATTTTTTGTTTAGAATTGTGTTGATATTGTGAATGATTCATATAAACAATTCGACCGTGAAACAATATTGACGGAAATATTCTAAAAGTATTGGAAACGAAAAGTGCATTTCTACGTGTTTCGACAATGGAAGTTTATACTTTTTTAAATACCGTATGAAACTGTTTCCCATTCGATTGCGAGTAGTTTTGAATTTCGAAGCATCGTGCGACGAGCAAATCTCTTTCCGTTACCTAATTAACACACGCCATCTTTCGACGCGTATTTAATTACGTAACTCTGCTCCATCGGATTCTGTCAATTCCTTTGATAACTAGAGTAATAGTTGCTTACCCCGTAATCGCGCACGGTGTGTGTATAAACTGTTTTATTGCATAATATCTTGTTATACATTCATATGTGTATATATATATATACACACTACACCGTATAGGGCTTGAGAGAAAGAACGTGTATTATTTATAACACTGTGATCGGTGTTCATTTTTTCTCTCCATCGATGTGATTACTTATTGAAGACGAAGTGTCTGTGCACCCGTTCTGTGACAGTGTGCCTTCATTGAATGCATAATCTCGGACTATTGACAACGACAATGATAATAAGGGTTGATTGGTGTCACTGTTAAATGTATTCCCTTTATATACTCTGACGTCATGTATCGACAAATGATACACGTAATATCAGTAACGAAAATTTACCCCCAAACACGCGCGGTACGTTGAGAATTATTTGTTGAAAAAAAAAACGAAAAATGTATGAAGAACCCCGTCGATTTTTTTCACGATGGTTCCGTATCACCGTGATACGTGGATACCCAGAGAATGTAAGTCAATTGTAAAAAAAAAGTTTGAACTGTCCGTATATAATACACTTATCTTCCATGGTTCGTCTTTAAGAATTAGATTCAAAATAAGAAGCAAGATAATGCATACGAAATTGTTATTAATTCCATTTGTATGTTGTTGCAGAATTCATTGGTAAATACCATCAACAGACAATACATGCCTTTTGGTTTAAACATCTTAGTAGTTAATCCAGGGACCACGCTGTTCTCCAAAGTGTTCTACTGCATCTCCCACGTTTATAATCGCAGAGAGTATGACTATTCGAAAGTGACGCAGATGGTAAACGTTATTGTGTCTTTCAATTTGTACTTACATATATTTTGTATTTTCTGTAATATTAAGAGTTTCTTCCTTTATGGATTATTATATGGAATTTTCTTCGTCAGGTCCTAAACGACGAAAGGTTACAGGAAGCAATTACCCTGGACGCTTTGGAGACAGTGAACAATGAGGGCGGCAGTGAAAAGAAGGCGTTGGAAAAAGCAAAAGCCCGGGCCAAAATGATTCTGCTTGAGATGGAGAGCAGAATAAGCAATCTTTTACTTAAAATGACCGCATGGGTTCTGTATAAATTACTGCCATGTTTTATACAGTCTGCTATAGTATTACCGTCGCAGATACAGATGCTGAGGAAAGCAAACGAAACCGGTCTTCCGTTAGTGTTTCTTCCGTTGCATCGCAGTCACTTAGATTACATTATGATCAGCTTTACTCTCTTGATGAACGACATTAGAAATCCATTGATCGCAGCCGGGGATAACCTGAAAATCCCATTTCTCGGGTACGTTTCGGTGAACGCAGATTTTGTTGTTATTCTGCGAAGAAAAAAACTGTTTGTTATAAAATACTTTATTATATTTATATTATGTTCAACACTTTTTTAAACAGGTGGATTCTGCAGGGTTTAGGCGCATTTTTTATAAAACGTCGAATGGACCCCGTGCTGGGTCGCAAAGATGTTCTTTATCGTGCTACCCTTCACACGTACATAATGGAGAGCTTACGGGCGGGTCATAATATCGAATTCTTTATAGAGGGTGGACGAACGAGAACCGGTAAACCGTGCATGCCGAAAGGTGGTATTTTGAGTGTCATCATTGACGCGTACATGGACGGAATTGTCGAGGATGCGCTGCTCGTACCTGTTGCAATGAATTATGAGCGTCTTGTGGATGGGAATTTTGTTAGGGAACAGCTGGGTCAACCAAAGAAAATGGAGACATTTAGGTCTACCATGAAAGCTATATGGGAAACTCTGAAGGGCAATTATGGTATCGTCAAAGTTGATTTTTGTCAGCCATTCTCTCTCAAGGTAACCTTAACTGTTCGTAATTATGGTGACATCGTATACGTTTTTCATGTTTTAATTTTGTTTCATTTAAACGATAGGAAATGTTGAACTCGTTTCAAGCCCAACAGAATAAATTAGCTGGCAATAAAATGCCAGCTACCGAGAAAACTTTGAAGTATACAATGTCCAGTTCGTCACTTTATGGTACAGATGTTATTGTGGAAGAATACCGTCAATTAGTGGATAGTATTGCACGACACGTTGTCTATGGTAAGGCAAGAATCAACTTTGGTTGTACTAAGTTTCATTTCGATGAAATGCTATCGATGTGAAAAAATATTCCTTAGATTGTTCTACCTCAACACCGATCATGTCTACGAATGTTGTTGCGTTTTTACTTTTAAATAAATTCCGAGATGGCTGCACTTTGGACAAGTTAGTTGAAGCATTCGACTCGATGAGGCTTGAAATAGAAGCCCATAAAAGGAACATTGCTTTTTGCGGAGAAAGTATTGATATTATCAATCATGCTGTTAGTAAAATAATTACATTGCGAACGCTGTATTACGACGAGAGGATAATATTCTCGCTTACCATTTTCAGCTGGATATTTTAGGGCCAGGCTTAGTGAAGCAGCAAAAACAAGAAATCACAGAAGCGATCGATGGTCAGCCACTGAAATCAGATTTTGTTACCGCAATCCGTCCTGTCTCAATTTTACCAAATGTGATCGAACTGTCGTATTACAGCAATGCAATGCTAACGTGTTATGTCATGGATAGTATAATAGGTAAGGACACGTGTTAACTCTCGAATCACTTGATATCCCTAACGTTGTTCGTCATATTTCCAGTAACAGCTTTATATGCTGAATTGCAGTCACAGATCAACGATCCTGTAGCGATTGCTCAAAACAATATCACTGTATCCAAGGATCTCCTAATACAGTGGTCACTTAAGCTTTGTGATATCCTTAAGTACGAGTTCATTTTTTGTAAACCATGTCAAGAATTAGAATACGTCGTCATAGAAGCTATAGAGAATCTCTCATATACGGATATTATTACATTACAAGAGGTATTGCATACTTGCGTGATTATTCAGTTGATTCGGTATTGTAAGTGTAAATTATTCGGCAGGAATGTTGCTTAGAAGATGAGGCGTGGAGCAGGAGGTACGCACAGAAGTTTGACGATAGTTCAGACGAAGAATACATTAATAAGAATAGGACTAAAAATACTCAGTATAAAGTAAGATATTTTATACAAGGTTAAGTATACGTTTATTTTTTCTTTAACGGCGATCGTAATATCTTGCAATTTTCTTGATAGTTGAGCTTACTACCGGAACACGCGAAACGTATGGAATTTCTTCATACGTTGCTACGGCCATTAGTCGATACTTATACGCTCAGTGCCTTTACTCTTAAAAAATTGGTAGGTCGATCGCTTTCTGAAAGAGATCTAGTTCAGGAAGTTTTAGCCGAACTGAAAACCAGTTTAGATCGGGGTATAGTAAATTATGGTAAGTAATAAGATCCAAATATAATCGATACTATACAATAAAAACGTGAATACAGGATTTATATTTTATAACATAGGAGAAAGTTTGTGTGTTGATCCGATAAAAAACTCCTTAAAACTATTCGAGAAATGGAATGTTTTGGAGTGTCTTCCACAGGAAAACATTAAAATTTTCTATCTGAAAGATGAATATGATAAAGACTCAGCCGTGACGAAGATTTATGAAACAATAGCAGCTTTTAAATGGACCCGAAATGTAAATTAAAGGAGAATACCCGAAACAACTTGTATGGTGTACTATTTTTTTTATATGAAAATTTTGTTATAAAATGTATATAGTGGTTTCAAAACATTAAGTAAGATATATTTTTAAGAAAACCGTCTTTCTATTACGCATTAGAATATGTAAATTGACAAATTTACAAGTTGTTCTGTAGGTAGGTATTAGTGAAAACTTTTAGTCCTAACATTGTACAGTTAAGCATTAGATTTCAGTTATTCATTCTGCTACACGTACAAACTCTTTACATACATGGTTAATGTGATATTACTATACATCAACATTACAATATTATAGACTTATAGTTATTTCGTTAATAAAACTAATCTTATATACTATTGGTTTGGGTATCGATGAATTCTTTATTAATGTTAACGAAACAATATACTGGAAAGAGTAAAAATATTTTTATTACGTTTTTTATATAAAAAGGCTAATTTTATACAAGACAATTACGTTCAATGTATATTATTATACAAAATAAATGTAATAATATGAGTGCTATAGTTCTTCTTAATGCATTAAGAAATACAAATGCATGTATACAATTCAAAACTTAATAACTGATGCAATAGGATAGCTTCTTCTCATACCCATGCATTTTTCTCTATCAATAAATAATGCATCAACTTTAGATTTCAGATCTGATTCTAAATTAGCTCGTGTGCGTAATAGTTGTTGATGTTGTGCCTCAAACCTTTGTAGCTTCAAATTCATTTCATTTATCATTGCATTTATGGTTTCTACTTCTTTGACCATTCTACGAACCCAGGCCGTATCATAAAATTAAAATCTTAAGAGTATACATTATGAAATAATATAACATTTTTCTTGATATACCTGAGTTGAGCATAATCTTTGCATAACTCTGCTTCAGGCCGGTGTGTCCTACTTTCAAGGCGGGTGTGTGCAACTTTTAGGGCAGAGCTTTTGTCTGCAATTGCTTTCTGCATTAGTTGCGAATTTTTTTCAATTTCAAATATTTCTTGCTGAATCTATAACAACAGATACAAACAATGCTGTAGTTTCAAGAAAATCTGTATAGAGTTCTTTAATTACTTTATGTAAATGAGTTTGCAATTTCTCTTTTGCTTCAAGCATTTCTGCAGCCCTTCTGGCTAATTCATTATTTGTATTGCCCCAAGCTTCCCACATTTCATGCCCAACTGCATTTATAGCAATTTCAATATCACTTATCAGCTGACTAGACTTTGATCTTTCCTCCTGCGATTTTTTCACTACATTATTGGAAGCTTCCACCCATGATTCAGCTTGTGTAATACTGAATGTAAAACTTAATGTGCATAAAATGGTCCATATTAAGTGTATCTGTAAATCATGAACTGTATTTATCACCTGTTATCATATTTTTCAATACCTCCATAGTACTGCAAGCCACGACTGAAATTATTCATTTGATGGCATGTAATATCAATTCCCAGTGCAGTTTCCTTGTTTCTTATGTCAATCTCTAACTGATTCTGCACTGCCCTACTATTTGTAAGCTGTATATAAGAATGAAATGTAAATTACAGCCACACAAAAAAAGTTTTACAAAAGCTTATAAATTGAAACATACTTGACTGATACATTTATCAGTAAAATGTTCTAATTTGTTCTGACAATTCCTGACCACTTCTACCTCTTTTAGAAGCGCATGTTCAGCTTGATCATGCACCAAGTCAGAACCTGTTTGTATTTCATGATGTGGAAGAAATGAGAAAAGCAACGATATACTCAAGTTTCAAATTTATAAATTAAAAAACCTGTCCTAGCCTCGCGGTAGTATAAACATTCTTGTGCTATGTGCAATTGTCCCTCCAAGCTTTGTATAGCCGTTTGTAAGCCCCGACGGCATTCTTGCATCTTTGTATTCGCAATTATCAATCGTTCCAATTCTGCAGCTACCTCGTTTTTCCAGAACGTCGTGTCTGTAATTCTTTCGCCTAGTTTCCGACCCGTTTCCGTTTGACCATTTTGTACTTTTTCATCAGCTTCTCTAAAATTACATCGACAAATTTGAACATACGCTACCGTTTGCGATATGTGTTCTATCTTTAAAATAATTTTACCGCATCATTCTGACGGTGTCTTGTCGTAAATTCTCCGAATAATTTCTATTGCTGTTCGATTCATTGTAAAGTTTCAGTTGATTCTGCACCCATTCGTACGGCCCGTATCTAGTGAAGAGCGCAGCTCGAGCTGCATGCGCGGGATTCCGATCAAAACCGGTCACCAAATTTGGAAACCGTAATGGTTCTGTAGCCATTCCATTAGGCATGTAACAAGTATCAGACAACAAATTTGTCATAGGCTGTGCAGGCCTAAATTACCAAGAACAATCATTTTTTTATAATAAACGCAGGATAACGCACAGCTCATGGTAGGCAGTTTCCGGAAGTCCTTACAGAGAAGCTGCTTCCACCATTTCGTATCCCATAGTAGGTCGCCATGAGTGAGGTTTCGGAGTTTTATAAAATTCACCAACTCTAATAGGAATAGGTGGACCAGCAATTTGCTCCATGCAAGGCAGTACGCCTACCGTACTCCATGGTTGGAGTTGCTGAAATTAACATTAACAATTTAATGTGGAACATTATGCGGGGCGGTTTAACCATTGGAAAACAGACCGAATACATAACGGTGTCTCTTCTCTCTTCGGTTTTATGACTGTCCATGGTTGTTTTTTGAATTTGAAAGTTACTGAAAGAGAAATGTTTAATTTTCACAAGGATTTTTTCAGTGTGAGACCTTGTTCAATTTAGAAAAACCCAAGTCGGATTAAGTCGAGGGACATTTATTTAAAAACCGGAAACAAAGTCATCACGTGACGTCTGTCATATGATTCCAGCCCTAGTCAGGTGATCCCCGTTGACTTCTGCTCGATTGTAGACCGATCAGTACTCATCTGACTCGCCCAAATCTGTTACATTAGAGGCATCATGACACGGTTTCGTAGTGTTTTCAGTTTAATTCTTCCTATCTTAACCATTCTATTTCAAATTTCACTTTCATGCGCTGATAATGCGGTACCTGTAGTAATGTGGGGTGATCAACTCAAATTGGATTCCGAAACAAAATCTGTAAATCCTTTTTTAAAGACTACTCGCAAAGAATTTGAGTCTTTTCTCCGTAAAAAGTTAGAAAGTTTACCTCCTGTTCTCGTTTGCGTGAAAGATAATCTGTGTATCGAGGATTTAGTAAAGCACAAACAGGTTAGTATACGCGGACACCTTTCAAAGTTATTTGTTCGTAATTTCGAAGAATAATAGAGAACCCTTTTTTTATGTTTTAGCACCTTCATTCGATCACGACTGATGATTCGATGTATTATTTCCCTGCAGTTGAAACAGCAGTAAATGTTATTGAAGATCTACCTTCTTATAACACAACTTATGCAGATTATACAGATTCGTTATCCGAAGGGCAATTGTCAATTATGGCAATCAGCAATTTAGATATTATCCCAGAGTCGTATAAGACAATAAAAGAGTCCAGCCCTAATGCAATAGTTATTCTCACAGGAAGATCGTGTAATTACAGACATTCTGAACGTATGAAAAGAAATGCCCCCGAGGACAATAATTCTACTTTTACTGTTCAGACAGACAGAGTAATGTTGTATTCTAGTCAACGTTTAGCACTGAAGGTAACTTTAAAATCAAGACACTATGTTCCTGTGTTGTAAGTTAACATGAATGGTACAAGAATGCTATCATAAATATATGTATCGTAGATTCCAGAAGAAACGGATGTCATATTGCTTCCACTAAGGAGTACACCCACAGAGGAAGAACATGCAAAAGAATTGATATTAAACTTGCAGTTTAATGAAAAAGATTCTCCTATATTTAAGCATAAGCTTTCCTTCAAATTTGAAAATAAGTCTACAGGATACTATACCCTAAAAACTGTTAATTATGAATATTTCATTGAGAAAACCACCAATAACCAGAACTTAACAACAAACACAGATATTGTTTTTCCTAATAAGTTTTCTTATCATTGTTCGAAAAATATTACTTTCCAAATGAATGGTACCTACGTCTTGAGTATTGCAGATTTACAAGTACAAGTGTTCTCAAACAAAGATCCCAAAAGAAAACCAGTATTTAGCTATGCGTATGATTGTGTTGGTTTCACTACAATTCCAATTTGGACAGGAATATTTGTTACTGCTATATTAGCTTCGATTCTGATGTGGGGTCTTGCTATGATTATAGACATTCGTACTATGGATAGATTTGATGATCCTAAAGGAAAAACAATCACTGTTTCAGCTCTGGAATAACACAATAACGTGAAACTAGTAAAACAAACGTTCTTATGTAAATACTATATGTCATAAGTAGTAATGACCCAATAAATTACTAGATTGTCAGGTCCATACTGATGTTTCATACACGTATATAATAATCAGTGAGAGCCATTGATAACTTGTTCTCAAAATATAGATTTTTTTTTAAGTCCACTCAGTTGTAATTCTGACTCTAATTTGATGTAATAACATTTCACTATGGAGAGATAAATTTAACCATTCCACTTACCTAACATTATGTATTCATTCGCAGTATTTATATATTTGTTGTGTATGATAATACATGTATGTCATAATATTCATAACAAGGCAGTTCATAACTTATAGGAAGTTTCTTTTACAACCAGGAAAGAAAGATTCAAGATGATGTTACTTGTGATTAATAATCGAGTTCATTATTGTATCTTTCGGTAACAAAACAGACTTGTGATATATTAATAGTTGATTGAAAAGAACATGAAGTTTATAAAAAGATTCAAATGATACAGTTTATGTATTATAGTGTTACATGTTGACGATACGAAATATGTATGCACAGTTTAATAAGATACACATATTAAATAGTGTAAGTGTAGTTATTTAGATATATATTTATAGATACACACAAACATGTGTACGTACGTACATACACAATATCACACAAAGAATTATTTCAGATCTTTAATTCTTTTATTAATTTCGTTAATTTCTTTCCTCTTTAATATGAAGTTGTAAAAATATGTTTTATGAGGTCGTATTATAAACTTTTAATATATTAAAAAATGTACAATATAAAAGAATGTATAATTCTGTTGGTTCATTGCATAACACCTACGTGTTACATGCAGGGACCTCTGCTCCATGTATTATCATGAACACCATGGAATAAGGTGGTAGAGTAATCACTTGTGTAGGTTCTAATATCACAGGCCGGAATGGTGGTAAGTCTCCATTGGGTTGCAATTTTAATATTTTACCATTCATCTTGATCAGTCTGAGAAGAAATGAAACAGAGTAAAGCATTTTATGCTCTATTGTTTGGTAAATAACTATACTTGCCTACCTTGATTGCAGATCATCAGAAGTAAGTGTATATAAGAAGATTTTTGCATTTTTATGAAGTATAGGAAGAACCCCGTGAATAATTACATGAGTAGAAACTTCATTTATATTTACTCCATATATTGTAATTGCTGAAACTCTGCTAATCAATACTTTTTCAGGCGTGCAGTGTGCATACAATCGTACACAATCAAAATTGTTTAATGATATTAATTTTAAAACCTTTTCTGACACAAAGTGCTTATAAACTATGCTCAGCCACCAGTCTGGATTGGGCATAAGATCAGGTCCTACCATAGCATAGTTCCCACCAAACAGTGATTGTCTGGTGACAACATTTAAACCAGCACTAGCACTGTATCCTAATTTATCAAGCCATAAAAATCCAGCCACAAATCTATTTGACAATTCCGGTGCACCACCACCATAAGCTGTACTAGTCTCTGCTGCAAAATTTTAACAAAATGTAAGTTCCAATTATAGTTATTGATGTTTAATAAGTAACCACATACATAACCACATAGGAATATTCTTTCCTGATGATTTAATTGCCTCATTCATAGACCTAATTTGCATTGGCAAGTAATTAAAGGTAGATACATTAATGAAATCTGTCACTTGTGCTTCTCTTCCATTGAGATAATACTGATGCCAAGTAAGATAGTTGACACTGTCTTTATCATTCTTTAAAAATGTTTCTGCGTAATGCTCTCCCTTGTGATTAGCATCCCCTACATGATTTACTTCTGGACCAACAAGAATACTCCAATTGTATCCTATTTGGTTCAATAACAGTTTTAACTGATAATAATCATTTGCAAGTTGTGTTGCACTCACATTTCTACTAAACACATGATGAAATGAATTTGGTTCTAAAACAACATAATAAGTATGATTTAAAATGTACTGATACATAATAATATAATTGTGAAATGTAACTTTACCATTTCCTAATTGCCAGTCTAACTTCATATGTTTCTCTTTGGCAAATAAAATGATACTTTTCGCGTTAGTATTGTTCCAAAAATTATTTGCATCTCTAATTAATACGTTTAAATCGAAAATCATGCGTAGTTTCGATTTCATTGCAAAATTATATAAATTTTCGAAATCAACGTCGGTAATTGTGAAGTTACCAATGTCTTGTCCATCCACAGGACTAATCTGTTTTTCGGTACTTATTTGCATTGTCTATGTCGAAAACAGTTATTCAGATTACAGAAAATTATTAAAAAGATACATTAAACTGTATTTAAAGTTACAAAGTGTACATGAAGAGATTGACCAAACCTGATTAAAAAACAGGCAGTCCGAGGATGTCCCCCCTATTCGAACGTAAGCGGGTGCAAGATGTCGAGCCAAGGTAATAAACTTCTCATTTTCAATTGGGAGATTTTTCATATCGCGTAATAAAGACGTGTCAAGACCAAAAGATAAGAATCTCTTCGACACGACATTTAAGGGTAAACGCTGTACTTTCAAGTAATATACGTGAATGTTATTCGTTTGATTGATTGTATTGTTGAAATTCCATGCTAACAATATTACAAATATCATACAAAATCCTAATACAAGTAAGCCAAAAGCGGGGCATAATGGTGTCCCTGAAATTTATAAAGAGAGGAATAAATAATTTAATATTTCAACTTAAACCATACAGTATTTCAAACAATTTTATTTCAAATTAAAGTTAAATGTTTAGGCATGCGCAATATATCGTATAACATGGAGGTGATGTTTACACCAGTAACGTAAATGTCATAAAAAAAAAACAATAATGCGTAATATATTATACACAGAAGCATATTTCTAACTGCATATTTATATGTTACAATATTTGTGATAAGAAAAAACTTAAGAATACTATAATTCATCATTAATTCTAACTTTTACTTACGAGTACGAACTTCGCCGAGGTTCTCGTACTGATTTTTCCCTCGTTCATTGATTATAAAGTAACTCATAATTGTAGAATATTTTCCAAATGTTTTATGAAATATTCTTATTTAATTATTCTTACTCTGTGTGAAAGAGACACATTGGTTAAGTATTGCGATTTCTGTTTATAGCAACTGATAGCAACCACAAATAGGTAAATGAATGTATACTAATTCCAGGGCCGATGTGTTACAAAAAGGACCCCCCTATCCATATATAATATAACATAAAATACGTTACGGTAAATATATGAAAAACTTGTAGCTAATGCAACTGAATTAAAATTAACGTATCTTAATTTTTTAACTAATTACTTTTAAACATTGCATCGAACCGATTTTGTGCACTGTATCCCGATGACGACTGTGAACAATTTTTCTGGCGCACTTTTTTATTTACTAAAAATGAATTACGTTTTCCTGTGTACTCGCGCACGGGATTTTTACATCTTGAATAAATATTCTGATCGTTGAGTAAAAAGGAAGTTACTTTGTTATGCGCGAGTTTTTTCTTTGTAATGCTACATCCAGGTTGCAATTTCTCTACAGCAAATCGACTTGTACAATGATTCCGTCTTTCCTGTTTGAGAACTGTAATAATCATATGAAAGCAACATGCCTAATTCAGAATTTTTATATAGGTATACATTTATAGGAATTAATTAGGAATACCTCTCGAAGATATGTGACCAGAAACCGAGTCTAAGCTAGAACTTGATGACTGAAAAATTGCAGATCTACCTCGGTGTCTGGCAATACGATTCCGATAAGATAAACTATGACGACGTTTCTGCTTCTTAATTAATTGATGTTTTGATTCAGAGCTACTTAATTCATTTTCGGCCCAAAACGGTTTATCACTATCGTCAGATGCCGGTTGTACCAGTGGTACCAGTTCTAAAGACTTAAGTTACATGTTTAAGTAAAAAGAAATATTATCTGTACCGATATCAGAGCAACAACTTACAATTTCTGCAGATTTTCGAAATGGAAAGTACGATCTATTTTCAATCCCAGATTGATTTAGTTCACCAACAGACATTGTAGAATAAAATGATTGATTTTCATAACCTTCGTCATCTTCGGAGCTATGTACTATCTTTCGAATATCACCACTGGCATAACTACCCATCTCAACTTTTACTAAAATTTTCAGAAGTACTGTAATTATGAAGCGTTGCTTTTTTTCAAATATGATTTACTGAACTAGTAAATTTTCTGTAATTTACGACTGTTCAAAATTTTAAAGGCTCAAAAGAGCCATTTGGAATGAATGGTAGGTTTTTTTTTATTGTGAAAGGGCAGCTCTCACTACTATACAAAATCGAATTTACATATGAAATTAAAACAAATATTTTTTTGTTGTTCAAAATGGTTTTATTACATTTTTGTCAAAACAAAAGCATATGATAATAAGGTTTTCCTCTTATGATCAGTTTTTTTTATTCATTGTACATTTATGGTACCACAACAGTAGGTCATAGAAAAAAATGTACCAAATCAGTTTTATATGTTAAATATAAAATTTTCTTTTTCGTTCGTTAGTATCGCGGGAAAGTAATGAAATAGAAACTGAAATCATTGCAACTCTTCTGATACTCCTTGAACATCTTTCATGTCCAACATGTTCCTTGGGCGCCAACATGATAGAATTGTCTGCTCATTCATTTTCTCAAAACAGTTCTTACGAACTTGAATGTTTGTCACATTATATACACGTACAAGTATAATCAGACAGGGCACCCTAATCATTCTCTGATTTTCTACGTTTTTTTGAACGTGGACTATCAGTATCATGTGGACTCGGTGTGATGTGACTTCGTTTCCTTTTTATGCTACTTTCACTAGCTTCACTACTGCTACTTGCTGCCGTTCTTGTTTCTCTTCTTAGTGTTCCCTCTCCTGTGACTTGCACAAGTATCTACAAAAAAAGTAAAATGATATTTGTCATTAATAATAATAAGTGTATGCAAAATATATATGTATATATAACATACGAAGTTAGATCTGTACCTGCATATGTTGCAGACATTCTTCCTGCATTGAAACCGCCATTTTGTAAATAAAAGTGTCATGTTTATTGTACATAATGGCATTCTGAAACATTAGCATGACATCGCGTTGAAAATGCATTGTAGATCTGATAGTGCCATTGTCAATATTCTTTTTAATCGTTGACAAGTCCATGGGCCTAAAGATGACTGAATGATAGCCAGGTGCTTGATCTTCTGTGATAGGTCTTAGGAATACAGACGCATATTTGTGTGTAGCAAGACGATTATAGACTAACATAACTGCCTTCTTCCATGCCCTGTAATCTGCACCCTCTCCAGTAGCTTCATTTTCGGGCTCGCTGTCAATAGATGCATTTTGCTTCTTGGAGTAAGTTTTCATTGCTCGTCCTCCGCTTAACTTGCTCAGTGATGATTCTTCTTCATCTAATTCCACGGTATCTTCGCCAGCGCTTACTATCGATTCTGTTTCTTTTTTTATGTTCTGTTCAACGTCTACAGTCTTTTTATCTTCTTTATCTTCCTTTACAGGAATATCTTCTTTCTTTATTTCTGTTAGTATCGTATTCTCTAGTTGAATTTTAGACTCTTCTTCGATTTTGGATTCCTCGAATGTACTTTCTTCTTTCTTAATACTGGGAATATCAGTTTCAGTTTTAACGGGATCCACAATCTCTTGTTTCAAATTTTCGATTTCTTCTCGAGATACCAATTGAGTGGAATCTTCCACTATGGATGTTTCCTCTATTTCTTCTTCTTTGATTTCTATGTCCTGAAGAATGGAGCTTGTTGTATCTTCTGAAGAATCCTTTGTGTCTTCTTTCTTAAATTCGTCTGTATAAATCTCTAGAGTTTCCTCTGTGTGTTCTTCTTGAGATTTTTGCGGCGACTCTTCGCTCACCTCAATAATCGTTTTTTCTTTTATTACGATTACAGGTTCCTCTTTAAATGATTCAATTGACTCTGTACTTTCAACTGTATTCTCTATGATCTGTTCCTCTGTTATTTTCTTCTTATCATCCGCACTATGTATACTTTCGTCGTCTTCTAATATCAGACTAATGTCTTGGGACTTTTCGGTATCTTCAGTACTAGGAATGTCGTTTGTAACCTCGGAAGAAACGCTAACTACTTCTGCTGACGGAGTATCTTGCTGTTCACCTGTAATTTTCGCAAGATGCATTTCTAACTGATCTAATTCCATATTCCCTTTATTATCTAACTCTTCAGAAGACTCTCTCTGTAGTTTATTGTTAGGTGACTTTTTAGCTTCTGGTACAACCACCTCTGTCTCTTCCTCTTCTTCTATTTCATCTTCTATCATTTCATCCAACTCTCTTGTAGGTATTTTGCAATCCTTTTCTTCCGTTTCCGCATTTGATGTGGATTCTATCGTATCGACGAATTCCTCAACAATTGGTTTCTCTTCCGATGCTGCTTTCACCATCCTGTGTCTCTACCTCTGGAACAAGTTCGTCGGTTAACGCCACTCTTTCATGGCTCGTAGATTCTTCTGATTTTATTTGTTCGGTTGTACTTGGCACAGTTTCTGATATTTTAGCAACAATAACTTTCGGCTCCTGTGGTTCAATAGCAACTGTTCCTATGATTTCGGCAATATTTGACGTGCTCGAATCGATTTCTTCTATAGCCATCTCACTTTCTGGTGAATTAGAGAGTGACACAACTTCATCTACATCTCTAGGCTCTGGTCGTTCCGAAACTATTGGGACTTCTTGAATTGGGGGTATAGTAAGAGTATTAATTGTTGTCGTAGCTGTGTCTAGTGTCTGGGGACTTCCGGTTATTTCTTCTTTTATTAATTCTTCTATGTCTCCGATAATTTCGTTAATTTCATCTTTGTCTATTACATCGGCCATGATATCTTTACGTATTACATCGTCTATATTATCTATTATCTGTACCATACTTTCTGTGACTGGAATATTAGGTGGATTAATTGTGAGTGGTTGAGCAGGTACCGGCGTCTCACCTTGAATTGTTAGTTGATGGACGGGTTGTGGCTGAAGAGTGTGAATCTCAGTAGTGGCATTCTGTTGTGATACAATAGTCGAAGTTGACTGTAAGTTTGGTAGAGGACCACGTTGCGCATTAGCAGGCATTTCTAGTAACATAGACAAAGTTGGTGCACCGACTGATGGTCTTTCTGGTGGTGTATTTGTAATTGCAGTAGAAACCAATTGATGTAGTTGTGGAGATACATTTTGTGTCAACTGAGTGTTTGGGACTTTAGGGCTGGATCCAAGCAAACTTGTAATAGTAGGAGAGCTGACTTGTGCTGTAGTAGTTGATGTTTGAATTTGTGTGGTGGGGCTTGGAGACTTCAATAAACTTGTCAACAACGGTGATCTTCCACCTCTACTCTTCTTTTCATCCTCATCTACTGTTTCAGTTGTTTCTTGCAGTTCTACTGAACTCTCGGTAGATCTACGCTGATTGATAGCAGACAAAGCTTGTGGTGAACTTAATTCCTGCTTCTGTTGACGTTTAGCTAGCCATGCAGAGTGTGCTCTTGCTTTTTGTTCCTGTTCCCGTTCTTCCTGTTCAATCGTATGCCACATCTTCTGCAATTTATCTTCCGCTATTCCTCCGGATTTTAACATATTTATTTCAGCCTTAAGCTGTTGATATTCATCCCTCTGGAAAGCTAATATTTGTCCTAGTTCAACTATTCTTTCCTGTGTTAGCTTCCGAACTATGGATTCACCAGTTGTCTCTCCACTTTCTCTTTTTTTTCTCTTTGGAGTGTCCGCATTTTCCAATAAATGTGCATACTGAATTGCACAAGATTTTTGGGAGAACCAATCTGGTGGTCTTAATGTATCTTTCTCGATGATTGCTTTCAAGGATCTTGACACACTCATCCAATTTTGATCTCCAGACTTTAATACACCGGATGCTAAACATAGCTGTTCGCGTGTACTCCAATTATCATAAGATCGTTTTAATTTTAATCCTAGAAGTAAATATTACGAGAATGAATAAAAACAGTTAAGAAAGGACAGTCAAACGATCAGTAAGTTTAATATTATCTTATTCGAGATCTCGAATGTATTAAATAATATATTTACATCGTTATTACTATTGTTTTGAATCATTTGTTTGTTGTTTACATCGTATAGGTTAACGAGCAAGTTAATCTATTTTTTCTTTACGTTCACAATCAAAATAAACAGTAATATGTTGGTATCTCTTTTAGTGAAAGGAAATGTTTATAGCTAAAATTTATAACGTTGAAAAAACTATTTAATATCAGATAGTATCTTAACCCTCAAATATCAAACAATACGAAATAAATAACAGACTTACTGTCTTGTACTGATGTCATTTTTTCAAACAATAATTGTATTTTTTTCTTAATATATACAGGCAAGTGTCGGTGCTCAAAAGTGAGGGAAACGCAACGAAAACATTTGTTTTGAAGTTTCACGTTTGATTCATTCTAACCACCATTCTAACATACGCACTGCTCCGTTCCAGTGGAACGTGGAACGTTTGGACAGCTGATTTCGAATTGAAGCAAGGAATATCAGAAACGGAACTGTAATGGCGGATGCAAAGTAAGCTGTCAAAGTATGGTGCATTATACTTTTGATTTGATTCATGGCTCGTCAAGTATAATTTATCCACGGCCAAGTGAAAAGTTCGTCGATATATTTCCAGTATGTAAAATTGTCGAATTAGTAATGCAGCCAAAGTAAATTGTACATATATATATATATATATATATATATACATATTATAGTCGAAAGTGTGAGTGCTTATATTAATTGTACATACTAACCAATATATCGTAAAACTGTTTTTTACTTTACGATGACGAACAACCGGAGGCGAAATCTTAACTTTACTTATGTTAGTCCATTCGTGAAGTACATGATATTTCTGCTCAATTTCGTTTTCTGGGTAAGTAAATATTACATAGCCGATCATTTACATCCCCGATCCCAATAATGTTTATTTTATTGTCATAAGTCATAATCAATCATCTAGTTTACGAATAATTCATTAGCAAGATGTATTAAGTGTACACAACACAACTAAGTATCATACAATTTATTAACGAGATATATTATTGCAGTTGTTTGGAGGACTGTTAATTGGAGTAGGTTTATATGCATTCGTAGACAAATGGCAAGCAACTGGGTCTGTTAGAGTGGAAAATGTGTATGATGTGGTCTTGAACATTTCTCTTGTAATGGTGATTGCAGGAGGTGTAGTCTTTATTGTCAGTTTTGCAGGATGTGTTGGTGCACTACGTGAAAACACGTGTCTTCTTAAGTTTGTTAGTAATATTACATACACGCATATTGTATGTTTATAAATAATTACATGATATCTATTTATTACAGTATTCACTGTCCTTATTGGTGTTCTTTCTCCTCGAAATGGGTATAGCACTTGTTGGTTTCATCTTTCCACATACATTGCAAGCATTACTAGAAGAATCATTTACCGATAAAATTATACAAACATATAGAGAAGACCCTGATCTGCAGAATTTTATTGACTTTGGGCAACAGGAAGTAAGAGCTCTTTCAATAGAATATTTGATATAATGTATCATTAGTATTGATACTACAGAGTACATACATGTTGTTGCAGTTTCGCTGCTGTGGTTTAAGTCAAGAGGGTTACTTGGATTGGGGAAAGAATGAATACTTCAATTGTTCAAGTCCCAGTGTAGAACGCTGTGGTGTTCCGTTCTCCTGTTGCATTAATGCTACAGACATATCAGTAAGTGAATCATTTTAGTAATAATAGTACATTCTGAATACATAGTATCATTTAAAATTTTATGATTAATAATCACATATAATCAATCTTTTGAATGGTAATACAATTAAGAAATAGGGAAGTAAAATATCGCATAAATTTTGTAGAGTGGTCTTGTGAACATAATGTGTGGCTACAAAGTACAAATGTTGCCAGTCTCTGAAGCGGGCAAGAAGGTGTGGACTAGTGGTTGCATTGAAATTGTAAGAAGTTGGGCGGAACGAAACCTTTACACAATAGCTGGTATTGCTCTGGGCGTAGCCCTCAGTCAGTTACTCGTTATTTATCTTGCTAAGACACTAGAAGGTCAAATTGAATTACAAAAATGTGGTTGGCGTTCCTGAGCTTGACCTCAGGCCACCTACCGCTACCACATTCATTCCCCTCCGAGTTGGCAGGTGGCCAGTGGCCGAACAAGAGGCCAAGACGTTGAAACGCACGTAAATGTTCGAATAACATTACTCGTTCTCTTCGCGATCTCTGTATACATACTCTGCATTCTGTCTTTAATTAGACTTGTTCTTTATTTTAAAGATTACTTTCACATATATTTAAACAAGGGTTAGCCATTACTCATATATTATCCTGTTATTATAAGCAATTTTTTTGTTTCTTGTCATTCTTATCGCAATTTCGAATGATATAGCCATACATTGTTTTTGCCCAAATTTTACTTGTATAGCAGTACTTTAGTCGTGCCGGTTCATTCGACGAGGATGATCTGATTGTGAATCTTCAGTTACATATGAATTTTCTTTTGCAAAAACTACTTGCATGTGGAAAGAAATTTTTAGTTGGCATAAGATTAATCAAAGGTACAGTGATAAGTATATGCCAAGGTAATTGATTCAGTAGTAATGTGCAATAATTATACATATATCTATATGATTTTCTTGGAGAATATCTTGATATAATATTGAATTTCATATGATAGTAATTTTTGCATCAGATATTCGAAATATCATCAACATAGCGTATCTAAACATATTGTAAGTACTGAACAATTTAAGCTTTTAAACAATTGATCTATAAAAGACTTATGACAGCATTATGTATTTTATAAGGTAGGTACAGTCTATAAGAGGTTCAAACTTTTTTTATACTATTTTTTTTTCTCAATATATTTACATGATTATACGCAAAAATATTTTAGTATATATTTCCTTCTCATTTAAGATAAGCATTTTTTGCTTTCTTTTTAGAAGAGAACTAATGATTATCTGACACAATGGAATGCAAACCAATAAGTACACAGATGAAACACGCACATCGCTCGAGAAATTTAACATTAAAAAAACTCTTGCTATGTATTTTTCATTTTTTAATGTTTGTATGAGCATATTACAAAAGTATTGGTAGTTGTTTACACAGTTATTTACAAGTCAATATAGTTTTCTTTTATTATACTCGATAAATGTAACTCTGATACACAAATGAGAAAACGTCCAGTGCCAAAGTCAGAGTATTGTCTAACACATTTTATTTGGAACAAAACCTGACAATAATCTGGTGTAAACGATTTGTTTATTGAGTGCATACGGAATACATCTGTGTGTCTTTTTATCAAGGATAAATGTAAAATTAATATATGAATCCATCTAGTTTGTAATAAACAAGTATTATTCTAACATTGTGTTCTTGCCATTACCAGTAAACTATTATACGTACACGAACAACAGATAAAAGTGTTCAATAAATCTACAAGTCAATTTGTGTGAAAATGAAAGGAACAAAAACTGCTGTTATTATTTATTCTAAATAATTTCATTTGTACAAAGATGTATCTACAGACATGCCATCTGAATATTCTAAAATCACACTTTGCCCATCAACAAGTTCAGAGTTCCCTAACAACTTTGTTAGTAGAGTATCCATTTCATTGCAAATCAGTGCACCTGTTGCATGATGAAACAACTGTAATCTAGATGCTCCTGTTCCATTATTATTATTAGATAATTTAAGTATACCAGCCATTGAATCTATGGCTTTCCCAATTGTCCAATTCACATTTACATAAATACCTTTCGATGGTCCTATATTTGTGTTAGATATTTTAGTCGATGGATATACAAGAAAGTAACAACGTTCATTCATTGGTACATTTTTATGGCCAACAGCAGAACCTTTTATACGCATAAGTCTTATCTGTATAAGAAAAGTATTAAGATTAAACATGCTGTACATATATACATTTTCCATCATAGATCATTTGAATATTTTAACATACTTTATTGGCCAATGCAGTGTTCTTAGATTTGTTTAAAGTATCTGTAATTTCCTGATCCACTATAGCTTTTGCTTCTGCAAATTGTTTCTTTGGTATTTGCCACTTTTTCAACTTTGTTGTCTTTTCTTCATTAGAATACTCTAGACACCCGTGATATCTGTGTTGCAAGCAAAAATGTTTTTGGCACTTGACGCACAGCATTTCAATGGGGGAAGTTTCTTTGCAGGACTCATCGAAGCACACATAACTCGAGATTTTAGGTTTAGTGCTAGCAACATTGTCCTGGATACCTGTGCACTTGTGAGTGGCAATGTGAAAATGTTCTTTGCAAAAGATATTGTGGCAATGATTGCATACAAATGGTAAAAAATTCAGTTGCTTGCAATCCTGGATCGAACACCTTTCCCCTAGATCTGGAAACTCCATGTTGAATCTTTAATATAAATAAGAATCCGTAAGTAGTTTTGGGTATTGGTTATGCGAAGTTTGCGATGAATTGCTACCTGATTAATTATGAGACGGTGTCGGTGAATGTAAATGGTTTTCACTGAGAGTTCCTAAGGCTAGATTATTCCACTTTTGTTCTAATTCCTTTAACGTCATATGAGAATCACCATTGTCACTCTCGGGATCAGGTAATTCCGCAACAGGCACCACAATATCGTCAATGGGTAAACGTTCTTTGTGCCAGGCCTCATCGATCAAATCTAACAGTCTACCATCTCCGCACACTTGACTGTCCATGCCGCAGAAATGCAACTTAATTAAACGGATATTTCGGCCATCCACAAAAAAAAGCAAAGAAACCCGAAACGTTTTTAATAACTCCTGACTATACGGAAACTATAAAACTGTAAAACAGCCGCCATTTTCATTACATATACAAAATAGCATAACAGCGTCATCTAATGAAAAAATACAGATACTAATTAACTTCTAACTTAGACGTTTCGCCGTAGATGGTATCACAGGTCATGTGGATCACTTTATGTATTAAAAATTAATTATTTCCTAAAAACACCGTAATTACACTTTATTAACACAGAATATCGATTCAGAAAGATTCAACAAACACTTTAACAACGTTGGAATAAATTTTGACCCTCGATGTATACATTTAATTCCGTTGGAATAATTCAAATACTCGACGTATCTTTTTCCTCGTAAGCTATTTTTATTCAATAATTTTATACACTATTGCGATGTAAATTAAGATAAGCGTGTTTAACACATTATTAATCAGAAAATACCATTTCAATTTCAACACTCTCAGAACTTATTTACCGACACACGCTATACATATACAACACGACGATGCAATCTTAAAGTTAGTTAAAATTATACTTCCTCGATATGACTACGCTTAATACACGCGTTAACGTGACTGCTCTTATCGGTTAGTTTTAATCTAAGAATAATTAGCGCTTTGGTTCAAAAATTACAGCGTTCAGATCGTATTCTTCGAATCATTCTGTTACTCGTGGTTTTTTTTTATGCAAGAAATATAATTACGGATTATACACGATCCAAACTAAGTAAGCTTCTCTCCTTGTCACGTTCTCCGAGAGGACCGTTAACACCGATCGATCAGTCGTAAATAATACTAAACACGCGAGTATCAAATATTTATACGAATCAAGAGAATTTCAACAGTGCCGTCAGTAACGATACAAATCATTTCACAAAAATCATCAACGGTCTGGGTCGTGTATTCCCAATAAATTGCTTCCTTCAGTTCGATCAATCATCCTGGTGATTGTTCTCGCCTATCAGACGATTCAAGTCGCGTTTCTCGCCTGTGTCCTTACACACCCCTTTGTCGCAGGACAGCCCGTTGGCGCAGGGACAAAGGATGTAATGAACGTCAGTCAATAATACTTGGGCACCGTCGGGATACGCCGCTGTCATGTTGATCGGGAACTCGCTAGCCGGTCTGCATATCTCTCCTTCCGCCTGCATCGGCCTGCATTGAGGGATGCTGTACCGAATCGGTCCTGAAATCAATCGTTCCGTTAACCCTGATGAAACACCCCTTGTATCACCTCAACAAATTTTTCTCCTGAGAAACGAAATTCTGGGATACTTATCAAAGTTTCCACGACATTGTACAATCGTTCGTTAGGTGAAATGTTTGAAATTATTTTTAATAAAAATAAAGATTCGATGGAACGTCCGGGAGAAATAGGAATTTGCTTGGATCGTTAATGACCCGCATTGCCTACGGAGGGTTAAGATGGAAAAAACAAGGAACAGATGACGTTTAATATTCCCCATTCACGAATGAAATCATTGCACCGTCCTTATTCGGAGAGGTTCGAGGAAGGACAAAAAAAGAACGGGGAAAAAGCAATATTCATCAGGCAGAAAATGCGCGTAACTTGCTGGATGACGGTATCTGTTATGTTAGAACGCAAATCGATTACCTATGCTGCAACAGTGGCCCGGCCCGCATTCCAAATTACTCTGACAGTGAATATATTCCGGTCTGTCTTCCGCGCTGCCGAGGATGCACCTCGACGTGAACAGAAGAATAGAAACGAGTAAAATCGGCGTCGTCATCGTCATTAATTCTTCTCTCGAGGGAAAACACCTGTGGAAAAATCGTGAAAAATAAAATGTTTATTGTCTATATATCACTATTAAATCAGTCGTCGAAAATTAACGGTATATCCCCCCCTAAGTCCAGATTAAAACGGGGGAATCAGCTAGTCGATGCATTTCGGCGCGATCGTCTTGACTCTTTTTTGTTCCTCTAAAATTCGACTTGTATATACAGTTACGTGTACCGTTTCAGAGATCAGTCCCAGGAAATATGTGAGCAACCTCACGTAGGTTGATCTTATATGGACCGATCTTTTGTCCAGTGGGCTTAGTCACCGAGTAGCGTAACGCGAAATGTCAAGCTTTCGTCTCCGGACCGAGAATCTTGCACCTTCGGGTATCTCTCTCCTACGTTTTTTCCGTCACACAATCGCGAGATCAAACGAGAAGTTCTTCAACGTTCGCCCCAATTTCAGAGTTCGGTTATCGTCTCGCTGTGTCTTGACCTTCGCCTTCCGTTCCCGATAGTAGTATCATTGCAAGAATTATATAATTCCTGCTTGACGGAACACCCACGACACGAATGATCCCGCGTTCACAATAAATTATAAATGATTTCTTGGGAATGTTACCCGATTTTGGTACCTATTCAGGATAGTAATATATCGAATCGATCGTTTATTCTTCTATTTCGATTCAAAAGGATTTATTATAGTGTCCTAAAAATTTCGTGTAAATTTTCTGTGCAGGTACTCGAGAGAGGCTGCACTGACTTCTTGTTTTTTTTACGTTTTTTTGTATTTTCTACTCAGCAGGTGACGAAACGAGAATAAGTAAAACAACGACGATGATTTTTGTATACGTACAATTCGCTTGCCTGGATCTTTCACGTTCTCCACGCTCCACGACGGACACTTGTCGGCATTTGATCGCGTGAACCGATGAGTCTGTTGTTTTTATATCGACGCTTCCTCCGCTTGTTCGCGAGGCTCCTCCAAATAAACGGTTTCGCGCGCGTTTTTCCTCGATGGAGGAGAGGATTCACGGCGGAATTGAGTACAATTTTATTCGAATGATACGTAGTGAAAAGCAGGCCGTATCTAAGGGAGTCGTCCTAAGCTTTAAACAGTTAATGAGATTAAATGATTACCAAATGTTGACTCATTCGGAAAGAAGTATTATTTTATTGTAAAAATCAGAATTTCCAACAAATTACCTTTTTACCTTTTATTTGTTATTCGAAACTCTACCTAGATAATGAATTGCTAGATAAAGAATCGTTGGATCCCCCGAATCGTCATGGTCCTATAAGTCTTTGCACTCGATAGTCGCAAAATCTATGGGGAATTTGAAAATGCCTAGTGCAAAGTGTTAAGTATCTTAACAATTTCAGGAAGACGGATTTTAAAACACATCTCTGGTAATTACTGAACACATAATGCATGCAATTCAATCAATTACACTAGGTCATCTTAAGGCCCCTGTTGTGTAGAGTTATGCTTTCTTCTTTACTTAAACATTATTCAATGATACCTCTGAAATGAAGAATACATACAGACAATGAGACGAGGATACTGCCAGAATGCATACGTAGGTTTAATCGAAGATCGTCCGTTTATAATTACCTTATTACGTAATCAATTGAATGGAAATCCCGCGACGCGAGATCGCATCAGATCCTGAAACCGTGCGCGTAGGTTTAATAATTAATGGTTTTTCGTCGTTTCTGGTGTTAATGGAACGATATATCGATCGAGTATTACGTTAGGGCATGAGTTAGCCCTCGGAAGGCGAAAGGTCTGGGACGAATGCAGGATCATTTTGATACATAATAAAATTTCTTTTTTAGGTAGGTTTCAAGAAGAAATTCTGCAGAAAGTTTTATGTATATTTTGAAGTTCATATATTAAATTTACAAAAAGATCCTGCATTCACTGTACGAGGGTTGAATTACGCACGTTCGATGACCAAAGATGGAGTGGTATTTTTTTTAAATTCGAAATCCTGTTAACATTAATTCGTGTGTTCTCGGGTCAAAAGAACTGCGACAGAGGTTCATCGAACTCGGTTACATACCAGGGCGTTATTAAGCGTTGCCTCATTCTTAATTACTCTCCGTGTTCCTAGTTTACGCGTAATCGCGAGACCAGCATTTCCTGTGCAACAAATTCATTCCCGATCCTGTGCACCTGCGGGTGTCGGTGATTGCACAAGTTTCATTCAATAATTATACCTAAATATTTGTGCTTTCATTCGCCACCAGTTTGTCCGATCTACATACATGGCGATCACGAGTAAACTGAATAATCGTGTTTCAGCTTATACACTTTTAGCAGCATCCCTTGATCAGGAAGGCCTGGTTGGATAAAGAAGAATTCTTTTATGGATAATTTAATTGACGATAAAGAACTTACGAGAATTGATTTGTGCACGTAGCCATCTGTTAACAACCTCACGAGGCATCATCACAAACAGGCTGATCTTCCCCTTACTATAGATAGAATAGGAATAACTGGAAATAACCTCATATCCCATGCGAAGGGTTACGATGTCTTCAGTTTCGCGGGGTTACAACTATTTATAAAACCAGCTATTCGATCGTGTGCCATTTAAAATGGTCGAACACGCGTTACCGGCGTTATACCCGAGATAACTCATCGCTGCGTCTCCCGACGTTAATCGACGATTCATCGAGTGGAATTACGGGTCCCGTGATGGGACGTATATTTTCGTGAGACCGGTGGATTTTTCACTTTGGTTTTTCTTTTTCAAATCCTATTACAAATTTCAACCATGGTAAAATTTTCTTTACACACACTTGCGTGAGATAATTAACAATTTAAGGTGTTTTGTATACTAAGCACGAGTTAAACGTTTCAGGCTCTCTTAGGAGCTCAATTGGTCATTACTCTTATTATGGTCAGTGTTATCCAAAAATTGACTCCACATTTCTCTTTGGCAAGATGGATCTTATGTTCTACAGGGTATGTTGAATCAATTGGTAATGATATTGTTCACGTGAGGCACAGAGTCAATTACTTAATACATTAATTATGCAGGTTGACTCGTTACTTATATCCAACTGACCAACAACTGAGGACCCTAGCCGGTGTGCCTAAAGACAAGCCCAAGAAAGGCAAGCACACAGAGAATGGAAAGGTCGGAGATGTGTTTCAAGTTCCTAGAAATTTGGATATTACGCTTGAGAGTGCTAAAATAACTACCTTAGATGTAGTGCATTTAAAATATTATACAGAGTATCAGTGGTTGCTAGACTTCTCTGTTTATGCTGCTGCTGTCTATGCTATCACAGAGGTTGGTAATGTCTTCATTGAGCAAACTGTGAAGCAGTAATATAATTAAATAAATTTTTCGCTAACACTTTATACTCATCAGGTTTATAATTCTTTATATCCGATCAAAGATGAAATTAACTTAAGTATGCTTTGGTGCTCATTGGTTCTGGGTTTTGCATTGTATCCTTTTTTCTATTACTTCTATTCTAATGTTCTTGTTTCTAAGGAATGTATCTTGCATTTTGTGTTTGACTTCCTTAATTAGTACCTAGCAAAGTATTAATGTCCCTTTGGATAGAATATTTCAAAGGAGAGGAGAGCATAGGTGAAAGATCTACATGTATTGTGACCGGATTTGCTTATCTTCTCATAGCTATGATGATTCTTATAGTCGATGAGAACAACCTTGAAATTGGATTGGACAAAGCCTATGCAAGCTTTAATCATAGTGCATCTTTGTTTCTAGATAATCAAGGTCTCTCTTCTACGTAAGTCTGTAGAACCTTAAGTAGAGACTTTCAGTAGTTTTTTTTTTTTATTAATTATGCCACTTTTATACATATACTTTTGTAATTTCCTTTGTAGAGGACCAGCATCAAAAATTGTTATAAAGTTCTTCCTTGCCTTATGGTGTGGTTTGCTTGGTTCTTTCTTTACTTTCCCTGGATTGAGAGTGTCAAAAATGCATTGGGATGCATTAAGGTACTAATATTGTAGCAGTGTTTATGCTTGCAGTAACTGTTTAATGAAATTACATATTTCAGGTATTACAAAGATCAAAAGATATTGTTATTAATTGCAAATATAAGTTATGCATCACCACTTCTATTAATAAGCTTATGGATTAAGCCTATAAGTAGGGATTACCTTACAGTTCGTATATTTACTGGTATGAATGGTCCACTGTAAGTCTGAACTCTGTGGATACATTTATGATGTGTTTATACAGAGATATATACTTAAAAAGAAATTCTTGCAGAATGACATCCTCGGGATTTGAGAGTATGAGGTTAATTGCGATCGTTGTTGCAATTTTATTGAAGTTTATATTGATGCCACTATATTTGCAATCGTACCTCAATTTAGCCGTGCAACGATTAGAGAATCAAAAGAAGGAAGCTGGTAGAATAAAAAATGTTGACTTACAGAAAAAGGTATTTCCATAAGAAACATTCAAAACATTCGAAAATAAAAGTAATTACCAATTAATATTAACAATCTTTGTTCTTATTTATTTCAGATTGCGGCAGTGTTTTATTATTTATGTGTCGTTGCGTTGCAATTCATTGTTCCACTAATCATATGTTTATTTTTTACATTCATGTACAAAACGCTAGGTAAAAGAAATAAAACGAAATCATTTATTATTTGTAAATTATATTTTTCAACACAGTAGGGTGTTCTTGTGTTTTCATCAGGTGGTTATACATGGGAAGGTATTTTAAAGGGGACAGCTGTTGAAGAATGTCCGGCAGACCAACCACCGAAAGCTATCTTAAATGTTATGAATAATGACGATCCGGAAAGGACAGTCACGCAAACAGCGCAAGATTTTCAACTTGCGTTAAGTTCATTGAAACAGGTATATTTAATTGTACTTGTATATGATAGCGTATAAACTTCATTCATACGCAACTCGTTGTCTTACAGATATTCACTACAGATGTGTACAGGGGTATATTAGGTCTAGCAACATGGTGGAGTTGTTTCGGGTTATTCGCAACTACCGCTATGGGGATGTTTTATCAGTCATACTTTTCCAGTATGTAAAAAGGCACTACGGACGGGAACATTTGACGTCACTCTTCGTAATTGGTCTATCGTGGATTGTAAAGCTATTTTGGAACATTCAACGAATACATTTTGAAAAGGTACCCACATTGAGGTATGCACAATATCGGCTGTCCACTTTCGTATGAACTTTTCAAATTTGTAATACGTATAGTAATAAAAGCGCTGCGTGCGACTGTACTATGAATAAACAGTTTCGAAACAACGGTTTAAACATTAACGACTACGATATCTTTTTATTATGTATTGTATATATATACATATACGTATAGTGCGTAACGTTTGTACGAACATTTAGAAAAGTTCTTCGTGTTATTGAAACGAATACAGTACGTACTATAGCAAAGAGAAATTCACGGATGCTTTTCGATCGATTTTAAGTATGGCTTTCCGAATGTGTGCGATACATAAATAAATTGTATCACTGCCAGTAAATAAGCTATTTAATATTCTGCGAACGATTAACTGATTACCATTAATAACTCGTCTGCGTATCAGCGCTGCGTTAGGCCGGCTGAAAGTAACTTTCCTCGACGACGTCACGATTGTAGATGAATCGCATAGAAATACGTCACTGCCTTTCATATATTGACTACATACAACTCGATTCATGTATATATTTCTGTAAAAAAAAAATACTCAAACTCTTCTGTAGGACAATGAATCAATATTTTAAAAAGACACGGCGACACATGATAAATTTTAAATAGTTTGTTATTCTCGTCTGTAAATCATCGAATAATTGTGTATACATTACGTTACATTATAAAGATCTTCTGTAAAGACAGAAACCTGGTATTAAGCGATTACGATTCATGAATTGTCCCATATTGGCATCTTGGAGAAAGTGTGATTGTCCGTTTGAAAATGTGTCGATGCGATGCTACTCACGTATCAACCCGGTTGCTTCCGCAATATATAACTCCCCACGTGGGGACTTAGCTTCAGAATAGTTGATGTTCGGTTGATAACACTGTCGTACGGTGCTCTGAAATTATTTCGAAGTTTTCACACAAAACTAGTGCGATGTTGGTAAGTACCTTGACAAGTCTCTCAATTCCGTCGAACAATGTAACATTTTGTCGTCATATATTTATAGATCATTGATCTAAATTTCCAGTTCTAATGAAAGCTACTACTTTCAGAAATACGTGGTACTCAGTTGCATGATGCTTTTCACAACGTTCGCGGAACCACCTGTCCAAGGTGTGAAACCGTCAAATGTGTTAGGCACTTCTGACCAACATGCATCCTTCAGTTTTGTCAGACCAGGTTTGACACAAACTGCCTTCGCATTCAACGGTCCCAGCTCTCATCAGTCGTTTAGTGCCAGTATTGGGAATCCTTACTTGGCGCAAAAAGTGTTTCCCAATGTTGCCAATGCACTTGCTTACAGAAATCCTGGCTTAGGTTTGCAACTATTTCACAGAATTATATATGTATAGTGCTTGCTGTCTTCGAAAACCGGATACAAAAAAGTTTATTCCATTTTTAGGAGTGTTTCCAGTTGGTCCAATCACAAATGGTTATGCATCTGCACCAGTTGCGCCTGCATACGTATCTCCTGCACCTGCACCATTGCCCTACCAAAGTCCTGTAGATCCTACCACAGCATTGGCTTATTATCAACAGTTACAGCAAGTTCAGCAAGTGCAGCAACCTCAGTATCAAGGTTACTCTGCAGCAGCCCTTTATCAGGCACAATTAGCCCAACTTCTTGCTCTAAGGCAAGCTCAAGCCCAATCCCAGGCACAGGTGCACGCCACGCAACCTCAACAAGTAAAATTATTCATTATACAGTACTTGTTTGTCGTAGTTTCTGGTGAAATATTCAAATATGATTTCTGTTTAATAGTAATCATCCACAGGTCCCTGAACAAGTTCAATTACAACAAGAGGAACAGCAACAGGAACAAGGACAGCCTGAAAATTTGTTAGGCATAGCTTATTCATCTGCACCTTCTGTGGCGCGTGTTAAAGTCACTGGAAACGGCTATAAATTTGACTTCTAAGCATTTGGAATATATACACGCCCTATTTAACACATTGTATATTGTTCATGTGTCGCTTTTATTTATTCGCATTAATTTAACGTACGTTTAAACCTTTTTTTTTATATTAACATGATATCAAAATAAATACTATGAATATAGTGTTACAGAAATTCACTTTATTGTTTGGCAAACTGTTAATAAAATATTAATATTTAGTGTTATTCTACTGTTACAATCGAGAATTTTATTACAAAAAAATGTAACTTGAATTATTAATAATAAAAAAAAATCCTCAAGGCCCCGGGGGGATTCGAACCCCCGATCTCCTGTTTACTAGACAGGCGCTTTAACCAACTAAGCCACGGCGCCTTCGAGATGATTTACCCATCAGCACTTAAAACAATTGCAAACGGTTTTATGAATTTACAAAACAATTGATTCATGATATAATTGTTGCACCACTTCATTGAATTATATATAAATAAAATGAAAAAACAGTATTATTGCATGTTGTTACAATATCGTAACAAAAATGCAATACTGTATGCCCGTGAGCGAAAAATTGACTTTCTCTTTTCCAAAAAATACAGGCATATAGTATAAATATCTGAAACTTAATATTTTAATCAATTCTCAAAATATATATCATGTATTTAATGGACAAAAAACAATTCCACATTTTCGCAGTCGGTAGGACTCGAACCTACGCTCCCAGAGGGAATCTGATTTCTAGTCAGACGCCTTAACCACTCGGCCACGACTGCTACGGATAGTCTTTCCTGAATTTTCCAACACAAGGAAATATAAAATTATTTCGATAATAGCACAGATTCTTCTTTTACTGAGATTAAGTGCTACACGATATTATACATATTTTTTTAGTACTATTTCAAAAAGACTTGCTAACTAACATACAGATCTGGTTAATTGTATGTGCAGATTGATAGTCCTTCCAAAAAAATTGCTAATTTTCTTCATTGATGTAGCTGTTTCATTGATAAAAAATTTATATTCATTATTGTTACACTACAACATTTAATGAATGAAAAATATGTTGACGACAGAGTCTAAATTTTATTTATATGTACTACTTTCTACTTTTAATTAAATATTAATATCAGTATTAAGAAATATTTATTGAGATTTAAATTATTTAAACAAATGTTAGAAATGTCAATTAGGAAAAATTTTTTACAAATTGTTACAATTAATGGAAAAAAAGAAGTTTGACCCCGACGTGATTTGAACACGCAACCTTCTGATCTGGAGTCAGACGCGCTACCGTTGCGCCACGGAGTCTTCGATACTTCGATCCTTCCACAAGAACTTTCTTTTTCCAGTCATGTCAAATCAATAATTTATACAAAATAGATCACTGTTTAATAATTACGACAGAACTTAAAATAATCAAGATTTTTATCATTTACGATATTCAGCAGAATTCTATTTACACCTATTATAGTACTATAGTTTGTTTATATGTCTGGTCGCTCGATAAAAATCTTCCACGTTCCCTCGGCCATAATGGTTTTCTTAATTTGGCCCTCAAGTATTCATCGCTTTCTCTTCCTTCCTAAATCCTACATTGATGACAGCTAGACGACCGTTAGGAAATATTTGGAAGATCGATGAAAATCTCCTCCTTCTTACACATCTATTGAACGACAATGCGTGTAGGAATGTTACATGCAAGGACATTGTATTGTGAACGTATCACATCGATCATCTCCTTTGCCATGTGTGCTTACGGACAAGCTCGCGGTGCGTGCTCACATCCCGCATACGAGCACCGAAATATCCGAGGAACATATTGATATAGGAAGCTGGTTCTCTCCCTACGTTGAAAAGAGTTTCGCGCGGGTTGTCTCACAAAGCCCCTCCTGGCACCAGGAGAGCACGTAGGCGACGTTAGCATATTCTCGTCGGTTTGCTGTTCCGTCATACCTTGACTTTCGCCCGTGAGGAATTTTTTCAACAGGAACGCATGCGGCCAACAGTAATTTCATGACGCCACCGATAGAAGCGCTAGTGTACAAGCGCACTCCTTGTTCACGTATGCATATATACACGTGTACTACATAACAGGTTCAGTTGAATACGAAGCTGGATTCCCCCACCTCTGTTCCAAACTGCACGTCAATTTTAGGGGAAAACGTAATAACGTTTGATCCATCCAGGAATGAACGGTGGTGAGATCACCTCTGTGCTGCACGGTAAAGAGACGAGAAACAATGATACGATAAAAACTTCTGAAAAGTGTCACATATACATATACAAACGAGAGGCACATTATTAATTCCAATTTTGGGGAAAAACGGTGTCACTGTCCGGTGATGATACTTCGATCGATACAGGTGGGGTGAGCATGATGGAACAATGTATTATCAGGTACAGAATTGAAGCAGGAGGACGTCACTTGGCATCAGAGACGAACATAGACGCATAGCCCTACCGAAATTTCCGTCCAGGCTGGAGTCAATGAACTAATAAGCAATGGAAAGAGGTCGTTGGGGGCCAATAAGGTATTGTACGTCACAGAGGTGCTTAAGGCCCGCGCGGCTCTTCCTCAAAATTGTGTCTTTCCAATCTGCGGCTAACATGACTCTCGGGGAGGTAACGTTCCGTATTGCTTACCTGTCAACGTTCATGCGTTCCTGCTCGCGAGTCGGTTAAATTGTTGATTATGTCCATTCTACCCGTTAACTACAGATTACTGGAGGCTGCGCGTAAATTAGCATAGCCTCGTTCACCGTATGGAAAGCGAAAGATAAAGTACGATGACGAAGAGCGAACTGGAGTTCGTTATTGATTGTATCCTACATCGTGAGTTACAAATGTGTGTGCGATACTTTCGTGTCTGTCCGATGATTATTCAATGAGTGTTACATGTGTCACGCTTTACAACAAATTATAAATTAATCCTGATAACTTGAATCGACGTAAAAAAATATCAACTAGTTTTATGTTATTTGATTACATTTTAAGGTCATGGTTCGTGTTGATCAGTTAAGTTCCTGCGAAGAAAAATGATAGTCACTATTATCACCATTATGATGTGACTCTTACAACACAAAATTAACTTCAAACACGGTGTGCATAAAGGCATATAACACATAAATGTGTATTTTATAATATTCCGAATGTATTGATTGAATGCCGTAGTTTAATATATGTAATGCTGTGTAGGAACGCTTGAGGATTTAATGATTAATAATCAGAATCATTTAGGCTCAATCAGTTGGTGCATTGTAGCAGGAAAGTATAACTATACTCAAAGTTGAGTTAAGGAGCCAGATAAGGCTGATTACAAAATGTACGTGGGTTTGCATGATACTGACGGTATGAAACATTAATTATCTTATACAATTTACATTGCATCGTTTATTTAACTTGTGTGGAGAATAAGATATGTACATGATGTACATTCAGTATCCCAATTGTGTTTCGTGAAATCTGATCGGTCGGTAACTTATTGTTAGATAACGTAGGAAAGCAGAACAGTCACTACACTGACTTCCTTTACGAACGTGTTAGCCTGCTCCAAGGAGGGGCTAAATGAGACAACCCGCGCGAATATCGCTCAACAGTACGAGAGAGGAGAAAGGAGAGTGGTTCATGTTATCCTAATCTTACGCGTCTTGTGTGCGGGATGTGAGCACGCTCCGTACATCAGTGCAAAGAAAACGCATTCTAAATGCGCGTCATCTCCCCCTCGCACACATGTGTCATATAAAACGTGTCTTCCTCCATTTTGTATAGTACATTGACATAATTCCAGTATCTAAGAGTTTTAGTAATTGTTTTATAATAGAAAAGCAAAAAAGTAATTATATTTAAAATGTACAATTATCACAGGTACAAAGGAAATTAATATAAAACATTATTCTTGCTTGGGTAAATGGTACTTAAAATATACGATTTATAAAAAGAAACATCCAAATGACCCCGACGTGATTTGAACACGCAACCTTCTGATCTGGAGTCAGACGCGCTACCGTTGCGCCACGGAGTCCGCTTGAACGACGTTCTCTGACAGCTAATCTTCTACGGTCAGACACATGAAAGACAATAGATTTAATGCAAAAATAATTTTTAGAAACAAACTAAACAAAAAACAATGGTAATAAGGTTATAACCTGAACCTAAAAAATTGTTAGAAAGTAAGTTTCGTCTTTGATTCATACAGTACCTTCCGTATAAAATTACATTTGCGAGAATGTATCTGAAGGACTGCAAGTGTACCAACAGGGTGTGGCTCGTGGTGGCATCTTCAGAATGAAACATGGAATAGGCTAGCATGTCGTTAAGGAGCATACTTCTGCTGTACTTTTACGAAGCGACTGGGATTATCTTTTTACCGTTACCTCCCTTTTATAATCGGATAACTCTCCCATAATCAACCCTGTTTACTGAAATTGTCAAGAGTCGCTAGCCCCCAGTGATAAGAATAGCAACAGGATTATATCCACCCGCAGGAGCATGGAATTCAAAGCATAGAATTATATACATATGCAGACACAATTTTCTATTTATTATTCAAATCTTCTCTTACATTTCATGAAAGTTATTCAACAGCAAAGGATTCTACACCGGTTAAATTTATCAAGACACATGTGTTTTTGTTCATAGATAATGTTCTTATACAAAACTGTATTACCGACTCAGGTACGAAGTTCACGAAGTCGTTCGTAGATGTCGCTTGCTGCCGGGCAATATACCTCTGGTACGTCACGGGTGAAGCTCCAGTTGTAACGTGTGCTCCTAATAGGTGTGAACCACGGCGCCGCGTACCGACGCAACCCATTGGACCTTCAAAGGAGACCACTGCCGTCTTCGGTTAATTACACGTCACCGAGCGCGAAGGCTAAGGAATATAATCTGAAGAACGCGATCTGTTTATACTCGTATCGATTCAAACGGAAGCAAAAATTAAATGGCAGCGGTGGGATTCGAACCCACGCCTCCGAAGAGACTGGTGCCTTAAACCAGCGCCTTAGACCGCTCGGCCACGCTACCCGTTGAAATTGATTTGCTCCCAAGGCCGTAATCAGTCGATATTGCTATCATACAAGTTGCTGAATGCACACGACACAGTGCACGAACCAGCGACTTGTCTCGAAGAACTGCGACAAGATTGTGCAAGCTGCCGGTTTCAAGCACATCGATTGTAAGCCTTACTCAAGGTCATACGAACTGCCTAAACCCTTCCAGCGTCTACAGAGATCGCTATGGATTTAGTGTGTGTGTGTGTACATTGAACTTTGTTCAAGCTACGAGTGTTGGTTCCTCTAAGAGAATTCTCTATAAACTATTTCCAGTTAGTAAAAACACGGTGTTCACGTGATTCTTCGGGAACGCTTTACGAAAGTTACGGAGGAGGTGGTCGCATATGTAAACTGGGGGGTGGTGGTGAGTGAGTAAGTGATCCATATATAGAAGCGCCCCCACGTTCACCAACACGAGCGCGCACCTGTCACGCATATATACGCAGGACGAGGGCCGATGCTCACACTTTTTGTGCTTGAGTGGGTTAAGCTCTGCCGACTTTTGACGGACTCCTCCTCGTTTCGGGAATTGTAACAGAACGTGTCTGTGTCAGCTAGATTCGTCATGCCTGGACGTCCGCTTTGGCAGGTAAGTCGAATCGCTCGAATTCTCTTCATTCTACGTTAGTACCTTAGCCGTGTGAAACATTCGAACGATTCAACGGAAATCATTTTAACCGTTCCGAGGAATCTCTATGAAAATATTCAAATCTACCAATGCGGGTACATAACCTTCAAGTTACAGTCAGTAACTTGTTTTTAAATTATAAAGTTTGCAACGTGTATAGAGCCGAAATACTACAGTTAGTTTATTATTAAATCGAAGATTAGTATGGAAAATTGTCATTTGCAATTGTTACATCTTTTATGAACGTGTATAGTTCGATTCAATCAAGCATGACTTTCCGTTTATGTATTTTCCCGCCATGGTGTTGAGTTTCATACACACAGTTGTCGCGACAGTTGTCAATTTCAAAGCATTACTAGGATCGCAAAAATTATTCTGGAAACTTATTTTGGAAACATCCAGAATTTCATGAAATTACGCGACACGAGCGTGAAATACGACGTAGGAGAAAAATTCTTCTCCTTTACATCCAGAAAAACCATCTATTTCAAAGGTTCTGACTCATACCGCCATAATATTTTTGCGAGTTTTCATTAAAGTGCTTCTAATTCTGGAGAGGTTGTCTACCATGAGTTATTCAATGCATCGTTAAACTAAATTTGATTTACACGTGGATCGAGGAGGTATCGTATCGCTTTCGCGGAGGCCGTTCCATTTTCAATCACGTTTTCCGTTTCCACAGGAATAAATTTAACCTCGGAAAATTTTCACGGGACTCTGGTCTCCATTGAGAAATTGATCTTAAATTCGAGTCGCGCGGTTGGTTAAAAAATAGTTTAAATATTGAATTAGTATCAGGTCCCTTATATCTCGCCGGTGGTTTTAGGGTACAGACTGATTTTTTATAATCATTTAAAATTTAAAGAATCATATAGGATAAACATACCAATAAATGAGCACTGTTACTCGTTTTTATTTAGAATGTTCATTCACTGGAGAGATGCCCCTATGTGATTTATATATATGTAAAATTGACTTGATAAATTTAAATGGTATAATGATAGTATAACAGACGTCCAGTTTTGAGTAATACCAGTACACCAAGTACAATCCCAAAATAACCGAACGGCGTGTTGCGTACGTGCCAAGTAAAGCATAAAGTTCGAATTAAAATTTCTGCGGTGTAAGCGGATTGCGTGTTCGCGTTCCAGAAAAGAAACTGAGAATCCGAAAAAATTTGTGTCGCGATGACGGCACGGCTCTCGACGGGGCAAGGTTTATTTACAAACAAGCCGCCGGTATTTTCGTGGCTGATGTGCCCAAAATTAACTCCGCCAAGTTGAGGGTGCGCCCGAGGCCTCCGAGCGACCGAGATGGAAACGCTAAACGACAAAACCTGGCTATCCATAAAATTGAATAGAAAAAATAATTTTTTTTGTAAATAAAATTTACAGAATCGTTTCGACTACAAGGATATTTTTAATGCGAACTTGTATTTATTTAACTGACATTTTTCCGAACTAAAAAAAGAATGATCTATATTTAAGATAAATTTAACGTTTCTTTTTTCGGAGCTGCATAATCATTACCACGGATTTCGCCAGTCATGCAGCATAATGCGTGATATTTTAGTATACACTCAGTCTCGTTATTAGCAGCGGAAAGAAGTGTGGTATTAGTGTCCCGAGAACTTGGCATCGGGTATCTCTTACGACAGAGAAATCTCCAAATTTCACGACATCTTTCTTCACCCTTGTTTTTCTAACATAGTGCACAATACTTAGCGTACTGTCCAACGAAAACAGTGTGCAGGTTCAATGCCACGATAACACGGTTAATAGAAAATAGCAGCGCCGCCTCTTTATTCGGTACACTTGTTGTTTACATATAATTAGAATATTACGAGAGAATAATTATAAATCTTACAAAAGTGTATGATCAATTCGAATTGACAGAATCTTGTAGTAAACACGAGATCCTGAAGTCTCACACAACATCTGATGTATTATTGGTGCATTGGTGTCTGTTGTCTTCGATAATTCTTATTCACACAAGTTTCCATGTGTGTATTCAAAATTACGAATGATCTTGATATTATGTTAACCAACGAATGTTTTGTAGTGTTGTCTCTTGTACGTGTATTTGTGTGTATATGTAGTGTAGCGTGTTGTGTGTGGTACCCAAAGTGTATTCTGTGTATAGAGTACAAAAAATCATCGATGAGTGTTCGAAGGCTCCTCTACACTGAACATTAAATATCTCTTAAACTAATAGACATATACGGCTGAAAGAAATACCATTCGCTTCAGAATTCCAAGCTCTATCGCTGTGCTAAACGTTATTAAAAAGTCAGCGTTACACCTGAGGACCTTTCCTTGTCAATGCAGAGGAGCCTTTGAACACCAATCGATGACTTACTGTACTGATTGTAATGTGTATCGTGTGTTTGTAATAGAGTAAACTAATGTTGGTCAATTAACATTGCTTCCTACCAGGATCTCGCGTTTACATATTACAGAAGGACACGATAGTATAACAAAAATTTACGCCAACGTATCGTGATGCTAGAGATCTACTCAACCGATAGAAATATTTGAAGTTTCACAATTTAAATTCTATACACGGACTCGCAGTCGTCCGGAAGAATTCGAGTTCCATTTTACGTTCGCAGATTACATAGGTAGCGAAGTAGTAAAATAACACCTATGTCGGTCCCAAGCAACGGGTCATTGTTAGAATACGGCTGGAGGATGTTTACATGTGTCGAGTGTTACCGAATCCACCGTGACCAGATTGGCTGGCGCCTTTGTTGAAGCCCATTTGCAGGTTGAGGTGGCCCTCGCTGGCCCGGAGCTGCTCCTCCGTGAACTCCCGTTTGTTTTCGTCGGCCATCTTCGGTCCTAGCCTCGGTCCATTGTATTCAGGGTGTTTTTGCGTCTGAATAAAGAAAATGTTGCAATGAAATATTAGGTGAAACGTTTTTGGGGTCGGTGGCTCGATACATTGCAGACTGGACCCTAATCTTTTCTCTGGACTTCGCCCTCGGTAACTTCAGATTCTATAATTCTATAACGAATATGACATTCGAAACCTATCGGAGAAATCTCAGGACACCGTCCCCAGATACTCACAATCCTACCAAGAGCATACAGGCACAAGGTGACTTGTGGTATGTTGCGTCTCTCGAAGAGATCGGCCGTCTGGAAGATCTCTTCTTGTGGAACACCGTAGTTCTTAATGGCGGCTTGGAATCTGTTTAAAAAGAAACGATCGTGTAAACTTCTCACGATTGAATCGCCCTGAAATACTTGTCGGTAGTCTACTCTACCTCTGAACATTTTCCATCAACTGGAAGTTTGTTCCCTTGGTCTGGATCTTCTTCACCGATCCGGGGGCGAGTTTGTTGGCCAGTTGGCAGAGAATCACTCCATCCTTGAGTATGTCCTCGTAGTTTCCGGGCGGTAGTTTCTCGCCGATGACCGCCTCGATCCAGGCCAACACCTCAGCCTCCTGTTCCTTGTTGCGGGCCTGAAATCAGGATATTTGTTGACTCGTAAAAAATTTAAAATAGCCAAAGAAAATTCAAAGGATCGGTTGTGCCATCTAGGATTCCGGGATATAAGGATCCAACGGAGAAGATTTTAAAAATGTCCAGACGAGGGGCTACAGAAATAGATCGGTGTTACGTTACCAGGGGGCGTAAAACGAATCGTCGAAAATAAAATAACGTCGGCCGATTCGCGTTGGCTTTTATTAAAACTGGCAGAGAGCACCGTACGAAACGTTTCCCTCTCGCTGGCCCACCTGTTTTACCGCGATTTGCGATCACTCGCGAACTCCTCCCCGCTGAGAGGTTTCGCGCTGATTTTCTGGTTTAAAATCGTTCAAGACGAACGGACGAAATTACACGCTGTCTGGCAGCCTGACAATGATTTCACTTCGACGCTTTCCTTTTCGAGCTGATATAGAAACATATATCCATGGTATACTACAAGAGTTTCGATATTTCTGTTTGGCCGACACTATTTTTGGAAAAATAAATGTATGCTTAGACGAAGACGTTAAATTAAACTCAAAGCAAATCATCAACATTTCGTTTAATAAACAAATTTCGTAGAATTTGAACGATCGGAAATAATCGGTAATTATTGATACTTGAGTACTAAACTATTGATGGATACGATTATCGATATTTTATACACCCGTTTCGATACTCCATCTCACGAAAATATCTGCGAATGGAGGGCAGCACATCCTCGCGACACGTCAAACTCGTCAACGAGCTTTTTGCAATTCGAGGATCAAAATCCTCTTTGAGACAACGAAAAGAAATCGAGAAGTCTCGCGTGTTCCCACTATCGCCGGTTAACGTAAGCAATTTGTTATTACGATCGCGCCAACCGCGGTCCGACCGACGTAAATCGAAATCTGGCATCCCTCTTCTATGCGATAGATCAGTATTTATAGCGAGAATTAGCCTCGATATCTCGCAAAATACAAATCCTCGCCTGTGTATTTGGTTCCTGTGAGTTATGCCTTGTCGATCGTAACGAATCGTACGAATGACGGAAGATTTCGAATATTGATCCCAGTTCGATGGTTTCTCGCTCTGGTCGGATCCCTCCCAAGACGATCGCCAAGAAAGATCTCCAGCAGCCCTGTCTGCGAAGTGTCGAAACGGCTTGGAAGCAACGTGTGTTCCTTGTCGAACGTTCTCGAGGTGTATTTTAAGGCTCCATTCTCAAGAGGAACGAAGTTTTTTACTACTCCTGGTGGTTGTGCTATCGTCTGTTTCTCAAGGACGCTTTTTCGTCGTGAACTTGTGTGACCACGTGGTGCAACATGATTCATTGAAATTAAAATCGGTCAAGTTACAAGAGTCAAGAAGGATTTCTATCATTCCAATTAAGTCGGAAACTACAGATCCTTTCGTTGATTTTGTAACATCCATGGGAAAAGTTCGTTGAACCACGGGTATCTAAGCTTTTCTCTGAGCATCGTTGAAGCTCAAGCTCCCTCAAGTCTCTAATTGCCATTAGAACGAATGAAACGTAATCACGGATAATGCATCACGTTACCACCGGTGTCTCCTATATCGTGACTCTTCTATACTACGTTTCCATCGTGCTCATTATTATGATCGTCACCGTGATATACATGTTGCTTTATTTCCCTATCACCCTCTTTTAGCGCGCTACCATATTCGACGTGAAAATATAATACATATTTCCATCATTCGATTGTAATTTCTCTGTTATTGACGCGTGACAAAGTGTCAGAATTAAATAAAACAAGCAAGGAATGACTGAAATAAGTTAGAGAAACTACTTAGTGGTGGTCATGTTTGAGTTACCGCGGAAAACCGATGGATTTCTGAATAACAGTGGTTTCCGTTCGATAGCATCGACGGACATAGGATATTACGTAAGGGTATTTATCTTAGGGTATAAATACACCGGTCACGACGGGGGAGGCGATACCACACGTCAAAGAGGATATCGTCGTTACAAATCGCGGTTTTCCGTCATGTCGATCAAACGGATCGTGATGAATTTGTTCACCGAAATCTAACCTATATTCGTGTTTCTAGACGCTAAAAAAATATTCAAACAACAGTTATCAACGCTACCAATACCGTAGATCTATTTAAAAGTTTAAAGACCAAACAAAAGTGGGGGAAAAAAGAAAAATATTAGTCTACAAATCGAGACGCTACGCGCTGTTAAAGGATTATTTTCTCTACTTTTTTCCCGTCCGCAACTTTGTATGTTTTCCCCTCTGTCAAGATTAATCCAGCAACGTCTCGGGAAATCCGCCAGAACGAAATAGCCCAAGGTCTACCGTAATTAGGATTCTACGAATAACCGCGGTTCCTCGGCGTTTAACGCTCGCGATTTCAAAATTATTAATGTTATACCAGGTTCAGTTAGACTTCTCACTTGTCCCTTTACTCGTTGAACCGAGCACACATCTGTGGCTGACAGAAAGAACGCCGTATGTCACATGTTTTCACATTCGAGATAATTGTTTAAAGTTCTGTACATCAGTTCCTCTTATTAGCAATGTTTCCCTGTTTTCTTTTTACAATATTAATATATACACTCACCGACAAAAAAAAACAAACTACTTTTATGAACATCATATCGATTGCTCGTGCTTATACATAATTGAGGGGCTCAGTAGAAAAGGTGCACCACCATTTTCATACCATCAACAAGCTTTAACCTTATTTTTCATATGCTTAATATATTTTTTTCATGTTTTTGCAGAATAAACAGTAATAAAATAGGCAATGAAAAGCTATCACAAAAGGAAATATACGAGAAACCGTTCTGTTCTCCAAATTTTCTGAACTCGTGTTGTTTTACCTACTCTACTGCATTGAATACTGGACTTCCCTTAAATTGCATTACTTTTTTAAAGATACAAAATATGATTTTATGCATTTTTTCCCTCATAAACACATAGATACTATATTCTGCAGCTCAATTACAATGCAATAAACCTCAAATTTTTCGAAACTGTCGCATGCAGAGTTTTTCCATACAGCCACAGACATATCGCGTCGGTAATTTATACGGCCCGCTGTTAGTCACACTGATCCTCTAAACGAGCACACTGGGGTTGTTCCGCGCGCGTTCGCCGATGCTGACAATCGACACACGTACCGGCATGCTTCTGTCCCTTTTTTCCCCTGTGGATCGTTCTACTCTCTGTTGACCACCGAACGTGTGCACACGTTAATCTTCTCAAGGGACAGCAACTTCTGTGAACGCGATGACGCTTGACCGGACAGAGACTAAGTCCGGACGCCGTGCGTCGCGACGCTATATGCCGGTCTCCCCTCCGCCCGGGTATCCTTTCCGTCGACATTCAGGAACGAGTGATTTTTGGCCAGTTGCCCGACGGGTATTCCCACACCCCCGCTTCTTTCTCGTAACCAGATCTTGACACTGCAGCCCCATTTACAAGACCGGGACAAGAGGCTGACTCGTTACATCTGTGATCGCCGAATTGGTCTCAGTTTCTTAGCTTTCGATCCTTATGCCATTGCACGTTTTCCTGACTAGGTCAGATCGTACATACTGGTACGTAATTGTATATTATACGGTGTAACTTGCTTACCATATGAGAGATTATAAGTAGTGATCGAACCTAGGCGATGGTTCCAATTCGGCAACCTTCCCCTGTATTCTGGTTTTATTCATCAGACGGTTCAGATCCATTCAAGAAGGAGAGTTGAAGAGTAGAAATGGCGAATTGTCGACGAGTAGTAGGTTTTGGTACCACATAGGTCATGATTGTTTCCAAAAAGAGATAGAGTGGATAGCCCAGGACACTTAAGTGGAACCCAAACACAATATATAATATCTGTAAATTGTAATCAGTAGACTGAGGACAGGATTGCATATTCATAATTTATTTAAAATATATTTATGAATATTTAGAATAATCAATTGCTGGGTTATCCCTTCTGTGTTAATTACTAATATTCATTGTATCTTTATACATATGTGCCAGTATCCCTCAAGAGGTCAACAAGATCCTTATTTTGTCTGGAACCTGGCAGAACTTAGTATGTAATGGAGATACTGAAATGTCCGGATTCATCCGCCTTTTGCCTATGTATAGGTTTACGTTAACCATAATTATTGTAGCATTATCCAGAAAGTACTATCTTCAGTTACCATTTAACGTAACCACGAAGGCATACACCGTTTAATCGTAAACTTCTTGGAACGTGAACCGGATCTTGTCCCCGGTTCAAAGACCCTTTCCTTACACATCGTAACTTGTTCGACTAATTCGGGTCATGCAGAAGTTAGGGTCGCTTATTTTTACATCTCGCGAGTTTCTTCTTCTTAACCTTTCCATGCAAAATCCTTCACTTTGAGGCGGTACGAATTTTTGTGAAGGTATTCTGGTTATGAAAACGATTAGAATAATATCTCTGATACTTCATTAGGGAAGGAGCAAAGTGGCTATCCCCAGAAATAGTGAGCCGTCTGGACAGGCTATTTAGGGGCGGTTGTATCGCTGCTTACCACGATCTGTCGTTATTATGAATGCTGACGTCTAGTGCCGAGGCGGGAATTCCGAGTGCCTACGTAGCATGTAAGTGGAAAAGTTCGAACAAGTGGGTGTCTGCTGTGGTGTATATTGCAAGAAAAGTACGGTTAACCCGGGTCCGTGGATCGTAGCCAGATGAAAACGCCGATAAGCAAGGCGGTCGGTCGTCGTGATTTCTGGATTTCGGCCACCTTCGAAGGGTGAGGCCACCGCCGAGTTTAGATTCCGTCAATCGACACTGTTTCCAAGTTTATCGTAACCCGACGAAATCGTCTGGAACTATTCATCTTACGTTCGTTCAGCTTGAGTTATGTAAAGGAGAATTGGATCGATGGCGTCATCGGTGCTGTTTCTTGACGTTAGTTTCTTAAATATCCTCTCGATACATATGTATGTATTATATATGAAATCTGGAATAATTAAGGGTTCTTGTTATAGTCGCTTTACCAGTTGGTTTAGGAAATTAAGAGCAACAGGTTAAGGGAGGGTGATTCGGTTGGACGCCACGAGAATGAAAGAATGGAGTAAAATGGAGTAAAGACTGCATCGCATACCGTCGTCACAACGAGTACTTAAAGCGCCACCTCTTGATCTCGTGTTCTCCTATCACGATGCATTTCCAGCAAATACTTAACCGAACTTTACTTGCGTTCAATTGCAAATACACCGTTTACAGTGGTCATGTATGGTACAGCACTGTGAAAAAAGTCTCTTGTTAAAAGAAGTTTCATAAGTGGCATTGATAGACCATTACTTTAAATGTCGTATCAAAATGTTATTGTGAAAAATCGTTTGCATTTATATCATTTTGTAATTTCATTGTAGTTTTGTTAAATATTAATATACAAACGTTGCGATAATCAGGTATTCTATGAATTGAATTGCACTACATACATACATTCATACATACATACATAGCTCTGTTCGTTGGTTCGTTAGTTGGTCGACCTGCCGCTAGATGGCATTGACGAAGAATCATTTCTCGCAGTTAGAATGATCACGCTAGCGTTATTAGTAAGACGGGGAAAAGCCGTTTCTTTAGCTTTGCGCAGTGGCGATATCGTAACCAATGAGGTTCTACCGAGGTGCGATTATTGCTAGTTGAAAACTTTTACCAATACCCCGCCATGACGATGTGAAATACCATCGGCTACGGCAATTTTTGAAAGTTTCTACGGAAACTGATTTGATAATTCAAAAACGAAAGTATACAATTCCCACCAACCTTTTTACCACTTACAATTACTGGAATTTATACACATTTAATATACAGATTTTTCATTCTAGTAAATGTTCCGAGATATATAATAACCATAACTAAAATTATTATTTGAAGACAATAAACAAAATGGTCAAGGTACTCCATCAAAAGCTTTTTTTATAAGTTTCAAGCGAATGTTTTTAAGGATATTAATTTGGTTACCGTCGTTAATCGATCTTCCTCCACTCACAGTAGTCTCCAAAATAAACTTAATGAATTGTTGACACGTGGCGCAGCGATAACTCCTGGGGTCTGAGAACAGAATTTATTTCGGTCAGTTATATCTAAATAGCCACTGTTCATCTTAAAAGATACAAACCAGTCATTAATCACTGTTAGAAGTGTATTAAGCACTCAAACTGAACGCTTTCGGATAAACAGTTATTAAAAGAATTCTTTTAATCTTTTGATTCTAGGTTGCTGGTAAGCGAGAGGCTAGCCAAGAGGCTGAGGCGCAGCAATGGATCGAGACGGTGGTCGGACAGAGATTTCCACCAGGTGTGATGTTCATAAAAAAATACGTAACTAGGGTGAATGCACTAGGAAATGAACACGTATAGATATTAAAAAATGTAATTTTCATGTGCCAAATATCTATTAATATTATTATGATTTAAAATTCAACTTTACCAGTTACAAAATCTTGTCAGTGTTCATTCATTGGTGCGTTTACCCTATGTATTAACACGACCAACGCTCTTACCGTTCGTGTAATCTTATCGCGGTTACACCGCGACCAGAACATAATCCAACGGGAGATCACAATCGCAACGGTTGATTGAACTTTGTCGATAACATACACCACTCCCTCGATGCACGCGCTCGGATGCATGGACTCCTGTTCTGCGGAGGTGGTGCGGTTCGAAAAGCGTGTCAATATCAACCACCCCCGTTCGAGAATCGCCGTGCAACAATACCCAGAGGCCCTCTGGAACCCTATAATTCCCGGGTACGAATGTCAGGCCGCGTGACGTCACAAAGGTTAAGCTTGTTGACTTGGTCAGTTTTCGTAGTTTCCCTCGAACATACGTATGTCAAAGTGGCGGACAAATCTGTAGGACAACTGATATTTCCAGTGTACCCAATTCATCTTTCATGGCCATCCTAAAAATTCAATTCGGGATGTTTGTTAGTCACTTTAACCGTGGATTTTAATTAGTATTAATTGACACTATTTAATAGAGATGGAAATAACTTAGCGAAGAAGTTATAGTGAGAGTTGGTTTCCCACCGCAAAAAGGGATCGATGGCCAGGATTCCTAAGGGTAGTTGTGTCCTCCTTCGTAGGAATGTTCTCCTGGTAAAACGCGCGCTTTGTTACGTCATTCGAGCCACCCTATTGAACAGACAACGGGCAACAACCCCTGTGTCTGACGTGCACCCCTGGTTCGAGAAATACGCCAGGCGTCGACGCAATCGTCGTGTTGAGTGCACCCCGGTTCCACGGTTTTGCTACATAAGAAGCAAGACTTTGTTCTTCTTACGTTTTTCTAACACTTCTTTACGTCATTTCCCGCCTTGATTAAGTGTGGTTACCCTTGAAGAGGAAGAGAAAGAAATTGGGTCAGTCTATAGGTTACGTAGTACTTATAGGGGCAACACAAGAGTCCTCGAAGAAAGAACGTAAAGCTTCGGATATTGTGCTTTCATTTCAAGCTGACACCCTGATAGTGTGGAGGGTTCGACGAAGGTGGCAAAAGGATGCCGTCTTCCTCTTTTGCCCTTTTAATTAATCTATATGCATACACTTTCAGCCCTCCGTGTGAATCCGAGGGGCGAGGGGGAAGGTTCTTCGGTGACAGTGAAGCTTCTTCACTGAAGTGCTAGCCTGGTATTAACCGATTCAGGACGCACCTGTTATAAGCTTACCGTCCCGCCTAATAGGACGAATACGTTAGAAGAATCTTTATAAATATTACACTCTATCAATATTCTCCTTAACCCTGAAGAATTACCCCGTTAAACAATCCTGTTAGTCTAATTGAAATATGAATTTTCTCTTGAAATAACACAATGCATAGCGATTAAAATATTTTAACGAGGTAGAAAATGCAAGCCATGGAGGATTAAGAAGTCTAATTACAATGTATCGCTATCAGTGTGTAATTGTTTTTTTAACCAGGAGCATTGTCAACGTCTTCCTGTCGTTTGGCTCGAGCATTGCCGCGCAGTAGCAGCTCCATCTAGGCTTAGAGTAGACGGGAGGCTCTACGCAATGATGCGAGCCGGGTATACGAAGCTTTTGATGTTATTGACTCGTTTAAAATTGAACTTGGATTAGCGGCACGTTCGATCGTCGCCGTGGTCAACTGTTCTTCTTCTCCTTCCTCCCTCGCTGTCATTGTTCGCTCTACATAATACCGTGATCGGAATTCGACGTATTCCAGGATTCCCGAGTCTTTCCGTTGCAGATGTTAGCCTGTTCCTGGAAGCTCGCGAGGCATGCTGAACACGATCCTCTCGTTACAGTATCATTGTGCATTTTTTTCGGTAGTGGGAGAAAATCTTACATTCTGTTTTGACGTTCAGTCATCTGGGAAAAATGTTAAAGTGTACAGTTCGTTAAGAAAATTCAAATATGCTATATAAACAAAAAAGTGTTTTTGGCAGAATAGTGAATACCTTTTGAGAATAGTTAAAATATGTACATATATGTATATATAAATATAAAAATAGCCGAGGCCTTAAGTTATTGACAATTAACAATCAAATTATTGTTATTAGAAACGACCACTGCTACACCTGTAATTGCAATTATTAATTTGTCGCTTGGTACATGTAGTAGAAGTTTCTAACCGCCAGAAGCTCGTTAAACGATGTTTAACAATCGGTTGCCGGCCGACGACGTGTATTGATTTCGCGTCATCTGTTCATCATGTTACGTCGTAAGGACGCCAATGTATCAGGAACGCATACAAGGCCCATGGATAGTCAAGTCACAAACATCGTATTGTGTCATTTCTTCTTCCCCTCTCTCTCTCTCTCTCTCTCTCACGAGCGCCTGCACCCTTCTCAACTTCCTCATCGTAGTGAAAATCGAGTATTAAGCGACACTCACAACAAACTTCCCTCGTTAAATTATAATAAATCGTGATTTTATTTATTTGTAGGCGTCATCTTTTCTTCTCCATTTTGCATCAGTCTGAAACTATAAATGTTTATTGCAATTTAATTGGTCTCAATAAGAATTATTGGTCATGGCTCTTGACAAGCTAATAATATCGTAATAATGTAGTTAAGTTTTATCTTGAGTGAATTTGCTTACTGAGATCGCAACACTTAATCCTTAAAAATGATTTGAAAATGAATTCTATAAAATTGTAGCTACATTACTTATTGACGTTGTTCATATAAATATAAAATATAGAGGTTATTTCTATCCCGTTGAAAATGCCCCTTAAAGCTCGACGGGTGAATCGGAAGGCGTTTCGAGGGAGGGAAGTGTCAGTCATCCGTTCGTCACGGTGGCACAAGTAGCTTGCCTGCACCAGGGCACCAGCAGACGTTTGAGGGATTTATAGCTTTCCCGCCACGTTTACGTCAACGTCGACGGTACGTTCGATAGGACGTCAGATGATAACTTTCCGTAACACTAGCTTTGATTCCACTAATTTCGACAAGACGTCTCAAGGCGACAGAACCTGTCGATATGTCGAACGGCTCGTCACGCCACGTTGCATGACGTCACGAAAGCTTGCAGTTACTAGGGTAGCAACGACGGCTAGTAGATGAATTTATGGCCTCCTCACCGACGAAGGGCTGTACCCCCACGTGTGCGTGTGTGTGTGTGTTAGTCAGTGTAACCCTGCCTCGGTGTACACCAAGAAAATAAGAAGTCTTCTTACGGGGGAGAAGAAAAAGTTGCGTTTCAGTGATACAGGGTTCCGACGAGATTGAAACTCCGGTGTACGTCAGCAGGTGTCAGTTGTCCGTCAAAGGATCGTCAATGACGTCATTCTGAGACAAGCCTACCAGGATTACAGCCTCGGGGTAGATTTACGACCAAATGCAACAGGTGGTTACCCGAAGCTATACATATTTCGTTTGGGGGTGTGCTCGAGGGGCGTGGACTTGGTTCTCATTGATCAGAAAAAGGATTGTCTTCGAACGCTGATCGTTTCTTGCATGGAGTTATCGGTGGTACACTTGAAGGAGAGATGATTCGTCAGGAAAAAATATTCTTTCTTTTGGAAAAGAAAAACGGTACGTTGCTCAGTGGGCTCATCCAGTAAATATTCTAATTGGATTCTCCTGAAAAGAAAGGCTCGTATTGAAGTCGAAGTGTTTTTACATTGTGCAATCATGTATAAATATGTATATAATTATGATAGAATGGGTTACGGACGCAAGACCATTGCAACTAAGCACGTGTTCCCGTTCCCGCGGGACCTGTTGCTCGCCTCTGGTCGTAAATTCAGCCCGGGGATGTTGTCCTGGTGAAAACCGTGCATTTGACGTCTTTATGACACGAAACTGACGTGAAATCGATACCACACTGGGCAAGCGCGTTCTTTGACGTAGGGAGTATCCCTTTCTCTCATTTAACTCGCTCAGCCTACGCTAATCTCATTAAAGGGTTCATCGTAATTTTCTACCACTCATATAATTAACTCCGTATCTACGATCAGACAATAATTTCTAATTGCCTAGAAGATAGTAATCACCTCATTTATGTAGAATATAGAATATTATAGAAGATCAAGTATGATGACAGTGTTTGAATCTGCTTCATTATTCCTGCAACCCTGACTTCTACTGACATTTATAATGCCCGTCGTTTCCTGGTAGGAAGTCTGCGGAGCGTTGAAAACGTGATGCAATGATAATAATAATCAGGTGGTAATCAAATTTCCTCCTTATTTTGAACTTACTCGATGAAAATAACCGTCTATTTATATCTCAGTCTTGTAAAATGTATACTCAACAATACCAACTCTAATGAGTTAATCAGATTCGAGACGATACGTGTAAATTAAACGATATGCGCGAGATACAACAGAATACAGGCGTACAAGACCGGGCGGGATTTATCGATTTCACGTCAAATTGTCGAGACATGACGACCATGACGTGTCACCGTAACAGGATAGTATCACGGGCAGAAATAGTGCTAATGTACCCGATATATATTGTTGCGATCCGATATTTTTTTCGACGGGAAGTATCGACGCAGGAATGAGAAGACGGCGATAAGACACGCGACGTCTGAAAAATATCAGGCCAGCATCACGTGACTCTGTACGAAAGAAACGAGGGAAGAATCACTGCACGTACCATACGGTCACGGTCTGACAATGCGTTTCTATTGATTTTCTGTCATCTTCTCGCGTTTACGACATCTCATCGCGATTCGACGGTACCAGGAACGTATCAGCAATATCACACTTCTTGTTTACGCCCATCATCCGCGGCGGTTCCACGCGTTTCGATCCCAGGAAGTGGTGTGGATGCTGGCCCGTTGCTCTCGGCTGTTGCCTGGATAGCGTGGAAAAGCAGAAGGTCTGCTCGGGTCGTTTGATTCGCGCAGTCCAATGTGAGTGACACACACCTGAAGGATGAAGATGCACTCAAGGAATTTTCATCTAATTCCAGAATTTCGAAGAATATTCGATATTCGTTAATTCCTAGACTTCATATTTAATTCTGCCCTTAAGTGCGTTAAAGAGTAAGACGTAAATATTCTTCCTGTTTCAATAATTAGATAAGGATTATCCCGAAAGTGTACTTGTTTCAGATACTTTGATCAATTTTGTTTATTGTCGTGCCTATTGTGTAGAATTGACCATTGCTAGATAGTTCGCCACGTGAATGTTGAGAGTCGATTCCACGGTTAATTGAACGAAATTGGCCGAGGTATCTGAAACTGATCGACTGTCGAAGGCTCGTCAATCGAAAATTCAAGCACACGACCAGTTTTGTACTAGGCGAACAGATTTTCGGGTAGGCATTTGGTGGCGCGCTCCCTCCATCGCGAAACCACGTGACTCGTCGTCCTTGCAGGATCAGGGTAGTAGTCTTTCGAACAGCTAATGAGCGCGTTGTTCCGTCCAAAAATGTCCAAAAGAACAGTGAAGTATCTAATGGCCACAATCTGTCGAATATGTATACCGAAGTCACAAAGTATTTGCTTACACTCGAAACATATAACTTGGGAAAAATAGTTCGATACCATATACTATAGAAACCCATAACAATTTCCGTTACAATGGATGTTTCTAATGACGTGCATCTACATAACGCGTCTTCAGTTTATAGTTTACGTATACACAGCGAGCCCAGCTGGAGGAACTACTCGAGGCTCGGTATGTTTTCTTAGTAACTCCGTAACTTTCATATTCATAGATACTGCATATATTACCATCGCCGCTGTCGCTTAACTAGAATATAGCGTTCGAGCTACAGACAAAAACGTTGCTCTTCGCTAGACTTGGGGGGCAGGGCCACATTCAGCCAGTTGTGACCATATCGGTATTCTCTTTGCTGAAATGTTAAAAATACAATTAATTATTCTTCAAAGTAACGCGTGTAACCTACTTCCCTTTCATAGCCATACATTCTTCTATATTGTAGTACAATTGTCGCGTATGGACCAAGATAATTCACATACATCAGTCAGCTCATTGTTTATAAATTAACTGTATTCACCAAAATCATATCCATCATCTGAAAATGATCAAAGAGTTAATCTGTGTTCGAATTGCATTAAATACCAAAGGAATTAATGCATCAAAAAAGCTGGCGGCAACTACAAACCTGGAAAGTTACCTGTCGTGCTTCCGCGACCGCAGCGCTTCCTCTCGCGGCTTGTGTGCATCGATACAATTTATAAATCCGGTCGCCAGGTAGCGTGCCACATCGATATGTTCGATACATGGAAACGTCACGTAAAGTCGTTGGGTGGGGGGGAAGTTGGAAATAACGACACACACACACGCCTGACAAATTGACAGACGAACTCTTCGCGTAAGCTGCGCTCCTGGCAATTCGAGATGCAGCGTGTCTTTCGAATGGCGACGGGAGCGCTTCGGCCAGTCGAAGCCCACGACACGCGACCAGGAAAGACAATGATGGCGGTGCGAACGGGACAACGCGGGTCACCAGTAAAAAAAAAAGAGAGGGCTGGAAAGACGGAGGCGGTCTCTTTCCTGGATCCTTCGACCGAACGGCAAAAAATGCCATGCCCCTTGGCGCGCCTCTTGGTATAATGGGGCGCTATGAACGAGTGCTGGTGCACACGTAGCCTCTCTGTTATTATTTCGCGGCAATCTCCCGACCGCCCGTGGTTGCTGGCACGAAGGCTGGGAGGTGACGGAGAAAAAAAAACAGAGAAACGAATCTGTCGTTCGTTCGAGAGCCGATAATCACGCGACCGACAATGAAAATCGATGGCTGACATCAAGTGCGCATGTCAGTCCCGCGGGCGGACGAGAGGGCAAGAGTGGAGTCGTTTGTTTTTTCTGCTATCCTGGTGGCACTGTGGTTCTCGGCATATCCATATATACCAGAAACAAGTATTGTCGTTATCTCCTCAATGAACAGTACGATTTTCAGTTACTGTGAAAACGGTATGAATATCAATGGAATTCTTTCAATGTTGCATTCTAAGTATGTGTATGTATTACTATACGGTTAAACGTGCTGATAATTTGGGAAAGAAGAAATTTAATTTAACACAAATTATGCTTCCAGAAGTTTCAAATAATTAATTATTGTTGTCCTGTAATGGGTTTAGGTGTGCTGTACGAAGATGCTTTAAGGGACGGCGTGCTGCTTTGCCAACTTATGAATAAACTGCAACCGGGTCTCGTTACTAAGATCAACACTTCTGGTGGTGATTACAAGATGATGGATAACCTTAATCAGTAAGTACTACGATTTGTATATCAAATCACCACTTACCAAATGGTATGGAATGATCTTTTGCTTGCATTGTAATGTAGAAATAGGTGCTACCGGATGATAATATATGTTGTCTGTAATCCCCCAAGAGATTTCGTAGCTTAAGTTAGCCTCCTCTGATCTGATGCTTTCCTGCTACACAGTCGACTTTCCGCAATCGACAGTGTTTTGCTTCGAAACGACTCTCGACTCGCGTCTATCGATGTCGAGAACAGTGGTCGCCGATTCTCGTCGAAATCGAGAGATCAAACCATCCGTGCGAGTATTGACCTCGAGTTCGAGACCAACGATTCTTTCCAATGTGGATACGGACAGATGTAACCGCGAAAATTGACCACGAACCTGCTCCTCCTCGCGTTACCTGATTGCCTGGTAAATAAGTACCAACAAAGTCTGAGGTCGGGACCGTCGCAGTGAACTTCGAACGGATATAATGGAACACTCGTCTTCCTTTGGAGGAGTTAAGCATATCGTACCGTATGTGGTCCTCTAAAAAATACCCAGACTTTTCAATGGGTCCCCATAGACTCTAGAACTTTCTTCGGTGATTCCGGAAGGTCCTTAGGTCCCTTCAAAAGACAACTGGAGTCTAGAAACCTCTACAAATTCAAGGAAGAATATGAAGACCATGCCTACACTTACAATTGACTATAATATTTTTCTTTACTATTTCATTACTTAATTCTTCAATACATTACTATGTTATGAGCACAAATAGGTAGTATCCTTTATCCTTTTTCCACATAATCCTCCCACCTTTGTTAATAATAATGGCAGTTTTTGACGTTGATCCCCAGCAAGATAAATATTACTTTCGATAAAATATAGTGGTTTACGTATTGGTACATCCAATATAAGGTTAACGGTAGTTGTTAGAGCTTGTTGCAGACCCATTAGGATAGAATTTCAATGTCGAATCAAATGAGTAATCAAGCGTCTTCGTGACGGTTTCGCTCGAAGTGCAGCACACTGAGCACACACGCGGTCTGTCTTTTGCATCTAACCGCGGGTGTCGCCTGCGCATGCCACCAATTGGCGCGTTTTCATGTTTAAGAGCGCTCTACTGGATAGTGGGGCGAACGATGCGCAGCGCGGCCACTCCGCGTTACTCCCTTTTTATACGGAAAGCAGAAGTAACGTGAAAGTCGAACACATGGTTACTTTATAATCTCCTTTCGTTGCTACATTCCTGCATCTCAGAGAGCTCGTTAACACTGGCCTGCCTTACGTTTGTCGCATCGCGATCGTGTAGCTTTGCTATCGACAAAATGGCGACTAATTTCGAATAGCTGTTACGAATGTCCAGGGCTACTGGTCTTTTTTTGTTAATTAACTCCGAATAGAGAAATCATCCTCATCTTTTGCATTGCCTTTGGAAGTAACCCCGTGATCTATATTGATTCAGATTCCAAAAGGCCTGCGTAAAATACGGAGTACCCGACGTGGACCTATTTCAAGCGGTGGATCTCATGGAGAGGAAGAATATAGCGCAAGTGACCAATACCATTTTCGCCATCGGTCGTGCTGTAATTAATTTCATTAAATAAATAGGATAGCTATTTCTTTTCTTTATAAACAATGTTCTTCGGTCGTATATGTACATTTAAAAATTATACGTGTTTTACAGACCTACAGACATCCAGAATGGCGCGGACCGTGGCTCGGTCCTAAGCCAGCCGAGGAAAACAAACGACACTTTACGGAGGAGCAATTAAGAGCCGGCGAAGGTCTTATTGGTCTTCAAGCTGGTACCAATAAGGGTGCAACTCAGGCTGGACAAAGTTTCGGCGCCACGAGGAAAATTCTCCTTGGCAAATAATAGCAACTATAACATTTGACGGTGCTCTTAATGTTTTCAATAGATTGTATGTTAGATCTTTAGATTGGAATATGAAAGTTGCTAGAACTATGAACATTTCGACAGGATAATAATATAAATGGAACTTTGAAACTTTTCTAAGTTTCACAATGAAATTTCGTGAACCTCGATATTTATCGTACAGCGCCGAACGCGCATAGCAGAACGATAGTCGCGAGCCAGCAATTGAATTCAATAAACGTAGTTTACCGGAGCGCATCGTATTGTATTTCACTTTTATATCATTATAATTTATATGTATATATAAATAGATATACATATATTATATCGACAGGTGAGTGAAAATTTCTAGTGATGGAAAAATGCAAATATCTCAGTAATGAAGCACTTAAACTGAACCTCATTAGTCTCAAATTGTCCCTCAGGACTTAATGCATGGACCCAATAGTGCAGAACCCCTGAATTAGTAAAATTAGTTATGCCTGTATTACCGTAGCCCCTTATGGGGCGGCAACCCTAATTGCAACAGGTTTCTATCGCATTTACACCGCTAAACGGGCATGATTCTTCTTCGTCCTGCATTAGATACAACGTTTAAAGAACGTAGATTACTATTCTCTAACGGCTGGAAACCAGTAATTACAAGAACATTGTTAAAATCGCATTTATTTGCAACGGTTAACACTGTATCTCGTCATGCGTACCCCGGTTAGTTCACTTTGGACAGGTCTTACACCGTTATACAGACAGCTTTCGGTTAGATAAAGCACTCGATTTGTAGCTGAAAGCACGTAGATTAATCCACTGTTATTGATAATAACAATAAACGACCAGAACAGTGTTAAAATCGCATTTAATCGCGGAGTACCACTTTTTTTGTGACCGGTGGCGCCACCAGTGGCAATTCGCTGAAACTGCTGGCCAAATCATACCGACAGGTGGGTGAACATTCCTAGTGATGGAAAAATGCAAATATCTTAGTAATTAGGTGCTGAAAATGAACGCTGTTAGTCTCAAATTGTTCCTCAGGACTTAATGCATGAACCCAATATTGCAAAACCCTAGAATTAGTCAAATTAATTACACCTGTAATACCGCAGCTACCTCATGGAGCGGCAACCCTAATTCGATCGCATTTAAACCGCTGAACGGGCATCATTTTTCCTCGTCATGCATTAGATTGGAAGCTTAAAGAACGTACATTAGTACTTTCTAGTCGCTGGGTACCAGTAATTACAAGAACATTGTTAAAATCACATTTATTTGCAACGGTTGACACTGCATCTCGTTATGCGTACCCCGTTCAGTTCACTTTAAATAGCTCTTTCAACGTTATATGGACAAGATACGTCTTGATCAAGCATTCAGTTTGAAGCTAAAAGAACGAAGATTAACCTCCTGTCATTGAAAATAACAATAAATGACCGGAACACTGTTAAAATCGCATTTAATCCAGGAATACCACTATTTTTTTGATCGGTGGCGCCATCCGTGGCGAATCGCTGAAACTGTTAGCCAATTATATGGCTAGCAGTTTCAGAGTTACGCCATGGATGGCGCCACCAGTCGAAAAAAATAGTGGTACTCCGCGATTAAATGCGATTTTAACAGTGTTCCGGTCGCTTATTGTTATTATCAATAACAGTGGATTAATCTACGTACTGTCAGCTACAAATTGAGTGCTTCAGCTAAACGAAAGCTGTCCATATAACGATATACGAGCTGTCCAAAGTGAACTAACCGGGGTACGCACGACGAGATACAGTGTCAACCGTTGCAAATAAAGTGCGATTTTAACAGTGTTCTGATGGTTTATTGTTATTGCCACTGACAGGAGATTAATCTACGTTCTTTCAGCTACAAGTTGAGTGCTTGGTCAAGACGAATCAGCCGTTACAGGGTACTAATCTACATTCTTTAAACTTCGAATGTAGTGCATGACGAAGAAAAGTGTTGCCTGTTTAGTGGTTATGTACTTGCCGCAGGTTTCGATCGGATTTACACTGCTAAACGAGCATCAGTTTTCCTTGTCATGGATTACATTCGAAGTTTAAAGAACGCAGATTAGTACTCTCTGGCAGGTGGGAACCAGTAATTACAAGAACATTGTTAAAATCTCAATTGTTTGCAGAGGTTGACACTCTATCTCGCGATGCGTACCCCGTTTAGTTCACTTTGGACAAGTCATACAACGTTATCCTGACAACTTTCGTCTTGACCAAGCATTCGATTTGTAGCTTAAAGAACGTAGATTAATCCCCTGTCATTGACAATAACAATAAACGACCAGAACACTGTTAAAATCGCATTTAATCGCGGAATACCACTATTTTTTCGACCGGTGGCGCCACTCGTGGCAATTCGCGCAAACTACTAGCCAAATCATACCGACAGGTGAGTGAAAATTCCTAATGTTGGAAAAATGCGAATATCTCAGTAATTATGCGCTCAAAGTTAATGTTGCCAGTCTTAAATTGTTCCCCACAATACAATGCATCGACCAAATGCAACTGAACCCCATAATTGGAGGAATTATTTCTACCAGTGTTAATATGTTACATATGCAGTGTTGACAGAAATGATTCTTCCGATTATGGGGTTCTGCGGTATTGAGTCGATGCACTGAGTCATCAGGAGTAATTTGAGACCAACTGCGTTCATTTTAAGCGCCTATTTACTGAGATATTTGCACTTTTCCAACATTAGGAATTTTCACTCACCTGTCGGTATGATTTGGCTAGTAGTTTGCGTGAATTGCCACGAGTGGCGCCACCGGTCGAAAAAATAGTGGTATTCCGCGATTAAATGCGATTTTAACAGTGTTCTGGTCGTTTATTGTTATTGTCAATGACAGGGGATTAATCTACGTTCTTTAAGCTACAAATCGAATGCTTGGTCAAGACGAAAGTTGTCAGGATAACGTTGTATGACTTGTCCAAAGTGAACTAAACGGGGTACGCATCGCGAGATAGAGTGTCAACCTCTGCAAACAATTGAGATTTTAACAATGTTCTTGTAATTACTGGTTCCCACCTGCCAGAGAGTACTAATCTGCGTTCTTTAAACCTCGAATGTAATCCATGACGAGGAAAACTGATGCTCGTTTAGCAGTGTAAATCCGATCGAAACCTGCGGCAAGTACATAACCACTAAACAGGCAACACTTTTCTTCGTCATGCACTACATTCGAAGTTTAAAGAATGTAGATTAGTACCCTGTAACGGCTGATTCGTCTTGACCAAGCACTCAACTTGTAGCTGAAAGAACGTAGATTAATCTCCTGTCAGTGGCAATAACAATAAACCATCAGAACACTGTTAAAATCGTACTTTATTTGCAACGGTTGACACTGTATCTCGGCATGCGTACCCCGTTTAGTTCACTTTAAAAAGCTCTTCCATCGTTCTATGGACAAGCTACACCTTGATCAAGCATTCAGTTTGAAGCTGAAAGAACGTAGATTAATCTCCTGTCATTGAAAATAACAATAAATGACCAAAACACTGTTAAAATCGCATTTAATCGCGGAATACCACTATTTTTTGACCGGTGGCGCCATCCATGGCGAATCTCTGAAACTACTAGCCAATTATTTGGCTAGGAGTTTAAGCCTTTCGCCACGGGTGGCGCCACCGGTCGAAAAATAGTGGTGCTCCGCGATTAAATGCGATTTTAACAGTGTTCTGGTCGTTTATTGTTATTTTCAATGACAGGAGATTAATCTACGTTCTTTCAGCTACAAGTCGAGTGCCTGGTCAAAACAAGTCCTTTCCATATAATGTCGTGAGGCCTGTCCAAATATGAAGTAAACAAGGTTTGCTTGACGTGGCCCATTGACCTCTACGCATGCTCCGGGGGTTCTATGACCCCACGTACTCACCACGCTTGGTGCATGGCGCCTCCACCGTTTGGCAAGGGGGCGGCGTCAGTCACCCTGTGCGGCGAGACATTGGGGTCATGGAGCCCCTGGAGCATGCGCAAGAGACCCCGTGTTTGTGAGATGAACTGTGTAGTACTTAGTTGGGAGCCCTAGAACCCCCGAATAATGTAACAAATGTTCATTGTATGTTACGTCTATTCTATATCTTGTCGGTGGCCATAGTTTTTTTATAATTAGTCCAATATTAATGAAAAGTGAACGCTAATATGAATTGCTATTACATAGAATTGATGACACAATTTATAATGACATTTTGATACCAACGAAAGTTATTCTTATTAACAACATTATATTTCCTATAACATTTTCGCGCCTGTGGCTTTTGTTCAACGTTCAGTAATTCCTTCTTAATTATTAAAATGATAATTAAGAACTATTAGCGTACAACTCTCTATTCTTTTAGAGATACTGTGATAAACCATTTATGTAGAAAATTGAGAATATATTTTTAATCATGTATTACAAACAAGTGGCGCTGAGAGGATGTTTCACGAATGCGTCAGCAGCGTACCTTCCTGCCTTCCTGTACTAACTTCTTGACGAAGGAACTATGCCGAATGTTACTTGGGTGTTCAATTAAGAGTGTTGTGTGGTTGTTTGTGACGAAAATTGAGTGTTTATAGTCAAATACTATAAAATACTATTATTTAATTCTAATTCGTGTACTTTTTGGTAAGTATGATACATTTCTATGATATATTCTTCGTTGTAGACAGTCGTGTTCAGCTAACACGAATGGATGCCGCCGGTACGGTGTTTTGGTTACTTTTCACGGAAACTCCATTATTTCATAATTTCTGAAAGATTTGTGTAGCTTATTTCAGAGTACATATAAAACCTTTCAATTTCTGTTCTTATGGCTAGATATAATATGGTGCGCGGTGGTCGAGGTGGAATGATCCGCGGTGGGCGAGGTGGAATGGGACGCGGAATGGGGTTCCCTAGGAAGCAGTTCCTTCCTCGTCTTCCATTCGATTACACCTTATGCGAAGCTGCTTTTCCACGTGTGAAGCCTGCTCCAGACGAATCAGACTTCCAAATGGCACTTTTGAAAAAAAACACAGACATGTGCCCTACACCCAAAGAACAAACTTCTATTTTAAATCTTGTGACTAAGCTTCAGAGTGTACTTGATAATTTAATTGTTGCTCCAGGAAGTTTTGAAGCATGCGTAAGTATTTCATAGATATAAAGAAATTTAGCGGCATCAAGATTTAATTTCAAATCTATTAGAAAAGTTTGGTCAAGCATTCTTCCAATGTTTTCTTGTTAGTTACAAAGTTTTTGTTTTTCTTGTACCGAAGAAATAATTCATTTTTCAGCAACTAGAGGAAGTAAGACAAGTTGGTAGCTTTAAGAAAGGAACAATGATCAAAGGTCACAATGTAGCTGATATTGTTGTCATTCTCAAGACTCTGCCCACTAAAACAGCAGTGGAGGCACTTGGTACAAAAGTTAACAACGATCTGAAAGCAGTTAATGCAAAAGAAATGTTCAGACTCACACAGACAGAGCGTGGTTTTGACATTGCTAATAACGAAGCAACTGTGCGTGTATTGATCACTACACTGCATCAGAATCTGAGAAAGCTGGAGTCTGACCAGCATTTAGATGTTAAAATATGCCAAGGACACCTTGCTGCTATAAGACATTCCCGTTGGTTCGAAGAAAACGCCCATCATTCCAGTATAAAGGTTCTGATTAGATTGCTCAGAGATTTGAGAAGCAGATTCGAGGGTTTAGAGCCACTGTCTCCTTGGATGTTGGATTTATTGGCACATAATGCCATAATGAATAATCCTAGCAGACAGGCATTGCCAATAAACCAGGCATACAAGAGGGTACTTCAGTTACTTGCTTCTGGACTCTTCCTTCCAGGATCTGCCGGTAAGTTTCATTATACTTTAGTTGCCTAAATACAGCAATTACAAGAAGTATTAGTAGAAATCTATTTTGTCAAACTAGTTACCCGGTGTATTTACTATAAAAAAACTTGAGTATATCGATATTTTTCCGATGCATGTGTACATAAAGTTTACATTACATTTGATTATAATTTTACTCAGGTATTTCTGATCCATGCGAGGGTGGTAACATTCGTGTACACACTGCCATGACATTGGAGCAACAGGACTTGGTGTGTCTCACAGCTCAAACGCTGTTACGTGTTTTGGCTCACGGTGGATACAGGCCATTACTCGAGGGCACCAACAAACTTGCCGTAGAGATGAGTGTATGGGCGGGTGGCGTGGTCGCCAGCCCGTTGGACAAGGCTTACGAGCCGCCCACGGAACAGGAACAGCAAGAGGACATGGACGAAAGTAACGAGGAGATGATAACAGAAAGTGCTTAATTCTTAATTAAACATAGTCGTATAAATTCCTCGAAGCGCCCTACTTCCAATGGGACAAGAAGTCTGTATTATTTTCTACGATGACGGTTTATTCATAAACATTCTTATTCGATGGAAAAGATAATGTATTCAGGATTGTACATGAATTTTTAACGATGCCTGATTGACTGTCAACAGTAACGTAATTTAGCTGCGAAATATCTTTACGTAATCGTAACTGTGTGCGTGTGTGTGGTATTGTACGTAATTATTCGAAGACCGGCGAGTCTAGGACTTAACGAACATTATACCTAGAATTAAAATCTGAATTACATTTACATGTACACTTACAGAATCTATACTCGCGTTGGTTGTCTGATTTCTCGAATCCCATTCATATTATTCAAGTATTTTATACTCGTCCAAATTTCGTCACAACTTCTCGCTGCGTCGTCCATTATCCAATGCAACAATTCAACCGTAGATACCCCGATCATAATTGTTGGCAGTGGGCTGGGATAATAGTAAAAAAAAATCATAAAAATATTACAGCAATTTCCTGATCCTATCGTGAACATGGATCGTTCTCCGGTGTTCGATTAACGCGGGCACAGTTCACGGATCGACCACCGCTGCCCGATCTGACCGGTACTCTGAACAATTTTCCCTGCGGCATGCAGATGCAAACCTTGTACTGTTCGTGGCCAGGACTTTGCAAGAACATAGGAGCAACGGGTATATTCTCGACATCTATCGATATACCGTCAGCAGCGTCTAGTACGATACTACCATTTACGCTCTTCAACAAAATGTCTGTGTCTGCGCTCCAAACGATATCTTTGCTCTCCATACTAGCACCCTCTGCGCCGTGCATGGAGATCTGCTCGTCCGAGTTCACCGTTAAACTTTCGTTCACCGGTGACGTGATTCTGTGGGTTTCCGCGATTTTCACGTCGATTTTCTCCACGCCGGCCGGCAGACCGAAATTTGGAAAATCTGTGGTGAAGTAGACAGCACCGGTACGTGGATCTTTGATCTCGAACGATTCGATTCGAGACCAGGCGGTGCCGTTCGGTAAAATCGTTACTTTGGCGCGAACATCGTCGTGGGCACGACGACTGTTTACGTTAATTAGCACGCCTGCCTCGTCGCCAGATACTTCCATCGGTTCGTCGCCGTAACTCTGACAGACTTCCGATTGCAGGCACACCTGTATGAAACGCCGTAAAATATTATTCGATCATTTTCGCTGGAACTCTTGCACTGGACATCTTTGATATGTAACTAACCGTGTCCAGGTCTGTTTTCCCATAGAACTTGACAAGATTCTCGTCAGGTATTACTTCCATCGCTTCCATTCCTTGACTGATCCGTAACACGGCGATCACAGTGATGTTCAGGAATAGATTACAAAGACCGATTATCGCGAGGACGAAGGTTAACGTCCACAGGCAGTAACGTCGTTTCGTTGACTTTTCATTGGACACTGGGATTCCGTGCGACGACATGATCGTTGTTCGATGAACGTTTTCCGAACTGGAACCAATTACCGTTATCCGTTGCACGATGTGATTGTTAACCGTAACAAATGGTATTTCGTTGTTTTACCTTGCGAGCACGCTGTTGCAATTATTCTGCTGGATGTAACCCTTGATCAGAGGTCCATCGCTGTTCGACAGGTTGTCCTCGGCCTTCGATATCGAGCCGGTGTCGGTTCCACATGCATCGAGGATGGCGGACATTGAACCACCGTGCTGCACGCGGAAAGAAAATTACACGGACACATTTTTCACTGAGTTTTCATTCGGGTAATATTCCAGTCACTCTGTGTTACACAGGGTGGCCACGAAGAAAGATAACCGATGTCTCCCCGTTTCGAGACCATCTATACAGGGTCAGTGGAACACTACCTACCACATAATGGTACCAAATTGTGTACATGTATATATAGAATGCTTCTATTCATTTGTGTCTGTGAAATTGTTGGGTATCGATAAAACACCGAAGAAACATTAATTTATCTTCCTTCGTGACAGTCGAAGCAATCACATATACACAACGAATGCTTTGTTCGTTCAGACAAGTCGAAGGTTAAAATTACGCGAGTGGATTACTGGTCGCGGATATTTCGCTGAAATTCTCACCTCGCGGACGTTCGTTCCGGGACTCTGGACGCAAACGAAAATAGGAGCGGTTATATGCACGATTCCGTGTGCGGGGCGGAAGACCGTGTGACGAAAACTAGGTGAAATCCGCCGGCCGGCGCTTGCGCGTCCAAAGATCAATGCTGAATATTCCGGATTTCGGGCTTGACCTTATCTTCGTACAGATTTTCGTGGTATCTTGTCTTTTTTTTATCTGGATATTTTTTTGAATTGGATATATTTACGTAGAAATTGTAATTTTTATACCTTTTAGGTGCAAGGTAGTCCCGAACAATCCGATCCCGATAATAATAATTTTGCAAAATGATAGATGTAACAAATATATTCTATTGTCATAGGTAGTAACTCTTGAATACTACGGAAAAATGCATTAAACTACATTTCAATCATGTAAGTGTAAGAAACACGGCACAATGATAATCGTGGATCACAAGTGCACAAGGTTCAAGGCAGGTGAACACCACCGGAAGGAGTATTTAATTATAGCGATCCATGAATAATTCGTCGTTGTCGATGAATCGTTTGAGAAGCGTATTTATTTACATCACACCGAGTTCAGCTCGTCACGCCTATCACAGAATACATGCAGTAGTAGTCACCGTTCAGGATCACCAGTGGTCCGCCGCTATCACCCTGTACGGAAACAAACGTAGACAAAGCTGAAACCGATCGTATCGTATACCAGGAGTATTCCTGGTACAAACAGTCAGGGAGAAAATTGTTAAATAAGGAAAAAATCACCGAATCTTCTAATCCATAATATATACGAGTGTCTCAATTTTATCCCTGACTGTACAGTAAATCCTCGATGAGTGTTCGAAGATTCATCGGAAATTTTCTGTATATCGTACTCGATGGAATCATCGCTACCTGACAGGTGTCCTTTCCTACTTCACCGGCGCATATCTGCCATTCGTCCACGATACCACGACTGATTCTGTCGTCGTTGGGGAAGCTCCGATTGCACACTGGCTGCGAGATCAAGCTGATCGTCACTTTCAGCAAATCGTTCGAGCCTTCATCGTCCCCTGACAAAATAAAACACGAGATTCGACGAAATGTATAACAATTTTCGGACTCGCGTGTCGGTATTTACCCCAGTCGACGACACCCCATCCGGTCGCGGTCGCCATGTTGTCGGTGCCAACGTCCGGTAACGAGTACGCCAAACAAGCCGGTCTCACCCACGCGTCGAATCGCACGTTCGTCTCCAGCCTGAGAAGCGCGATATCGTGATAGCCGGAAGAGCTAACGTAATCGGGATATTTTATTCTCTCGGCGATCCTGACATTCTGTGGCCTCGCGTCGTCGTCCTGTCGTTCAAGATTTAGGTCTCCCAATCGTACCCAGGAGGCGACGACACCTCTGTACAAATCGACATACCGATTAATAGACACGTAATGTGGAATGAAAAAAATCTAATCTATATTATCTTTCGTTAGCCGGCCCGAGTAGTCACCTGTAGAATTCTACTTGGTCAAAATAGAAGTGGATTCTTCTCTTATTTCATAGAACGGAGAAGGGGAAGATTTGGGCACAATTTTATTCAAATAATAGATAGTGAAACGCTGCATCCCGCACTTTCTGACTAATAAGAATAATAATCAAAGCTTTCTTCAAGCTTCTAAAATTGTAAACACACAGAATTCAATCGAATTCATTTTACGTTTAATTTTTCTGACACTACAATGAACACGAGGCACGTAACACTACCGATGCGATGGTATCTATAATGATAGAACAGTAATGGACACTTACAAGCCTTTACTGTAAAGACAATGCGCAGCAGTTAAAACGAATCTCTCGGAGATCAACGTGCCACCGCAGCTCCATGCGATGCCTGTACCACCGGTGCTGTATCCGACCGCGGCCATATGCGGGTATTCCTTCGGATCGGCTTTTGTTCCGCCGACAATCAGCTTGCGTGATTTGATCGCGCAAACGGATATATTCACCGGCTGCCGATTGCCCGCCAGGATCGGCGGTACAACCAGCTGGAACACCGATCTCGAGTACTCCTCGCATTCTAAAAGGGGAATCGAACTATAGTTAGGAGAATATCATGCAAAGTGGGATGGAATCAAAAAACTAAAAGCAACACGACTGGGACCGGAAGGCTAAAAACAATTCGACTGGGAGTAGAGGGCTAAAAGCTATTCGCCTGGGAGTAGAAGGTTAAGAGCAACATGACTCAGATTATGAAATATAGTTTCCGTTTCGGTCGAATTCTTTTCCAACTCACTCGCTCTCGCGATAGCTCCTCTAGTGTTGGTCCCAGGTCGAGGAACAGAGCGTGCAGTTGTGGTGGTGGTCGTTGTGGTACGCTTTGGGGTGGTTGGTCCGCCGCTTGGACAGCAAACGACCGGATCGAAACCAGAATAACTGCACACTGTGGTCGGTGGATTTCCTTTGAGCAGTTCCTCGTAAACCGGTCGACATTGCCGTAGAAGCGTGCAAACGCCGGGATTGTTTCCGAGGTAGCACGTGTCGCCTACGGAAAATCATCCACAAAGAAGTCAGATAACAATTATCACTTTATTGACTGGTATCTTATGGCTTTGAAATTTCACTGCTTGGCTATTGATCGTTGGATCTAACTGAACCTATTAAACAACTACCGGTAGATAATGTGCTAAGAACTAGAACGACGAATAGTGCCGGTTACACATTGTTTAAAAATAAAAAACCACCACACACTCGATAAAGGTGATCGTTGTTTATTCTCTTGGAAATTAACATTTATGAATACCTCATTCTTATCGAGTGTGGAGTTTATCAGGGTTCGAGACAATGGTCATTCTTGAGGCGTAAAATAAAAGTAGATAACTCGATCCTATGGTTCAAATTATTAGGAACAATTTGGGCACAATGATGCAGGGTAATCATCCAATTATTTATTGTCATCGTGATTATTTCACGAGGCTATTATTATTATTATTATTATTCGACCCAAAAGACGGTATTAGGTATTTACCTGGGTACTGTTGGCCGTCACACGGTGGAGCAATCAGAAGCACCAGAAACGGTAGACATGACAGCGCCACGGACAGGAAGAATGACTGCGAGGACATCATTCGTGGAATTCCGCGCGCTTCAATCACGGCAATCTTCGACCGCAACACTATCACTACCTTGGCGCTTCCTCGGCTCGTGAGTTTTGTTGTGCCCCACCAATCGACTCCGTGAATCCCATGCACGCGGGGAGTGGGTAAATCGTCGACGGAGAAGGAAAAACCTGTTGCACATTCTTTCATGACCCTGCGCAAGGAACAAGTTCAACCGGCTTGCCTGTCCGAAAAGATGCCACGGGTTCAAACGATTTCCTGTGTTTCACGTGCTATTGACCGGGCGAATCTATGGATGTTGAACTGAAATATCATATTGGTCGAAAAGGAACAATCGGGATTCACTTTTAGTCAGAAATACGGGAAAAAGATGGGACTAACGCAAGTTCGTTATAAATGACCGATTGGACCTTGGGTGACGCAAACGTGATGCAGGAAAGATAATCGTGAGGAAACTATCGAAATGTTGTGTGTAACTAAGAAATTATTGATTTCACGATACAGTGCATTTCGAAACGGAGGACTTTTTTTATTTCGTGATCTTTACTTTGTAAAAAATTAACTGCCGAATATCATTCAGAAATTTAGAATTAGACGATTGGTTTTCGAAACTGTTACTCTTGAAACAAATTCTTACGTTTTTGTTGATATAGTAACGAATTCGAAGAGTTCCAAAAAAAAGAACCATTTACGCCACGTTAATTCCCAAAGTTTCTACTTTCAAAAAACTGCAGGAACATTCTGCGATCAGCTGCGATCCCGCAAATAAATGGAGAGGGTACGTAACGCGTTGAATCGAAAAAAATCAAATGTTTGAACATATTATTTAAACAAACGATTAAAAAAAAATCATTTACACGGTTGGATCATTCCACATTGAAAAATATACAATTTAAACTAAAAATTTCATGACGACATTACTTCTCGCTTACAAGAAAATTAATCGCGGAATAAACCTCGCACCTCGTTAATAAACAGTTCCCATCTAAAAACATTTTATTGTTAATTACTTTATGTATAACACGTTGGCGTATATTTACAAATTTATTACCCGAATATGTATATGAGCATCTTATGTGTGTATATAT